ACAGTATGGTACTTCAGTTTTATTTATTTTTGGCAAGCCATACATACGAGGAATCTTACTGCTTACGGGTTTCAAATTGTCAAACATAGTTGATGCGATAAGGCCTTCTTCCTTAAGCTTCATTAGTGAAGAGATTATATTCTTTTCTATTACTCAGTTGGATCTTTCAATGATTGTAACTTTTGAAATTTTGTTTCGTCTTGCAGTATGGCGTTCATTTTCTCTATATAATCCTCGTTGTTCATAATCACGACATCAGTCGCCTTATCAGGTCTAATGGCAACTATGTTCTTGTTCATTCTTAACTGCTTTGCAGCTTCATGATGCTCTTTAGTTATTATGCCTTTAGGCGTATTCTTGTTGTTCCTATACTGATAGCAACAATCTGCTGTTTTTTATGAATAAGATATACATCAGCGAAGAGATATTACTTTTCAACGGCTTAGTTATCAAGCTGTACAGTTGTAATTATGATCGTTAAAATGGCAGATAAATACACTAAAAAGTGACTTAGTCAATATACATGAGATACGATTGGTATTGATGGTGGTATTTGTTCATGTGGAGAAAATAGAAAATGGGTCTAATATTGATCTAGGTGATTAGCAGAAAAATCTAGGATGCTCGTTTCGTCCTATGTGGGGCTCATCAGCTGGGTATGCCTGCATCCCAGTGAGTGATGTTCCAACTGGGGCTCGAACCCAGTACCCATCGCTTCAAATGAGACGAAATGATAACAGCTGGTGAAACGGGTCAAATGTCGTCAATAAATTATAAAATAGTGGCAATGATGATAATAGATATCAGGTATACGAAGCGAAATGGAATGAAACTGACAAACCAGTTAAAATGGATTGTTAAAGCCAATGTATAGAAAGTGGTTTCAAAAAGCGTTTTTGAACGCAGTTTCCCTTTTTATTGATGTATAGCCAATGCTTCAACACTACGGAATACCACAAACCTTTATCAACCTCATTCATCAGCCATACGCTATACGAAGACACCACATGCCAAGTAATTCACAGTGGGAAGGTCAGTGATGCCTTTGAAGTGAAAACAGGAGTAAGACAATGCTGCCTACTATCACCACCAATGATCTTCCTGATTGTGGTGGACTGTATCATGCAGGAAACCGTGAGAAGCGAGAAGATGGGCATACACTGGACCGGGGAAAGATCCTAGAAGATTTGGATTTCGCCAGTGATGACTTGTGTCTAATGTCGCACAAACTTGAAGATCTACAGGCAAAATCCGACAAGTTGACAGAAGAGGCAAGGCAGCGAAGACGGGACTTGCTTCAAGTGAATGTAGAGAAGACAGAGGTGATGAAGATACCCAACCAACCAACCCCACCACCACCAAGTACAACAAGCCCCAATCACCATCAACGGGAGAAACCTAAATGAAGTAGCCTCCTTCACCTATCTATGCAGCACCGTTTCAACTACAGGCGGCACAGGCACAGACGAGGACGTCAAAACTAGCCAGGATCGGGAAGACAGCAAGACTGGCGTTCATTAACCTGAAACTAGTGTGGAGATCTTCTGCACTCAACATAAGGCGTGAACAAGATCAGGATTTTCAAGACTAATTCAGTCGAGTGAGTCAGTGCTTCTGTGTGATGGTTGAGAGACTTGGCGCGTTACGAAAGGGATTTACAAGAAACTACAGAGATTCATCAACAACTGCCTACACTGGCTCGTTACTGAAGCTCAGATGGATGGCCAGAAAGAATAAGCAACAAGGAACTCTGACCGGGTAACGAACGAACCAAGAACCTATCGCTCAACAAATATGCACTTGAAGAAAGTGGAGATTGATTGGGCATGCAGTGAGAAGACGGTTCGGGGACATCTCGCCTCAGGCACTCGAGAAGAATCCAGATTGGGAACGGCGAATTGGGGGAGGGTGTCGGACGGTGACATGGAGGAGATCGTGTGAAGAAGAAATGAAAGGTTCTTGGCTGTCGTGTAGCCAGATTCAAAAGATTGCAGAGAAGCGAGTGGAATGGAGGTGTGCTACTGAAGCGGTATTTTCCAATGGGAACTCATGGGCGAAATAATAATAATAATAATGTTAATAATAATAATAATAATAATAATAATAATAGCCAATGCTTTAGCTATGCCTAAATGGTGGAAGCGTAGACGTTTGAAGTATTTCAGTTTGACATTGTAAATAACTTTAAAGGATGAATCTAAATGAGCTATATGACCTAACGCAACGAGATGTTCATGTGTGAATGAAGTTTTTTTTCCACTAGCCTTTTGTAAACTAAGTCGTGTAATGTTCAACAGTGCGTTTTTTGAAGGCGCCCGCTAACAACGTCTAATGCAGTCAGCTTCAAAGGAGCATATGAACTTGTAGATACACGTAGATGTGGACAAAAGTGTCAGCCTGTCCATCACCAATTATCGAATTCGATGACGGTTTGATAATATCAGTTCCAGTCTAGCAGAATGGATGCTCTTGATACTTTTCGACAGATAGCGCTTTAATCCTTCAACTGTGGTGTCCCGTCCTACTTTGGACCTGTAGTCTGGAGAGATGTAATTAGTTTCTTTGTTTTTAAGAATCTGCCTTCCAGGGTATTCATTATTAAATGAGATTCGTTTCGCATTTAAGAGGTATCCAACTATTAAAGTTAGTGAACTGTGCAGTTTAGGCTGGTTTGCGATCGACTGATCTTCGGATTGAGCTATAGTTTTTTCTTCTCTTTAGCATCGCGTCTAGGAAGTGGAACGTTCAATTTAACTCTTCTTCAACAATGAATTTAATAGACGAGTGACAATCACTGAATCATCTGAACAGCTCATCTATTGGACATGTTTCCACATATATAAAGCAAAGTATCATCCATATACCTTCTAGGCAGTTAGAGTTCCGAGATTATTTCTTTAATTAACTCATTTTTGAGCCTTGGCATTTTCTTCTAACTGAATAAAACGATATGAAGCGTAAATTAATAATTCATCTGCTCACGAGACTACTTTTCAAACGAGTTCATAAAGATGATTATGTAAACAAGGTGAATGCATCAAAGAAATAAAAAGAAAAGAATAAACAATATGAAGAATTAGTGCAAATGAAGTGAGTAGACCTATGAATGTAATGGTGAAATTTATTCTACTTCATTATCGTCAAGAGATAATATCAATACGGTCCTGGTGACTACACCTCATATCAACATATCAGGCGAGAATGCGTCAGGTTGAAAGATAAAGAAATAGTAAAGAATTTACTGTTTTGTACGGAATTTAGTTCACAGGCTTCCTGCCAATTGCCTTCATCCAACTAACATCTGTCAAAGTGCATTGTGATGCTGAACTGCCTAGTCTGGTGGCCAGATTGCAAAATGATCAATAGAACTTGATCAGCAAATAGGACCAGCAAAACATGAAGTTGGTTACCCTCAAACGATCAACCAAAGTATCTAATCCAGTCCTACAGGAGGTCAATCACGCCCTGAATAGCTCATTGGTAAAGCCTCTGACTGCAGCACTTGGCGATGTAGGTTTACATCTCAGTGGGGGGAGCTTCTCTTCCGTCGAAGTTGCAGTTACCCTCTGCTGACGAATGCCAATAAGCACGAAACCTAAGTTCATTGGGCTTCCTACAGATTGCCTTAATCTAGCTACCAAAATAGTCTATGGCTGCGTATATTCAAGCAATCTCAACTGTTTCAGTCTATGTTGATTCATGTGGATGTATGCTTTCGATGTGTTAGCACCGAAAGAGTGAATAAGAAGTTTTATTTCATTTTAAGTTTCCTAATGTCTAATATTATCGCAATGGTAGTTCAGTTGTTCCTCTATCTATATCATTATTATTTGCCCTTTGAGTTCCTAGTGGAACATAAGGGTTCAGTAGCACATCGCCATTTCAGTCTCTTCTCTGCAGTCTTTTGAACCTGGATCCAAGACTCCCCATAAGTTTTGACTTCTTCCTCATACAGTCACCTCCATGTCACCTTCGAACACTCAACTCGTCGTTTCCCCTTTGAGTTCGACTCGAGGATCTGGCCTGGCCTGACCTGACGCGTGATGTTCCCAAACGGTCTTCTCAGTGTTTGTCCGGTCGAATCCATCTTCACTTTCCTCTGCATATTTGTTGGGCGATAAGCTCATAGTTCGTTGGCAGCCAGAGCTTCTTGTTGCTTATTCCGATTATTCTGACCATCCATCTTATCTTCGGTATTGAGTGAGCATAGGTGGCAGGTGTTGATGCTGTATGTGTGTAGTTTGTTGGAAATGCTTTTGATAACGCGCCAAGTCTCTCAACCATCACATAGAAGTACTGACTTACTTGACTGAATTAGTGTTGGAAATCGGGATTTTGTTCAGGTTTTATGCTGAGTGGAGTGCAGTGGAGAAGATCTCCACACTGACTTCAGAATAATGAGGGAAGGCCTATCTTGCTGTGTTTTTGATCCTGGCTTTGACATCGTGATGTGTGCCTGTGCTGCCGGCTGTAGTTGAGAGGATGCTGGGTAGGTAGGTAAGTAGATGAAAGAGACAACTTTGTTTATATCTCTCCGGTTGATGTTGTTTGTTGTTGTTGGTGGTAGTGATAGTTGGGTATCTTCATCATCTCTGTCTTGTCTATGTTCACCTGAAGGAAGTGCCGTGTTTGCTGCCCTGCCTGTTCTGCCAACTTGTTAGTTTTCGCCTGTAGATGTTCGAGTTTGTTGTGACATAAGACATTATACATAAATCATCATTGGCGGTGAACTCCAAATCTTGTAAGGTGTTTTCATCAGTCAAACAGCGTATGCCGATCTTCTCGCTTCTAACAGTTGTTTGTTGCATGACCCAGTCCGGTCCAGTCGACCACAATGAGGCAGATGATCGGTGATAGTAGGTGGCAACCTTGTCCCATTTCTGTCTTCACTACAATGGTATCACTGAGCTACTCTATCTTTATAGTGGTACATATTATTAAAACTGTATATAACTATTCGAATGTTTCTATACTATTTACCTTCCTCCTTTTTTTTTTAGTAATATATGACATCGATAGAAATTGCAAACAATTTAATGCTGAATCTGCTAGATTTATTGAGCCTGTGTCAAAATTTATTGAGAAATCACGCGGTAGTAATGCTACAATGAATGTTTCGTCTAAACACTCACTGTGTACTCCATTTCGTTTAAATATACATAAATTCTTCGTTTGTGTTCAGACAGCATGCGATGTGTATACGTTTATTAAATATTGGCTTAACATTATTTTTATGGCGAATACTTGTAATTTAAGAACTTCTGCTATAACTATTGAAGAAACTGGAACACTTCCCTGTTGCACAGGAAATACTGATTTTGTAAGCGAGTTAATCTATGTAGTATTTTGATTTTTGTATTGAATGGTAATATTTAACAATTTTGCAGCTAGTTATCTAAGATACTGTTTCTTTCATTATTTCTTACGATCCCCCTCGTGTTCGAATTCCACTTTACCTATTTCGATCTGTGCAGCTGGTTAATACTAACGTGTTTGCTACTTATAACGAATACACTAGTAGTATGTAGCATGATTTCTTTGAGTAAAGCAATTAAATTTTTCATTTAACCGCTAGAGGTTCAAATAGACGAAGCCAGCGTCTACTTCTCAGAATTAATGATAGTCTGAGTACGTTTTGTTGAGTTTCAGACCTTTACATTGAAGCAGTAGTTCCTATAGGCATCATACAGCATAATTACTTACCCCAAGAAATTGAATAGGATAGGTAGATTGCGTTTCTAGTAGCTGAATAAAGCTGGGAATATAACCAGTTGAATTCGTAATTATATACCTTGATGAATATATCTGTAAACTAACTTTCCAGTTTTTTTTATGAGGAAAGAAGCTGATAATCCCAACCAACAACTACTATTATCAGGGAAGTAATGGAGTGTGAAAATATTATACTTATTTATTTGTCCTTTTGGCTCCTAGTGGCCGTTTCAGTCTCTTCTCTGCAGTCTTTTGAACCTGGATCCAAGACTCCCCATAAGTTTTGACTTCTTCCTCATACAGTCACCTCCATGTCACCTTCGAACACTCAACTCGTCGTTTCCCCTTTGAGTTCGACTCGAGGATCTGGCCTGGCCTGACCTGACGCGTGATGTTCCCAAACGGTCTTCTCAGTGTTTGTCCGGTCGAATCCATCTTCACTTTCCTCTGCATATTTGTTGGGCGATAAGCTCATAGTTCGTTGGCAGCCAGAGCTTCTTGTTGCTTATTCCGATTATTCTGACCATCCATCTTATCTTCGGTATTGAGTGAGCATAGGTGGCAGGTGTTGATGCTGTATGTGTGTAGTTTGTTGGAAATGCTTTTGATAACGCGCCAAGTCTCTCAACCATCACATAGAAGTACTGACTTACTTGACTGAATTAGTGTTGGAAATCGGGATTTTGTTCAGGTTTTATGCTGAGTGGAGTGCAGTGGAGAAGATCTCCACACTGACTTCAGAATAATGAGGGAAGGCCTATCTTGCTGTGTTTTTGATCCTGGCTTTGACATCGTGATGTGTGCCTGTGCTGCCGGCTGTAGTTGAGAGGATGCTGGGTAGGTAGGTAAGTAGATGAAAGAGACAACTTTGTTTATATCTCTCCGGTTGATGTTGTTTGTTGTTGTTGGTGGTAGTGATAGTTGGGTATCTTCATCATCTCTGTCTTGTCTATGTTCACCTGAAGGAAGTGCCGTGTTTGCTGCCCTGCCTGTTCTGCCAACTTGTTAGTTTTCGCCTGTAGATGTTCGAGTTTGTTGTGACATAAGACATTATACATAAATCATCATTGGCGGTGAACTCCAAATCTTGTAAGGTGTTTTCATCAGTCAAACAGCGTATGCCGATCTTCTCGCTTCTAACAGTTGTTTGTTGCATGACCCAGTCCGGTCCAGTCGACCACAATGAGGCAGATGATCGGTGATAGTAGGTGGCAACCTTGTCCTATTTCTGTCTTCCTAATCTTGCATTGTTTCCGTGTCCTTGTGCTTTCTTTTGCTTTCATAGGTATACGGCATATTTTCAATTTCGCTCCCCTCGACTTTCACTAGCCTGCGTCGTTTCCTCTCTTCTTTCCCATATAAGAATTAGCTTATTTTCATATTTCGCCTGTTCTTTGATGTTTTTACGCGATTTCATTCATTTGTCGGGGTAGGGTTGCAGCCCTACCCGCAACCTTTCTTCTTTTTCAGGGTTTAGAAACCGGCCTGTAAACTAGGCAAGTGAAATCACCAAGTACTTAGTTTGAAAAGAAGTATGAAATTGACTTGTCTGTAGCCTAGATTACTCCAGAGGTTGGATGAAGAAAGTGATACCACCTTAATAAATCACTTTAATTAAGAAGTTGTTTTTGTCTATATCTCTTGTCTAGATCCCATCTAATTGGAAAGACGTATATCTTACACTTTCTATGGAATACTATCTTGTTTTAAACAATGTGAAGAATGCATTTCATATTTATGAACAGTGGAAAATTCTTCATGGTTATCACTATAAGTCAACCACTGATACTATGGATCTTTCTCCACGTTTTCTAATCTGCTTAGTATGGTTAAAGGCAATTCTTAGTCTTAAATCATCTGAGTTCAAAACTGAAGGTAAGTTGTCATCATATGCATACAGAGATAGATAAGTCATTTGATTATCTGAAATAGCCGTAGTTTGACAGATTAGTAATTATAGTGTCTGGTGATTGGAGGTGAAATGAAAATTTGCACCACGGCCGGATTCGAACCAGTGACCACCGTGTTTCTCCGGCCCGATTCTGTACTATCTGAGCCATAAGGGCCGACTGCTGATTTGATTTTCATTTTGCTTTCAATCACCAAGGGCTTTGTCCGACTAGCATGTGAATTCGTGATGTGTTACTATCTGTTGGTCGTGCTCACACTAGCTGCCTAGTCAGGACTTCTCATCCTAATCCAAATGTAACTGAATTAGAGGGGAGTGGGAGCATCGTGTTGATTATCATTTGGCTATCTGGTTATTGAAGTGAAATAAAAATCTGGTCATCAGTCAAACCTCGTAGGTCGGTTGGTAGAACGTCGGACTGAAAACCTGGTGGTCGCTGGTTCGAATCTGGCTGTGGTTCAGCTTTTCATTTCACATTCAATCATCACCTGGTATAAATAAATAAGTGGCAGTCAAGTGAGAAGAAGAAAGTTTCATCTTTTTTTCTCAATAATCTAATCAACTACTAAGTAATCTCTCCATCTTCATAAGTGTGTAACAATGCGTTCTAGGCATAAGTTTGTTTTTTAAACCCTGCAGTTCGTAAAATACTATATTCGTTTAATTATTGAAAAGTCTAAGAAGATGTTAGTCGAAGTGCACGAAATGCCTAGTACCTGTTTAGATTCAAATGATTCACCTCTGTTTCCCTAGTTTGGTGCACTACTGGATGAGACTCAACTTGTTCCCAGTGTTTCTTCTATTACTGTAAGTTTTACATGAACCAGTTAGGCATAGATACTGCTGTTTCGAATCCCATTCAGTATTCAATGTATAAAAGGTAACTTTGAGTTTGGGGACAGAAATCTATAGACCTTTCCAAGCTATATTGTCCACTGTGTATCTGATTTCACCAGTGTAAATTGTTATTTACCTTAATGTTATCTGTTATGTCATGATTAGCACTGAAATTCAAGACTCATATCTCTTCATGTAATTCTCGTCGGCCTGCTTTACCCTGCGATGCTGTGCTTGCTTTCTTCGCTAATATTCTTAGTGGTTTTGTGTTCTTTGAACTGATTGGTTTGTTCGTCGATCTTCCACTGTCTTTTCAGTCAACATCAGTACTACTAACGCCAACACTAAGTGAGCTATCAATAATTTGTTATTTTAAGTTGGTATTCATCATGGACTAGAATAGGTTAGAGGAAAATAAGAAACCTGGAAGCACTGGATAACTGTTTTGTCCTAGTATGGAACTCTTCAGCTGTGCGCACCCATGACTTCGCCACCTTCAGGTTCCTTGGTCAGCACGTTACCATTAAGCCACTAGATAGGAATTCAATGGTCCATATTTCCAACTTCTGTCAGCGCATCCATCACCAAATTAAATTTGGTAGTTTGTGGGGGATTTAGAGATTTTTTAAGTTGGTATTCATCATTCATTCATCACTGGTGACCAGCTTCGAGAGGGGATTCCTGAAGTTCCAATGAGAAGTTGTGATTAATGGAGTCAACTAAGTCTAATATGAGGACAGTTACTCAACGATGACGTTGGATGATGGTTACGCTATGTCGTGAACTGACAGGAGTTGGAAATATGAACCATTAGAATCCTACCCAGTGACTCGGTAGTTAAGATGCTGGTCACAGAACCTAAAGGTCGCGTGTCCGATCCCTGGCGGAGTCGTGGTTGCGCATTGTTGAAGAGTCCCATATTAGGATGAAACAGCTATCCGGTGCTCCCAGGTTTCTAATATCCCTCCGATTGATGTCAGTTCATGATGAATACCAACTTGAAAAATCTCTAAATCCCCATAAACCCCCAAATTCAATGACTTGTTAGTCTGTATTGTTTTCGCAAGCCTTCCCTATCAAAGTGCCAGGTATAAGCTACCAATGAAATGGAAAATATTTGAACAACCTGAAGGCGAATGATACAGTTGATGATTACTGGCAATCGGATTCGGAGAATACCTACTTGTGGCTAATAACTAAAACAAAAACTAGAAGATATCGTACTACGAAGCACTTGACAAGATTCTCAACAACATTCGACAAATTATAAAGATGATGAAAAGAACACAGACTAAATGTATATTGATTGGTTACTGCAGACCAACTAATTTCATGTTATCCAGTCCTAATCGCTGACTGAATTTTGTCAATCATTTTGCAATGTGACCATCAAACTACGAGGTTCACTGTCGTGGTGCACTTTAATGGATGGGTGATGCAGATACGTCTTGTTGACGTATGCCAACAAGCACCAAACCTAGGTCTAACAGGACTTCCTGCCTATTGCCTTCAACCGACTAACAGAGATTAAATGTTTCTTAGGAAAAATGCATCAAAATTTCAAAGGTATTTGCTTTGGAGGAAATAAATAACCTTGTAGTCAGTTGGTCAAAGCAACCATTGAAAAATATGGAAGAGCTTATTCATAAGGAAAAACTGAGTTACAGTGCAAGAAGTACCTCAAATCTTCACTACATTGACTTTATCACTCAGGACATTAGGAATAAATGGACAAATGAAAGGAATGCAGTCAGCAATTGTGAGCCTAACCAAATAAGAAAAAGAAACAATCCAGATGTGAAAAGCGGTTGTACTCTTGACAGACAGGAAAAAAAAACAACATAACAGATAGGGGCAGGCAAGTCTGTTACATCAAGAAAGCCTAGGGTTTTCTCAGGGCAAAAGGTGTATGTTACTTGAGATCATCTTCATTGAAAAGTTTGACCGTCAGATAGATCATCAACTCGTTAAAGCATTGAAAATAACTAGACGTTGTCTGCGACGTAGGTTAGTGATATTTGAAAATTGGAAAGAAAATCAAACACTTTTGTGATCAACATTGTCGTTTCCGCGGACTACAGTCTACAATATAACAAGAGGATTAAACTTAATCTAAAATGATGGGAATACGAAGACAATGTAAGCACCATGATTAAACCATTTAAGGTAGTATTCATCACGGATTGACATCAGTTAGAGAACCACTGAACACCTGGGATCACTGGAGAACTGTTTCGTCCTAGTATGGGACTCCTCAGTAGTACGCACCCACGATCCGTAGCCGAATCGTGGGTGCGTACTACTGAGGAGTCCCATACTAGGACGAAACAGTTCTCCAGTGATCCCGGGGTTTCAATGCTTTTCCAACTGATGTCGGTCCATGATGAATACTACCTCGAAAGTAAAATCCCCATTCATCTCAAAATACGTAAACCGTTTAACTCAGTTAACACCGCATCACTGAAATCACTCATTTAAGCTACAAATATTCCCCTTTCACGAAGATTAAAAGCTGGACTTCTACTGACTTAAAATGCTAGAGGATTACTTACGGTCATAAATTTCTCTTTTCGTTCTGGAATTTCCCCACTGTTTACTGGGAGAGACCATACCGAATTGATCAGATTGTTTTGGTATTGATTATTCGCTTCCATGGTTTATCTAGACGCGTAACTTGTATTGCATACCATTTCTATTTTCTTCCTCAGAGATAACACCGCACTCCGTAAAAGATGGATTATTGAATATACTGAAAACAAGTAATACGATTCTCTCGAGTCGTTATCAATATTTGGTTGGTTGTGTGATGGAGTTTTTTGCACAGTCATTTCCAGATTGTTCATCAACCATGGGTTGTGAGGAACAGTTGGCAAAGTTTTCACTTGGTGTTCAATATGCTAAACACTATTATGCTAACCACTTACAAATGGGTCATATATACCGTGAAATGGAACGTTCCAAGTAAGCTGGTCTTTTGTACACTTCTCTAAAAATTAGTATATCAAAAACCCTATAATTTAAATTTTTTATGTATCGAAATATGATAGTGAAGAGGTTGAGTAATTAAAAACCACTCAGGCTGATATGTAGGTTCTGCCAGTCAGACGACAGTAATCTAGGCACTGGGCAGCCTTTCCACTCGTTTTGGACCGAGCTACCTCATCAGCGGTATATCCGGACAAATTCAACTCACAGGACCTAATTTTTTTTGATCACTTGAATCTGGCTAACTAACTTGTATGAACTGGTACACCTAAAATAGGATGGACGATTTACAAATTGCACGGCCCACACTGAGATTTTGTACAGTTGAATAGTTTTTCAACTACTTAAACGTGGTGTCAGTCAACAGGGTTTCATTTGGTTATGATTCGTGAGACAAAAGTGTCATGAACTAACTACTCAAGCTGTTCTGCATTGTTTTTCTTTAGTTGTCATTCTTTGTGATCCATCTTGATCTACGCTTTGTTTTCTGATCTTTCTTCCTCCCTTCCCTCCCACATTCTGCTGATTTCGAGGGAACTCCACTTGACTTTTTAAATAAGGAAACTGGCAGTCCGGAATAACTTATTCTCTACTTTTACGTTTCTTTAATCCTTGCGTTTCACCTGTTCTTGTTTATCTTTCTCTCTTATTCTTTCCTGGACTCTGGAGAAAAGACTACACGGCATTGTGCAGAATTTCGAAGGTTGTCAGTTAAGCAAGTGGTACACCATTGACACTGTACTGACGAACACTGTTATGCAAAAGGTATCTTGTAAACTCTTGCAAACAGTCAACAGCTAGCCACAAATATTTTGTCAGATGATAAGCATTCTTTTTATTTGCATATTTCTGCCTGTCTACCCCAGGCAAACCTAATAATCAAATGCATTGCATTTTATGAATGTATAACAACTACAAACAACAACTCAGTCATGCATTATTTAGGTTGTATGTTGTGTGAGGAAAAGCATATTCGAAATAGTCGTATCAATCAACTTTACAGTAGCGAAGAGTTGTCATACTGCAACGACCAGCTATTAATAGGTACGTCCTTGCAGGGGGGCGCGTAAAGCAGCGTGAGTTTGGTGGTGACCACAAGAATCTGGATGGGAAAAGAGGAAGCGAAAAAGGTGAGCCGAAAACTCAGCAAGCACATAGGATGTACTTACATTTAATAGTAAAAGGTAACTGACAAACGGTAGAGTTGGACAACTAAGAGGTAAGGCAGTGTAGAAATCGAAATCATCATCATCATTATCAACATAGGACCAGGCATTACTGCGTAACGGTCCGAGTTGCCACACCTCATATCAGCACATCAAGTAAAAAGGTAGTGAGGTGAAGGATGAAGATAAGTGAATGCAGTCAAAAGAAATATAAAGTACGAGAAGAAAGGAAAGAGGAGTGACAAAATAGTGAGATTCGGTATAGCGTTGTTAAGATGAGGATAATGTGTGTATACATCTGCGCCACTGACTTCGGTTCTGAGCCATATCACCTAGGGTCTCCAACCACTGGTTCCTCTTGTCCCGTGGACCCCAACCACCTAGTCTGCATCGTCCTACATGGCTTAAACCAACAGTCAGAGACTTCATACATTGGTGCCATGTTTTAGTCTGGCCACCTCGGGCCTTTTTCCAGCCTGGACCCACCTCAGCCAACATTGTGTGACGAGGCAATCGGTGACTAGGCATACGTAGTACGTGTCCCAACCATCTCAGTCGATGAAGGTTCACAACCTCGTCGACTGACTTACCTCTTCTCCCTAAAACTCTACACCTAACTTCTGCATTACTCACATGGTGACACCACGGAATACGTCCTATACTACGAAGGCAACGGTGGTCAAACACCTGAAACCTTTTCATGTCTTCCACTTTCAATGGCCATGTTTCACAGCCATACAGTAGAACAGAGCGGACTGCTGTGCAGTACACGCGACCCTTAATAGACAAACGAATATCACGGCGGCGCCATAGGTGGCGCAAATTGGCAAAAGCCAATCGAGCCTTTTGTATCCGTGCAGAAATCTCATCGGCAACTAACCCACCGGGTTGATCCTACTTCCCAGGTAAGTGAAGTGGTCAACACACTCAACCACTTCACTCTCTATTGTTAACCGCTGAAGACCAGTCCTGGAGCAAAAATTTGCATTTGGGTGGTGAAAATCGCATCCCAAACATTCTCAAATTCCCACTCAAAGTGTTCAGAAGACTCTGCATCTTGTCAGCGTCTTCACCTAACAGGACTATGTCATCTGCATATTCTAGATCTAAGGAAAATTCACCTGTGATTCGGTCAACGTCTTGTAATTAGGTGACGAGAGGGAAACCTCCATAAGAATATCTATGATAAAATTAAATAAGAATGGGGATAGTGGGCATCCTTGACGGACACCACTTGATGAGTATAGCTCCCTGGACAACTCACCATAGGCTCTAACATGCCCACAAGTGTTCGAGTAGAGAGCTTTCAATAAGGTGATGTACTTACTAGGCACGCCTTTCAGTGACAGACACTGCCATAAGACTTCTCGATCAACGGAGTCAAATGCCGCCTTCAGGTCGAGAAATACAGCTATTGTCGGGCGTCTGTAAGCATGCCTATGTTCCAGGACCTGGCGCAGTGTGAATATTTGGTCGATACATCCACGGCCAGGTCTAAAGCCTGCCTGGTTTTCTCGGGCTTGCTGTTCCCGAGCTCCACTCAGGCGTCGGAGAATTATAGAACTTAGGATCTTAGACACTATGTTTGTCAGGCTGATTCCTCTGTGGTTATCACAAGAGGACTTCTCGCCTTTCTTGAAGACTGGGATGATGAGTGACTTAGACCAGTCGGAGGGGATCGTATTTGATTCCCATATACTGGCTAACACTTCCGTTAGCCTGACTAAGAGAACTCTACCACCATTCTTGTATACCTCAGCAGGTAGTCCGTCTGGTCCTGCTGCCCTTCCCGTTTCAGGCTACCTACCGCTTTCTCAACTTCTTCTAGTGTTGGGGGACCTGTCTCTATGTCCCATTCAGGGTCCGACTGGATAGCGGGCAGCGCAATGGTGGCTGGAGGCCAGTTAAACTGTTCCTCAAAGTGTTCTGCCCATCGTCCCAGTCGCCTTCCCTGCGAGTGAATCGATCCGTCCTTCTCCGCTATAACCTCACTAACTGTTGTTGACCATTTCCCCCCAGTCTCCTTAATAAGTCTAAATAACTGTCTACTGTTACCGATCGCCGCTGCCTTTTCCATCTCTTTAGCCTTTGCTGCCCACCACTGTTCACGATCGTTGCGCAGACTTTTCGTCAGTTTATTTTTAAGTTGCGCTCGCTCTTCATTGTACTCAGAGCCTGCAGGGATGCATTCACGTGCATCCATTAGTTTGGAAGAAGCTGCTGATATCCACTGGCTCTTTTTAGCCATTATCTTGGAGTCGGCTACAGTCTCCAGTGCTGCTTTTACAGTAGACTGAAGATGGCACCAAGCTTCTTCTGGATGAGTGACAGTCTTTTGTTCCGATAACTGCCTAGCCAACTTCTCACTGAACACGGCTTTGGTGTTTTCGTTGTCCAGCAGAACTCGTGGAGGGTGAATGAGTAAGATTTTGAATGCGTTACAATATAAGCCCGATATCAACACGTTTTTAAGCGTTGATATTATTATTTTTCAATTTCATTGTTAGTCGTTATTATTATTATTATCAATTTATTTGAAAAATGTATAATGAATGAATTTTGCAATATTACATGCTGAGAATTCTGTACTGTAAACAAACTTTAGGTTCGGAATGAAGGAAATAAATTATTATTGTTATCATCATTAATGCTAGCTTGAAATTTATAGTATCATGAGGTGATGGAGAATATTTGTAACTCAGGAGGGATGATTTTGGCGGTGTTTTGTTCTCTGAGATGGATGGTTTAAACCATCGCGATCGATTTCCAACCGTGTCTTCAACCGCTGATTGTTATTATCTCAAGGGTCTCAACCAAGTATTTTACGTCTCTTCACGTAGCTCAGAGACTTCAATATCTAACCAATAAATAAAGTTTTATTTTGTTCGTTTATTATAGACAATAAAGGCGAATATCTGTGGTACACATCTATATCTCGCTAAACTTTAATTTTCTCCCTACATTTTCTTTATCACTTTCTTCCTTTTTTTCTTATCTCTGTTTAATAAATACCTTTAGAGAAGCACTAACCTCTTACACTGAGGCGTATAATTCAATGCCTAATTTGCCGATTTGTGCTTATAACTATGCAGTGGCATTGTGCAGACAAGACGAATGGGTAAATTTAATTATTTCTTATTATATATCATTACCTTTCACTGGATTTGTCTATACATTTATGTGTGCATCGTGACTGAAACTCCTTTTTTCTAATTATTTATTATGATCACTAGGCAGTCATTGTTTGCAATAACTGGTCATTGAAGATTAACACAAAGCTGCGTTATTTTATTCTACATGTTGACTGAATTATGTTGATCAAGTTTGTAGGAGTGGGAGGTTACTAAGCTTGGTAGCTCATCATTATAATCCAAGCTGATGGAGAATATATTCACAACGGAATGCAATTTTAAAGTCTCTATCAGTTAATCGTCATTGAATCATGATGTAAGAAACAAGCATATTTACAAATGGTATGCACCGTACCAAGAGGAGCAATCGACAGGAAGTATCAGTTCAGTCGGGTTTGTTTTCATGTCTTACTGACTGCTCCCAGCATGCATGAAATCTAAGTTAAACATTGTTTCCTACAATTTTCTTGTAACCATTTAACACCTAGTGGGTTTTTTTAAACTAGATACAACTTAGAAAATTTACACTTTTCTCACTATCAATATTCAACATAAATGCGTTGCTTGCAGTGGAAAATTAAGACTTTGTTCTTTTTTCCACAACAGTTCTGAAATACATATTTTTTTTATACTATTCATCAGTAGCTAATTATCTACTAATTTGACAGTAGAACTATGTCATAGTCAACATTTTTTTCTACATTATTTATTTATTTATACAAACAACGAAGCGAAGGGTACTGGGTTCGAGCCTCAGTGGAAGCAATATAACTCATTAAGATTCGGGTACATCCAGCTGACGAGTCCCAAATAAGACGAAACACGCGCCCTGGACTCCTCTGCTAGCCACAACCAACCGAATTACCATAATTAACGATATCGAGACGTCCTCATAGGAGCCCGTATGCCAATAGAGGTCGAACAATTCGATCCAATGAAGCAACGGAGAATGAAAAGTATATCAATAAATAGTAATAACTACTAGCCGTTCTACAAGAAGGGGCTGTCGTTCCTCCGTGGCATAGTGGATAACGCCTTGGCGTTTGAAGTGATGGGTACGAGGTCCGAGTCCCAGTGGGGACAACATCGCTCCGCACTGGAGTGCAGGTACATCCAGCTGACTAGCCCCAAGTAGAACGAAACATGCGTTCTGGACTCCTCTGCTCAGGTGTTGCTGTTAAAATTTACCCAGGGGTTGGGGTACAACAAGTTTATCCTGAGAACAGAGCATGCAAACTTGCTATAGTCACTAGTTCATGGTGGGATTCTGCCGACTGAAGAACCAGTAATGGCTCAGATACATCTACGGTAACGGTGGTTACCTATTTTAAAATCTCAGATATGTCATGTATTCCCTCAGCGTTTCAGATACATTCTACTCATTTTTGTTATGACTCGTAGGTTCCGAGTTCATGATTTCATGTTGATTGCCACCAGACTTCCTTATTTCTGATATAGTGATTCATTCATACACTAGCAATCCCTTGAATCTAACAGTAATCACGAGCCTGCGAGCATATATCTCTTAATTACAGCAACAGTATCTCACAACGACGAATAGAAATCGAAGTACACTAAACAACCACATGTACTTTCGTGTATTAAGCAATGAGCCACACCTATTTTTGTGAGGGTTAATCAATCAATCAGTATCAACATAGGACTGCGTAGCAATCCAGATTGCCATATCTCATATCACCACAACAAGTAACAAAGCAGTAAGGATGAACGATGAAAAAAGAGAAAAACTGATTAGAAGCGATAAAAGAAAGGATGAATGAGAAAATGATGACATTAAGTATAGCGGTGAGATGAAGTGTGAATACATCTACGCCACTGACGTCGATTCTTAACCATATCACCTAGTCTCCGAACATTGGTTTCTGTTTTCACGTGCACCTAGTCTGCACCTCCAACAGTCAAAGACTTCATCCAGTGATGCCATGTTTTAGTCTGGCCAACTTGAACCTACTTCAGCTAACATTGTGTGACGAGCCAAATGGTAGATAGGTATACATAACACACGTCAGCCACTTGAATCGATGGAGGTTCGCAACCTCATCAACTGACTTTCCTCTCCTCCCTAGTGAGGAGTGGGTTTTGAACCAATGACCCATCGGTTGAAAGTTAAGTGCCTAGACTATCATTTCACAGCTGTACCATAGTACACTTCATTTTCTACTCCGTAACTTGATATTTATGTAGACTAATACAAAAGTAGCAATTTGTATTTTGAGAGATGGTAAACGCATTCAAAATGTTTTTACTTTTTCAGTAAGTGTATAGGATGTTATATTGATGTTTTTTTCTCCACCTTTTGGTGAAGTGATGAATTTATGAAAAGTTCGATAAAGCATTGTGTGAAACATATATCCGAGTGACTATAGTTCTAGATAATGCAGAAAACTGAGGAAAATGGATGGTTATTAGTGCGGAAGAGATTCAAATTACTTTTTATTGTATGTGATTTTCAATTTCAGAAATAACCATCACAATCAAGTAAGTTTCAGTTAGTTGACATATTACCGAAGAACTAACTATGATTCGAAATGAACAAGAAGGGGGATAGTGTGTTTTACCTAATGGTTATGGTGATCAGTTGATTTCAAATTATTTTTAAGCCGTGAATTGATACCACTTGGAAAACCATTGAGAATCCGAAAGTCATTTCGTCCTACTTTGTGACTCCTCAGAAGTGTGCATCAATGATGTCAGTGCGACATCGTCAGGTTTCCTATGCTTTTAGTAGACGTCATGAACAGGCTTGATGTTTGACTAATGTACAGTTTTCTCTAAAATCGTTCAGTTTGATGGATTTGCATTGGTGCCATTAGTTTTGATGTGCACTCCACTGAGACGAATATCTAGCATTTCTAGTTTTCCACACAACAAGCATTGATAACCAGACTATCAAGTTGGATTAATTGTTCATTTGCTATTGATAATATAGTGTGAACGGACCTAATTGGTATCGATTTGGGAGTTAGTCTATGAGTGTGTGTTTCTGTGAAATTGAGTGTAAGAAAGTTACGAACTCCGGATGAATTTGATATCCTAACCTCAGGAATCCACTTTTCAACACCATACATTCACTATTTTAACTTTTTTGTTTTTACTGTTTATGCTGTTATCATAATTTGTTGATCTCTTGTCTTGTTTATACGATCAGCTTTATGTAATTTTTTTATGAATCTGTTTAGGAAAAGGCCTTAGATGTATATTCTTCTATTAACCAGAGGTAAGTATATTCACCGTTGACGACAACATGCACTAAATAGAATATTTGTAAACAGAAGTATACAAGAAGCATAGATTAGTAAAATTCGAAAGTGATAGAAATATTAATTTATGATGTTTCGCGACCTCATGGAGATTGTTTTTTCAAAGTTGTCGCCTGTTGTGATCAGATATGTCTCTATCTAGTATTTAAAGATGCGATAAACTCTTACAGGTTTTATTTGTTCTCTGATAAAACCGCCCTATTGAGGTCACGAAAAATCAGAAATAAATTTTCTCATCTCATTGGGATTGTGCAAATGATTATTACTATTTGTCCTCTAAGTTCCTAGCAGAACATAAAGGTTCAGTAGCACGTCGCCATTTCACTCCCTTCTCTGCAGTCTTTTGAACCTGGATCCAAGACTCCCCATAAGTTTTGACTTCTTCCTCATACAGTCACCTCCATGTCACCTTCGAACACTCAACTCGTCGTTTCGCCTTTGAGTTCGACTCGAGGATCTGGCCTGGCCTGACCTGACGCGTGATGTTCCCAAACGGTCTTCTCAGTGTTTGTCCGGTCGAATCCATCTTCACTTTCCTCTGCATATTTGTTGGGCGATAAGCTCATAGTTCGTTGGCAGCCAGAGCTTCTTGTTGCTTATTCCGATTATTCTGACCATCCATCTTATCTTCGGTATTGAGTGAGCATAGGTGGCAGGTGTTGATGCTGTATGTGTGTAGTTTGTTGGAAATGCTTTTGATAACGCGCCAAGTCTCTCAACCATCACATAGAAGTACTGACTTACTTGACTGAATTAGTGTTGGAAATCGGGATTTTGTTCAGGTTTTATGCTGAGTGGAGTGCAGTGGAGAAGATCTCCACACTGACTTCAGAATAATGAGGGAAGGCCTATCTTGCTGTGTTTTTGATCCTGGCTTTGACATCGTGATGTGTGCCTGTGCTGCCGGCTGTAGTTGAGAGGATGCTGGGTAGGTAGGTAAGTAGATGAAAGAGACAACTTTGTTTATATCTCTCCGGTTGATGTTGTTTGTTGTTGTTGGTGGTAGTGATAGTTGGGTATCTTCATCATCTCTGTCTTGTCTATGTTCACCTGAAGGAAGTGCCGTGTTTGCTGCCCTGCCTGTTCTGCCAACTTGTTAGTTTTCGCCTGTAGATGTTCGAGTTTGTTGTGACATAAGACATTATACATAAATCATCATTGGCGGTGAACTCCAAATCTTGTAAGGTGTTTTCATCAGTCAAACAGCGTATGCCGATCTTCTTGCTTCTCCCCCTTTTATAAATCATTTTTCACCCACCCAATACTCATTCTATTCAATTCTGTCAGGTCAAATTTTTGTCCTAAAGTCTACAGATTAACTGCACATTGTATGCTATCTGTTAATATGACATGACTTGCATATAGTTAGTTTTATTATGCAAACTGCAATATTTCTATAAGGAATTGAAAAGTTAATTGGTTGATGGTTTCGGCGCGCCATTTCAAGAAATGAGTGTTCTGCAATTTCTTAATGAATAAATAATCTCATACTTTGATCATCATATTCGACAAATTCGTCTGTGTAACCATTATTATTGGTAAAGTACGATTGTGTGAGAAATATATACTCAGGTGGCATAGTAATATATATCCCAATTATTCTTAAAAGTGATTCTCTACCTTACTTAATTTATTTGTATATTTAGTCTTTTTCGGATGGTTGGAGACAATCAACAGAAGGCCCTGTTTGACTTAAGTTTGGTCGTTATTAGCACTTGATAGCAAGATGTATCTACAACTTCACCGGGAAGAACTGATCTCTCCAATGAGATTCGAATGTATGTCACCTAGTGCTTCAGTCAGAGGTGTTACCTCTGAGCTATTCTTTCTCGATAGATCTTGAATTCATCCTACGATCAATTCTTTTTGATTTCACGAGAATCTTAAGTCCACTGCTTTCAAATACATTGTAGATGTCGAAGTATGAAGATATGACGGATAGCTTAGGCATTGTTCTGTCAAGCGATGGGCTTCAGTTTACAGTTGTGCTACACCGACTGTTTGAGTAACCGGTTAGTATCATAAGTCCTTATACAATATGTTTGGGTCATGGCCTATAGTATGAACGTATTAGGCTTTTTAAAACCGAATATTTTAAGGACGTGTTTTTACGTTACTGAAGTGATATCATCAGTCATCTTTATGGAGTAAGTTGAAGAATGATTTATATATTCTTCATTCAGTAGACAAGATTTCTGGAGACTGAGTGTAAAGGAGACAATTAATGTGTCCATTTTTAGCAGTTCATATTAATGGCTTCATATATCTGTATCCTAGAATCTGAATCATACTTGTTGCATAAGGGACACTGATACTGTTTGTTTGCATAGGCTTTGTTGGAGGATGGATACCACTTTTGGCATATGGGGGTTTGTGAGAATGCCTTCATATTTTCGGTATTCGGTCCTATCTACATCGGAGATTCACAAGCTCTAAAGGACTATACTATAACTGCCGTGCAAGAAGTGGCTACCATGACTTGGTGATCTAGTGTATAACGCTCTGGCTTTTGAATCGATCTGCCCTGAGTTCGAGTTCCGGTGGGAACGTCATCACTCATTTGGAGTCAGGTATGTCTGGCTGACGTGTCCTAAATAGGACGAAATGCGCCTTTCTGATTCCCCCACTAGCCACTATCCATCATTAATAGCATGGGATAGGCTGTTTAATTTTACACAACGTATATTGTTACCAGTTGGTGAAATTGTCACCTCTTAGTTGATAAAACAGATATTGGATCATAAATGTGATAAAGCTTTTCAGCATGAGATATGTCAATATCTTTCTTTATCTCTGAACATAAAATTCGTATGGCCTGCAAGTTTTGCCTAGTTTTATTCGTCACAGCCACTTCCCACCTGTTCGATCAGGGGATTCCAAGTCACTCTAGTTACTTTAATCCTGGTAATCAGTTAGTATCTTCAGCTTTTCTATATAGAATGCTGTTCACATTGTAGCAAATCATCTTGTATATTCTTTTCAGGATAAATGGAGCTGTGGCTGTTGCTTTAGACATATAATCGACCAATTCATTTACGAGTTCTGATATACTTCACATTTTCTGTTTATGCATTGGATATTCTTCTGTGAAGCAACTGTTATTATAGTCAACAGTAAAGTACACGAACTTGTACGTGGTTGTCAAACCTTAGTAATTTCACACTTGGTGATTTATCGGTCATTTTCGACAGGTTGATAAGACTACTAAAGGCTGTTTTAAACGATGTCTATATGTAGTTGCCTGTATTATCTCATCGTTGATTGGACTGAATTAATCGGTCTCTATTGGCAGATGCTTCGATATTGCTCTTGTTTTAACGATATATTAGTGATGAATAGTGGTTAGCAGTGGAAGAGATAATACAAGCAACAGTATTAAAACTATGCCCGTCGCACAATAAGTCGCTATCGTCGCTCGGTGGTCTAATGGACAACGCTTTGGCGTTTGAAGCTATCTGTCTTGAGATCGAGTCCTAGTGGGAACAACACTCACTGAGAGGCAGGTACATCCAGCTGACGGGTCCCGAATAGAACAAACGCGCCTTCTGGATTCCACTACTAGTCACTATCCATCATTAATAGGCGTCTATATGCTTGTAATAGGAAAAAGCTCCCTTCACTGAACTGCCCAATCTCCTATTTGGATTTTTACAGAAATATATTTCACCCTTGCAGCTTGTACTTTAGTGCTGATACAAGGCAACCTTCAGTGTATCGCATTCACTCACAAAGTGAAAGAAGAGGTTTTTGGATTCCTTACTTGTATTTGTTGCTATGCAGCTGTGTATGTGATTCACCGGTCTACGCACATGACTTCGAACCCCCGCTTCACCCACTACGGTTTGCTCAACTATGTTGTATCATCAGCCATCATACAGTAGATTTGGCTAGTTGCCTACTGCAGGCATGTGAATGTTGTGGGTATTTGGATTCTTCCTTCTTTTACAGTGATTTGTCGTTTCGTTGAACAACTGTTACTTTAAGAATATAATTTAAACACTGTGTTAGAGTATAGTTCCATTAAAATTCTCTTTTTATTTATATATATCACACAGTGAAACTATTATTTACTGGATAGCGTCTCGCTGTTCATAATCATATCAGATATTCTTATCATCATCATTTGTGATGGAAGGTGCGTGAAGCATTTCATGCATCTTACTCTAAACACATTAAAAAAGAAGTGAAATGTATGTGTATGTATGGAGATACTTGTTGAGTCATTAGTTTCCCAAGTATGTGCTTAAAGTTTTCAACTAACACTACATGGTCTGGAATCTTCACATATTATTTCAAGTATATATACTTAATAGATGGATAGGTAGTGCAAAGTGGAATCATTATCAGTGGGAGACAGTGACTTTGGCTACTTAGTGTATTCACAGATGTATACTTTACGGTCGAAGATGAGGTTGATCAGTCACTGAGAGGATTTTATAAGATGATAACCTTCGTTGTTAGCTGATACTAGTTGTTCATAACTTTTTTATTTCAAGTTTATTGATAGTAGTACTTAGCATATATACGTAGTTTACTCTTCTACTCTTAGTGAATTCACTAAAGAAATGTGGCTTAATTATGGCTTGATTGCTTTACGTTTGGGTCGAATATACGAATGTTTACCAGCTTTGCAACGGGTTGTTCTAGCTAAAAATGAAGCGTAAGTGCTTTATTTATTTATATTGATATGATACGATTAATGATATGATTGACTGACTGAAAAAATCAACGTACAACTTCGCACACATGTGCATTGACTCAATCAAGTTGCCACACTTCACAGTGGGACACAAAGAACAGGTGAATAGAAAAAGACTGATACCAAAGTACACAACGTTGTGTAAGAGAATAAAAAATCTGATAAAGGTTACTGTGAATATTCAAGCCTCAGATGTTAAGGAGTGAATATATCAGGTAACTATGACCGATTTTCAGCCTTGTCACCAAAAGTCAGCAACCACTCATTCCTATCGTCACGTGGACTCCAACCACCCTATCTACTTCTCCCCACACAAATCAGACCAAAAGTAAGACACTTCATTGAAATGATGGAGAATATTTGTAGCTCAGGTGGATGGTCTTGGTTGTACTTTTTTCTCTGAGCTGGGTTGTTTAATCATGAAGCTTTCATCGCCTTGCTAGACGACATCATCAGCACTAACTTCAGTATGAAGTGAGCTGTCAGTATCCCTCCGTGAGTGATTTAGTAGTTTGCCTTGACGAAGCGGTCTATGATTGGTTGTTTCCTTTGATTGTTGCGTCATTGACTGCATAGATTTTCCTGTTGGCTGTTCCTTTGCTTGACCTGTGACCTTTTTGTCGTTTATCATCTTTCTTATTGGTTGATGGATTGGGTCTATGTCTATGCATCTATTAATTGCTGAGTGGTCTGGATGCTAAGCGCCTAGGAATTCTCTGAAATTTTTTGTATTTCCTCTATCCAAGTTTTCTACATTGTCGAAATTGAATTCATGTCCATAATTATCCACATGCATTGAAATGAGTGATGAAATATCGTGGCGTTTAATAACCAATAGGTGCTCATGTAGACGAAGGCGAAGAGGGCGTCCACTTTATCCAATGTAGTGTTGACTACAGTTATTCCAGTTGATTTTGTAAATGATATTCGGTTTGTCTTCTTTGGTTGTTGCATCCTTTGGTCTGGGTAATAGTGCTTGGAGGGAATTTTCCGGTTTGTGAGTGGCCGTAGCGTTCCCAAGTGGTCTCAGCAATCTTGTTGTGATTTCTGATATATTCTTTATGTATGGTAGGACGATGCGTTTGTTGATTTCTGTCGATGACTTTGTAGTTGGTGATGCACGGGATAGGCATCTTGTGATAAAGTTTCGTGGGTAGCCATTCTTCTTTGGGGTGGACATCAGATAATTTTATTTTCTCCGTGAAATTGTTGTGCTGCAGTGTGTTCTCGCTCTTTTGAATAGAGTCTGCACGCAACTGATTTTGTATGCTGTTGGGTTGTTGCTACTGTAATTTAGGATTTGGTCAGTGTTTGTTGGCTTCCTGTACACTTGGGTTTCCGGCTTCTCGACATTTATCCTACGTCAAAACGTTGTAACCACTTCGTGTTTTCTTCTTTTAACGAATGTCTCACAGCCGTACAACAGAACAGAAGATATTCGACACATTCCGCCGCGTCACTTCTTCTTATCAAACTGGGAGACACACGCTTAGGATCCTCAGATTCTCACTTAACGCGTTTAAAAGACCCCGCAGCTTGTAAGCGTTTTCACGCAGCAGGACAATATCGTCTGCATACTCGAAGTCAACGAGATGACCTCCAGGGAGTAGGTCGGTCGCTGTCAGTTTAGTCGTACCTAAGGTTATATTCATTAGTACGTCTATGACGAAGTTGAATGGGGACGTTGACAGTGAACATTCCTGGTGGACACCACTAGTTGTCCTTAATTCGGATGACAACTCTCTACAAGCCCTGAGAGGGCTGTGTGAGTTTTAGTAGGGAGCTTTGATTAGCGTTATATACTTTCTCGATTGAAACTTCACTCACCCGATAGTATGCATAATCATGAAGTCTACTTGAAGTCATCTTTAAATAATTATGGTAATTCCTCAGGACTTTATAATGGTTCACTTTATGACCAGCTTAGTCAACATCTCGTCTACTTCACCCATTGTAAGACTTATTAAGGATAAGTGTGTGATGGAGGAGGAAAGCGTCTATCACTGAATAGTAGAGTTTTATGCATTCGCATGTTTGAAATGTGTTCTATGGTCCTATGTATGTGTGACTACACATTCATTTAGATTAGTAAATGCAACAGGATGTGACTTCATCTTCCACTTATTCCAACGACTTCGAATCTTAACTGCATAATATGTTTTCTTGCTGGCAATGTTAAGTCTTCATCTGACTATCAAGTTATTTGCACCACGAGCGTATGGTAGCTTAATGAAAACATCTTCCTATTCTACCGGTTGAAGCCGTTGGAAAAGGCGAAAAATGAAATATTATTTTATTTGCTAATTTAAATGTTTGTATGGTTACACATACATAAGGAGAACTCATCAGTTATTAGAAATTACGGCCACAGAACCTATTCTAAATTGGCTTCAGCGACGAATAGTCATTTGACCCGACTAATACTATTACTAGTATTATTGTTTGTATTATATCGTCGTTGATTGGACCGAATTAACCGGTCTCTATTGGCATATGAGCTCGTGTGCGGATGCCTCGATATTACTTGTGTTTTAATTATAGCGATGAATCCAGGTGGGAACAACATCACTCACTCGGAGGTAGGTACATCCACCTGACGAATGACTCCCAAATAGGACGGAATGGGCATCCTGGATTGCATTGCTAGCTACTATCCATCATTATAATACTAGAACTGTTATTATTTTCATCTTTATGCTAATTATATTTAATTTGCATATTTCAGTTTATATTGGGAAATTCTTGGAGAAGCTTATCTACTACGAAGAAGTCATGAAACAGCTGTTAGAGCATTTAATCGTGCTTTAGAAGTAAATTATTACGATTATTACTATGTGAATGTGCAATTGATATAACACGGGTTGCATATAATTTAAATATTCATCTATTTATAGGATAGAAAAATCTCTCAGCCATAGGTATATCAACCATTTTATTTTATTATTGTTGAGCAGATGATGACTGTCTGTTGTGTTGGAAACACCGTCTATATTAACAAAAGCATAATTATTCACATTCATTTTTCATTAGATTATTCGACATAGTTAACAAAAGGCTCTTACTTGATTTTTAGTTTTTACTTGTTGAGACTGAGTGATTAGGCGTGTGCAGACGTCAAATACACATTACTTTAATTGCACGTGTCGCCTTTCGGTTTTTTAAATCTAGTTCTTGATTACTACACACATGTTGGTTATTTTACTGCAATCACTGTGTTTTTCCTGACTAACATGTGAATTCGTGACTCGTTACTACCGCTTGATCGTGTTCACTCTGGCTGCCTAGTCAGAACTTCTCATCTCAATCCAAATCTAAGTGAATGAAAGGGGCGGAGTATCACATTGGTTATCAGTTTTTGTCATCGGTCGAACCTCCTAGGTCAGTTGGTAGAGCACCGACCCGGAAACCTAGTGGTCGTTGGTTCGAATCCCGCTGTGGTCCAGATATTCATTCCACTTTCAATCACCACCAAGTATGTTACTGGGATATCTTATGAATAAGTTCTTGCACCAATTGCCAGCAAGTATGTCTCTAGAGCTCCATTTTCTCGTCATTAAATGTAATACACATTAGAGATGATTTGTTTCGCTTGGTGTTCACATTTCAAACTTGGTCGTAGGACTTAGTCAACACTTTAAGATTAGACATTATAACACAAGTTATAGGCGGGTATCAGTCAAACCGTCATTAAATATCCAGATATGCTAGATTATTTAGTCGGCGGAATTTTGAGAATTCTTCTTCGTCTTCACAATATTAACCTCAGAATTACGAAACTTGACTAACTGACTAACAAATTTATTGCATTAATATCTGTTATATATTCCAAACGGATATAATACGCACGCTTTACTGAGAGCTAACTTCGTAAGCATGAGCCATTGTAACCCGGGACGAATAGAGAAGAAGACTGAAACTGAATGGGAGAGTTTATTCCTCCGAGAATAATAATCAATCGATTGAAAGATACGTCAGTATGCATACACATGAGATATGACTTTGTTCACAAATTGAGACATTAACATGAGTCGCTTTGAAAGCCACCTTAGCAAAAACGGAAATAACCAATCAGACTTCTGTATTTTATTAAAATCTACCTTTCTAGGCAAAATGAAGAAAGCTAATTGCTAATTTCGCGGGTGTTGTGGGGATTTGGAAATATTGGTTATTTCCGTCGTTGCTAGGGTGGCCTTTAAGGTCGCACCTTGACAACATAGTAAGAGTGAGAATTAGCCAATCAGCGAAATTACATTATAAGCGGGGGCAGAGAATAAACTCTACTAGTCATACTGTAAAAATGGTGTGAAAATGACAAGTTAAAAAATGTTAGGTTTAATAACAATGTTTTATGCAAGACTCGGGCCTTCCAACATCCCCATTTTGAAGAAAAACCGTTAATACCTTCGCTTTTTGGGATCCAGTTAGAAGTGTGCTATTTGAGACCGCTTCCGATCAGTGCATCCTCTGGGTTGAAGCTCCTTGTTGATTTCGGTTTCGGGTCCTTTCGGTGTCGTTGGTAATTTAAACGTATCCAGTAGAATATTGAGTGGTATGGTTGGATTCACTGGTTGATTGGCTTTTCTGTGACGGATCTGATTCTTATGTCTCGCCCATTTCTCTTGATCTACTATTATGTCGTACATCACACTCCCGGGTCTTCCCATGACACCTGTCCACATGCCATGACCTGGTCTGCAATCTCGTACGTAGATGCAGTCTCCCTTGTTGAAGTGTGATCCGACTGTTTGCGTTGTTTGTGCACGACGTGATGGTAACATTGCGTCGTGGTGTAGGGTACATAGTTTCCTTCCTATCAAAACGTTCGCCAGAGATTTTCTACCTGGTAGGGCATTATTTGGTGTTGAACGATAGATGAATAGAAATTGTTGTATGACAAAGGTATCCTGCTTGGGATTGCGAATAGAGCATGTGAACGATTCAAGTTGAAGTCGCTAACAGACAAACAATTCATAGTACTCATATTTATTTGTGCTCTTCAGTCCTCGAAATTCATGGACATACGCACCCGCCTGTTGAACCGTCTGGAACAAGACTCAAAGCTAACATTGAAAGATATTGGTTAGAAATACCAGCGAATTACATTACAAATAAAGGCAGGAAATGAACTACTGGTCATGTCGTAAAAATGGTATGAAAATGACAAGTTAAAAAATGTTTAGATCAATAACAATGTTTCAACAGTTTCCTAATCTGGTTTGAAGAAAGTATTCCAGAGTACAAATCAATTTTTAATGACGGTTTGTCAGACCTTAGTTTTCTGTTGAAATGATGCTCAAGCTCACTAGAAGTTAAACTCAGTCAAACCCTCAACATCTTTCTATCCCTTAGTAACATTTTTTTGAAGAAGAAAAATAATGACCAAACTGAAGTATCCTCTTTATTAAATGAACTGTATAAAGTCTAGAGTATGGTGGTGTTGACAACAATTCTGTTGTGACCCATGCTTTCATTTCACCTTCAATCAGCACTCCGTATCAACTATACACTAGTCTGCCAAAATATTGATGATCACTTTGAAACTCCTCATCTCTAATTCAATCTGATTGAGATTGGAACGAAGAGGTCTGGATAAACAGCCAATGTGATGATTGCGATAAACCGTCAGGTACATATTACGGATTCATATAGCAGTCGGGTAAGAGTCTTAGTGATGAAGTGAGATTAGGACCTGGTAAGAAGTTGGGTCTTGTTGGTTGAATGCCGAGCCGGTCACCTAAAGACCTATATTCTCACTTCACCTTCAATCTGCACCCCATATCATTAATACACCAGTCAGTTAGTCCATAACTACCTCAGATAATCTCATTGTCAACTGTCTAGAGGACAAAGATATTATGTGCTTTGATATGGAAAATAATTGACTAGTAGAGCTTCTGGAGGACTACACTAGGATCTTGTTTATTTACAACTATACATGTAGCCAATCCATGCGTAGTTCTCATTTTATTAATTGTGCAATGACTTCAGCCATCTAAACCGGCGTAATCAGCTTGTTCATGAATTGTTGTTAGCCAGTATCAGTTGGCTTAATTTTTTTGGCTAGTCAGCTAGTACAGGTATACGTTTTCACGAAGACCGTAGAAGAGAGATGTCTAAGTATATATATATATATATATATATATATATATATATATATATATATATATATATATATACCCTTAGTGGTTATTACCCTTTATCGCCTATCACATAGCTATTTTTCAATTTGATAAAATCGCCTTGGTATAGTAGTACTTTATCGATCCATAGAATGTTTATCAGTCGTACCAAATAAGCTCTTTTTTTTCTTATTGTTCGTTGAATTGTAATATGAGTGACTCGAAAGGCCACCTTAGCAACCACCAGAGTAACCAATCAGATTTCCCTATTTTGTGTAAATCTGCCTTTTTAGCTGAAATGGAGACACTTAATTGGTTATCTCAGTTGTTGCTAGGGTGGCTTTTAGAGTCATTCTTATATGTTCACTTTAATTCTTTTTAAAAAAAACTTTTCATATTTATGATTTCAGTTAGAACCTAATCGACCGTTTACACTGATTCTGTAAGTAATACTTGTGTTTCTACTTTCACATGAATGTCATTAAACGTTTAGTAATGGATTGACAGTGGAGTATATTGGCATTTAGGTGGATTAAAATGTGAGTGGGGATACTGAATACCTTTAGATATTCCAACTGTTTATAAATGACGATTGTTTTCGCCAATACTCTTGATTTAGCTGCGGAGATATCAGGCATTGTGAAAAGGCAACTAGTAACTGCGAAAACAAACATTGTGTGTATACAACGTTCTGACGTTTGAAAATACGCTAGGAAAACGTCCAATTATTTTGTCCGGATCGTTTCAGCAGTGCATTGGATTGTCCAGTAGGTTTACTCTTTGCACACATTGACATGTATCGAAGCTGTTAGACGTTTTACAAACCGACTATACAGAATGTCCACTATTTTCCTTCATCAGCAGTTACTTAGGATACCGAACATCTGTTGTTGTAATCTTTATTGTTAACCAGCTACTACTGGACTTTCAACCAATGTGTCCTTGGTTTCAGCCCTACTCCCCCTGCTTGAGTTGTATCTCCAATATCAGCAACATCCTAATTGGTGAAATAATTCTCTACTTGCAATCAGCATAAAAATGTCGCAGAAAATGCCTAACTGTAAACAGATAACTCAGTCACTGTCATACATTGTGTTTTGAAGGTTAACTGAATCCCGGTGACCACTTTCTACTTTAGGAATATATAAGTTGTATTTTAATTGTGTAGTCCCGGCCTAGTATTCATCACACCAATTACTAATACATTTAACCGAACACAGTCGAAGTTGTAAGCAGCAACCAAGAAAATTCTCGTGAACTAGAAAACGTTGTAAAAAAACTGCCGTAGCAGCTCATACCCTAAATATTCACATCATAAAATATCATTTCCAAAAGGAAAAATCTTGCAAAAGCTTTTCCTTTTTCACAAGATGCAGGCCATTTCAAGAGCTTTGTATATCTGTTCGTACCCTTCTGTGGTCTACAGAAAAGATGGCTTAGATATCCCACAAATATGGTAAACATTATTGACTCACATTGACATTTCCTAATAGCCTACAAAAAGTTTGAATACACTTTCAGTTCACACTGCTCCACCTGATTTATTCGTAACATATTCATCTTTGAAAACTGAGAACGGATCCATTTTTTGATTCCGATGGTACCTTGGCAACTGCCTCCAACCTGAGATATCAAAAGGTATATTTTTACTACTATTTGTCCTCTAAGTTCCTAGTGGAACATAAGGGTTCAGTAGCACATCGCCATTTCACTCCCTTCTCTGCAGTCTTTTGAACCTGGATCCAAGACTCCCCATAAGTTTTGACTTCTTCCTCATACAGTCACCTCCATGTCACCTTCGAACACTCAACTCGTCGTTTCCCCTTTGAGTTCGACTCGAGGATCTGGCCTGGCCTGACCTGACGCGTGATGTTCCCAAACGGTCTTCTCAGTGTTTGTCCGGTCGAATCCATCTTCACTTTCCTCTGCATATTTGTTGGGCGATAAGCTCATAGTTCGTTGGCAGCCAGAGCTTCTTGTTGCTTATTCCGATTATTCTGACCATCCATCTTATCTTCGGTATTGAGTGAGCATAGGTGGCAGGTGTTGATGCTGTATGTGTGTAGTTTGTTGGAAATGCTTTTGATAACGCGCCAAGTCTCTCAACCATCACATAGAAGTACTGACTTACTTGACTGAATTAGTGTTGGAAATCGGGATTTTGTTCAGGTTTTATGCTGAGTGGAGTGCAGTGGAGAAGATCTCCACATTGATTTCTTACAGTTGTTTGTTGCATGATCCAGTCCAATTCAGTCTAGTCGACCACAATGAGGCAGATGATCGGTGATAGTAGGCGACAGTCTTGTCTTACTCCTGTCTTCACTTCAAAAGCATCACTGAGCTTTCTGTTGTGAATCACTTGGTATGTAGCATACTCATATAGGTATATAACTGTTGAATGAGGTTGATAAAGATTTTTGGCACCAAAACCGTACTGTTGAAGCAGCTACTAAATTACTTTTCGGTCGACGCTATCGAAAGCGTTTTCAAAGTCATCAAAGGATATAGTTTTACTGAAAATTTAAGATGTTTTAATTCTGAGGTTAGTGAGGATTTTAATTTTAAGATAGTATTTATCTCTATTAACCTCAGAATACGTTACTGTATGGTGCTGATTGGTCACAAGCTTCTTGATGGATATCCCGAAGTTCTTATGACTTGTGGGATAAACCACTCGGAAGGGAAGCGGATGCCACCTGAAGACCTTAGGTAATAGTCGTGCTATATCGTGAAGTGACAGAAGTTGGATATGTGAACCACTGAACTCCTACCCAATGGCTGAATGGTTAACGCGTTTGCAGTGAAACCTAAAGGTTCCTCAATGTGATCCGTAGCCGTGTCGTAAGTGCGTACTGCTGAGTTGTCCTATACCAGGATGAAAGAGGTGTTCAATGCTTCCAGGTTTCCAAAGTTTTCCAAATGATGCCAGTGCGTGATGATGAATATCTCAAAAATACTTTAAAATTCATTGAAAGAAAACAGAATATTAGTCGGTGATTTAGATGGATAGAGGTAGTGATAAATTAAATCTTATAACGGCAAATTCAAGGCGAGTTTATGAATAGTCGTATTTGTATGCATGATCTGATAGGACTTTCTCGAATTAAAACAATGACAGGAGTAGCGCCCGAAATATTGCAAGACTTAACACTTAACGTAGGTAAGTCATATGATAAATAAGCAGAATATTGTGAATTAAGCTCATTCGATACGAACAAAAGATAACTCAACTAAATAAGAGTGAAGGGATAAACATCTTTCTTGAGTATAATTGTTTATTCTTTCTGCACTGTACATTTTCACAGTCGAATTCACTTCACATCTTATGTTTCCTACTACCTTAACAACGCAACCTAAATAAGCTTCTCTGATGAATTTATTACTTTACTTATCTAAATTATATTCGTCTTTTTTCAATATAGCTATCTAATTAATAATTATGAAGGTCACCTTCTGTTCCAAACTTAAATATTAACGTGAAGACTTAAGGGGATGACTTTAAGGGTGACTTTGAATGCCACCCTAGCAACCGCTGAGATAGCTAATTACATTCTTTTATTTCATGGAAAAGTGCTTTCCCAGGAGAAATACCGAAGCCTGATTGGTCATTTTAGCGATTGCTAGAGTGGCCTTTAAGGTCACTTCTAGCTCTACACATAGTATAGTAATTCCGCTAAGTGGTAGTGCTGATGATATCCGATTCCCTATGAACACAATAAGCTGGTCATAAGTTCGAACTAGACTCCACTTACCGAGGTTATAGACAGCCAGGTAGGTAGTATGATTAGCCTTCACACAATAGACGTGACTCATAGCCGCCTACTGCTTGGAGGTGCATGCGGTTGGTGAGTAGTGGACTCCAATTTAACTGGTGAACACCTTCCTGTTACGATGCGGGGTTATGAGAAGGAACGATGATAATTAAAGATTGAAAGTCGAGGGTTGAGATGATCCGACCTGAGTGATTCGTAGAGACAAATCAGAAGACTGAGTTAATACTGCGTCGAACTGAAAATGTTCATTAGTAAAAAAAAAAACCGGACCCTATTTATAGAGTTTACGATAACCTTGAAAGACAAGAAATAATTAGTACATTGAGAAAGGTAGGAGGCAATCAGAACCCTAGCACTGGTTATATGAAATGTGACATATGTGCAGGAAAAAGAGCGTAAAGAAAAATGCTGTTCAAAATGTATAAGAGGTAAGAGTGGAATATATTAGAGATGTTAGACATCTGTAACACTTCCCTATGCTGATTAATCTACTTAGACAAAATTGTAGATATCCAACCAATATTTTTGATCACTGAGCATACCAGGTGTGGCTTACGCCTTATCTGTACTTGACTAATCAGTTATGTATATTGTAGTTTTTAACGATTTACTTCAAAGACCATCCTAGCAGCAACTGAAATGACCAATTAGACGTTTCTATATTATGAAAATCTTCCTTCCCAACCGAAATGAAGAAGCGTGATTGACTGTTCCAGTCGTTCCAGTGACTTTAAAGGCCATCCTATTAACTGCTGAATTGACCAATCAAACTTCGATATTCACCTATGAAAGCACTTTTCCATAAAACAAAGGAATGTAATTAGGTATCTCATTTGTTGCCAGAGTGTCGTTTGATGTTCGGTGAATATAATGAGTGACTTTGAAGGCCACCGTAGCAATTGCTAAATTTACCAATCAAATTTCAGAATTTCTACTGTGAGGGTTTTTCATAGAATAGAGGAATGTAATTGGTTATCTCAGCAGTTGCCTGGATGACGTTTAAGGTCGCATCGACTATGAGAGCGACTTTGAAGGCCATCACCCCAGCAACAACTGGAATAACCAATCAGACTTCTCTATTTTATGAAAATTTGTTTTTTCAACCGAAATAAATAAACCTAATTGTCTGTTTTGTTTGTTGCTAGGATGGTCTTTAAAGTCCTCCGAATACGAGGGCCACTTAAACAACGGCAAAAGTGTCCATTTATGGTTCTTCTGTTGGCTGGTCTGGCGGATTTTCATAAAATAGAACAACCTAATTGCTGATTTTTATTGTTGCTATGGTGGATTAACAATTCAGTTACTCACTGAAATATGCAATTTATTTTGGGTCGAGCCCAACTTTCAATCAAGCATACTTAACGATATGTAACACCTTGGATATAGTTTCTGCAGTTAAACTTCAAAACATATCTTTCACTGGTTAAATTTATAGAACACGGTTTGGTCATCGCCACTTCGCTGGTTAGACCTTAGTACTTACCACTTGCTTATCCGAACTCTATCGATCTGTTTTTTCAATGTTGGGCCACTAGGCCAAATTACGCAACACTGGGGAGAAAATCCTTACTAGCGAGTGCGAACAAGCGGAAAACCTAGTTCCAGGGCCTCATATTGCAGATTGACTCCCACTAACCTGTAAGTTTTAGGGCACTACGGTCTATCATACTGTACTGTAAATACTTCCATATGTGATACAATAGTTTCATGAAATGAATGTGATTTCTCAAGGGTAGCAACTGGTGTTCAAACACTCAATGCGCGTATGTACTGAGTACTGCTGTCTTTCGTCTATCCCAATGAGCAGCTGGAGGGTTCGTTGAGTCTATGATTGACTCAATTTATCGAGCTAAATTTCATGTATTGATAACGATAGCTTTTAGATGATTATTGTTGATGACTAGTTTATGGGGTGGATAAAATCGGGGTATGAATGAACTATTTGTGATCAAAATGAAAACAGATCATAATTACTTTACAGTTTCAGACTTTCTTAAGTTTTTAGGGCGTTCAGATGTTTTTCTCAATATGTTATAACTCGTAGTGCTAGTCAGAACGTCAACCACCACCACAACAATACCACCGAGACGTGAAGACAAAAAGAGAAGACTGACTGTTTTACATAGAGGTTTTACTGTCTCAACAGTAATCAAAACAGTTGAGCGCGTTGCTGAATATATACACTTCTAAGCAACCTTGACGACACTAAATCCACATTAGGTTAAGAGAGTTAACAACCAATGAGAATTCAGCCTTCAGAGCAGTGGAAAAACAAAAGCTAGAAACGGCTTGAAAACAGCAATGATACGTTTTTGTAAGGTTATAGGTAAACACCAGGCAAAAGTTATGCAAAATTAGGGTGTATATAGCACAATATTCGTTGAGAGGTTTGTGAACGCTAACTTCTCACGAGCATAAAGTCGTTGACGATCTGTTTTAGGTTATTAAATCGCTTGTTAGTTTGTCTAAAGGAAAACTAGACAATCACTACTATGTACAGTCATGATGTTATAACTTATAGTTTCCTATCGTTAATTGGGCAGATATTTATGGACTGCAATTTGAATGTGGACCCCTATCCGTATGCTTCACTAATGCCCATAATTTCAGTTTGATGATAACTCATCGGCAACGACAGCAGTAACTTGTAGCTAGGTACATTCATCTGACGAACCCTAAATCGGATGAAATACGTATGATGGATTCCCCTGCAAACACTATCCATAATTACAATAGATAGTTATTCCAAGAAATATTCATCGCTGAGTTGAGTAATGCATCTAACGAGAATGTAGCAACCTACTTTTTCAAAATTTTACGTTAAACCCATTCAATGTTTAATGCCTCAATTATTATGATTTTAGATAAGTTCATTTTATCGTTGTGTATACTTCAGTCGAAGGTATCAGCAGTGGCTCATTAGTTTAGGCAGTTAACTTTCAACCAGTAGAGCATAGCTTAGATTTCCACGTTATGTATCGAGGACCGGTTTATCCGGGTAGCCTTCACACAATTGGTGTGACTCACTAGCTAGTGCGTATGTTCGCCTAATTATTCTATTTCCATTATTATTATTACTATATAGTGATATGCTGTCGCCTTGTCTAGCTTATCCATCACATTCTTGGTTAGTAGACTTCGGCCAGGTCTTAGGATATCCGACAATCCCATCGGTTACTGTCTGACTGGCTCTAAAGTATGTATAATTTAGCATAAGAAAGTCAACATTTCTACTCTTCTGTTGTTTTATTATTTTTAGGTGTGGACGGACTTATCGTCATATGAATGAAATTTATTCAGCACTATCTTGCTTTAATAATGCCTTGAGTATGATTGAAAACAGTTATATGACGGATCCTATGTGTCGAAAATTTTATATTCTGATTCTTAAAGGTTAGTTTATCGTTTTACTTTAAGCCTTTTCGACTTGGTTTATTGTTAATTCTGTTATCATGTTCGATATATATTAACACAATATTCAGCTGACACCAGAAGAAAAAGACGATGAGATTCAAAGTATATTTACCTCAACAGAATGAATGAATTTCTATAGCTTGAAATTCTTTCGTTTAAATGCTCTTAGATGACCTTGACCAGGGAAAGCAAAATAGCATATTAAAAGTATAAAATTAACCAATCAGCGTTTAGTATCCTAAACTGTGGTAGAAATAAGTAACATTACATAACGCGGAAAAAGCGCGAAAATAAATCACTTAATGAGGTTATTAGCTAATCATCATTCGCGATGGTTGGAACACATGTTATGTATGTGCTGATACACATTGTTGTTAATTGGAATAGGATTAGGTTGCTTGAAGTTCTATAATCACCTTCAGTACTACACTGTTTAAACAGTAGGTTCATCATGATTTCTGTTTTTCATTTTGATTTTAAATCCACCAAGTTCAGGATGGCCAGATCAAGATATGGCACCAGTCGATGAAGTCCCTGACTGTTGGTCTGAGCCTTATGAGGAGATGTAGATTACCTGGATTGGGTCTAGCAGATGGAAGGATTGCATGTTTGAAGACTTGGTGACACGGCTGATGATTGGTTACAGTGCAAAGATACTCTTTCTCTTTGGCATCTTCTAAAGCTTGATTATTCGCAGTAATCTTTATCTTTACATTGTTTCTTCTCCTACACGACAAGCGTGGCAACTGTAACCGATGCACTTGTCTACGAGATTCTACGTTGATTCTGCCAATCAATACAATTCCAGTGATGTGATGTCTTTTCACTTAATCACTTTGACTGTGTTAGACAATCATGATTTCTCAGATTTGTATTATTGATATTAAGTGATGATTCATTTTGATTAGGACCTGGATGAAAATTGCTGGCTGGGCGACCGATGTGAATACGACGAATCCATAGTTACGCGTCACGAATTCACAAAGCATTTGAGTAAAACCTTTGGTGGTTGAAGTATAATTACAATTTAGTAAGGAGCTGGATCTCGTATTTTAGTAGTTGAAGCACTTGACCAGAAACCCGGTCACTGGTCCGAATCTTACCGCCACCCAGGTTTTCATTTCACTTTCACTCATCACTCAATAACAATAATATTATAATTGTCCTTGCTGCTCTGCGCTAATCAGTCGAACGTCTGCTCACCTTTCCCGGTCGTAATTATTATCATTACTTTTTTGATAGAATTAATTGAAATCCACATGACCAAGTGCCGATCTGGTATATATCAAGGGTACACTGGTCAAGCGATAAACGATTTACAGTATGTTTTACGTTTACTAGACAGGTATGTGTTTTTCAGTGTTCATCTTGTAAAATCAGAAAAAATCATTTGCTTATTTATATTTTGCATCTATCTGCTTCTTTTTCCGTTTCACTGCTAGCTAACAAATATTCATCACTATTTCATGTAGAGAAAAAGATACTAGTTTTTGGCGATAAAAACTTTAAGGAAGCTTGGAGAGTCGAAATAGACTCTTCAACCACATGTACTTGGATGTTATAGACTACCAGTTATCATACCTGTTTTGTGAGAGTTAGTGATACTACTTGACTGCCAAGAATGCATTTAAAGATCACCGTATAAACTACTGAAATAACCAATCAGGTTTCGACGTTTCGGCTGACAAGATAGTTACTCATAAAATACAGAAACACAAACCGTTATATCATTAGTTTTTAGGATGGCCTTTAGGGTGACTCCTGCTTAGACCCCATCAAGTGGGGAGGGAGTTTGAATCTGTGACCTATTGATTGGTAGGTATCGAGTGTCTACATTAATGAATCGCAACCCTACCAGTTAGTTGGAAGTGTTACGATGTTACTACAGTAGGTTAAGTCAGTGAACCACCCTGTGATGTGTTAAACACGCATCAGTTAAATATAGTTAGAGCATGTTATAACTCGCATATAATAATATTCATAATAATCACTTTATTCCAGTTCATGTTTACTCCAGCTTTAAATTCTCAGCATGTAAACATTTCAACACGTTTTTAAAGTGACGCCTCAGTAATATATCAGTAATAACAGTTTTTAAAGTAGTAATATGTGGCAACTAACTGTTGCTACGTTATTGTCTGTTCTGAACAAGAAGGGACGAATAGAATAGTGTGCATAATTTTGGTGGTGGTGTAGCCGGCGTTGCTGATAAGAATGGATATAAGTAGTATATGTTGAGAGGACCGTAGAAATCACAGGCGATTACCATTAATGGGTAAAGATTCTGCCCAGAGAAGTGCAAGAGACAAGGTAGGCGTATTAAGAGCAAGTCAAGATAGAAGCAAAAGAGGAAATGAAGCAGATTGTACAAATGACTTTTAGTGGAAACTGTACATTATTTCATGCTGAACCTTATCACAGTATCCGTAGGAGTCTCTATCTCCCGTGAACAATCTGTTTTATTTCTTAACCAACTTCATGATGTCTGCTGCTACTAGGTGGGGGTGCTTTTGATACCTCAACCTTTGTTACCTCGCTATTTTCCTCTGGGGTGAACGACCCGTACTTTGTCGCCACTTCTCCTATTCTTGTGTTAATAACTACACCCACTTCTCTCAAAAAATCAACACCTAGGATTGTCCGTTGTAGACGTGTGATGAAAATGAATGGAAATCTAATTTTCCGATCTCGATGATACAATCTGATAAGCATACGATTTCTAATACATGTCCTCCAACTTGTGTGGACCGTTTGCGCACATAGTATTATGTTCTGAGATCGACTTTTATCCTGGTGGTGACACCAATTTTAGGAGACAAAAAGACTAAGACGCAGAAAGGAATGTTTATTATTGACATCTTGTTCAGTAGTGAAACATTGTACGCTCACCACAAAAGCAGTCATCTGGATAATGTACATCATTTCCTCTTCCTCTTCTTTCTTAATTTTCTCTTAATGCGTCCACCTTGTCTCTTGCGTTTCACTGGGCAGAATATTTACCCATTGCTGGTAATTGCCTATGATTTGTAACGCCCTCCCAACATATACTACTCATATCCATTCTGATCAGCAGTGGTAGTTTATTCAGCCAGCAGCACAATCTACATTTTCAGTAACCTATTTCGGGGATAGTAAATACTTTGTAATGCTATGCATTTAAGTGTCTGTTCCCATCTACCGTAACGTCTTTTCTCAAGTTTATTGGTAACTTGGATAACGGAAGGTTAAAAATAATATTTTGCAAAATGCAGAAGAGTACATAACACAATTTGAAGACATTTTCGAAGGATTAAAACAATTTCAAATGGAGCTATTCGGCATCCTATGGTTCAAGCAGGCCACTGTAGGATGAGAATTAGAGTTTAAATTATCTCACATTGTTCAGATTTAAGCATGATCTCAAACTATGTAGTTTGTCTTTGAATAATTCATGTGATGAAGTCAAGTAGATTCATTCGATTAGTAAGAACTGACTATATACTAACATGAAAACTTTTCAAAGCTACTAAACAAATTATTCTACTAGTGTTTACTCTTATCAAACTGCCTTTCACGTATGTCATTCTCATCTTGGGCTATGAATTTGCCAAACTCTTAATTTCATCCTCATTTCCTACAGTTCTTCAGCTGACGAAGCTCTGAAGAAGTAGTTATCGAGTCGGTTTTTGTAAAGTATTGCAGCTATCATAGGTATCATATTCGAATTTCTCCATGTTTCATATTCATAACCTCCATTCCCAGTTATATCTGATGAAATATATGAAATAAAATGTTTTGCATAAAAATGAGAAATACCATAATCACAAGTAGCTCTCTCAGCCGAAGTGTAATGAGAACTACTTATAAGAATGCACATAGATTATATATAAAGCAACATTGAAAGTGATGAAGATTGATTGGTGACCGAAAGTCTTTGCAGTAATCACAAGCTAAGGTGGGTGGCAAAAACGAGTGATGCGGAGAAGATATCAGTATTACGTAGTATTCAGAAATTATTTAAACTTATATAGGAGACTGATAAGAAGTCGACGTTGGTCAGTGAAACCATCATCGACAAGGATAGAATTGTCATAACTTCTCACGACAGATGATTAAAACGTTGGAGCATGGTTCAGCTGGGCCACAGAAATGCTTTAGTCGCCCAGCATCCAACCCCTACCTGAGTGGAAATTAGATGTCTGCCCTCCAACTCTCTTTAAGTTGAGAAGGCTGTATCGAACCTGAAACGATGGAAAGCAGTAGGACCGAATGGCTTGCCACCAGAACGACTTGAGGATAGAGGTGGGAAATCGCTGATTAAAGAAAGTAATAGAGTTACGAAGTCGTATAAGGGAATCAGAATTAGTGTCATAGGACTGGTCTACTTCACTGACGATCCGAGTGTATAGGAAAGGAGAGACGTTTTCTTGTGGCAACCATAAGGAGACCAGTTTAATTTATATTATATCCGAGATCCTACGATCTATAGTTACCCACTACCTAACTGGAGCTCAGAACAACAAACTCTAGAAAACCTGACAGGTTTCAGATTTTGACGAGGGTGCACCGATCATATTTTCATCCTTCGGCAGGTTTACTTACTTCTGGTGGCCGACACTTACCATATTTCTTTCAGAAATACGACGTTTGACTCTGTCGACCGTGAGGTTTTTTGTATCTGACTTAGAAGGAAGTACTGAGAAAGTATATGACGCTAATCAAAGCTGTCTACCCAAACGCATGCAGTCTTGTAAGGATTTATGGAGAGTTGTCATCAGAACTGACGTTAACTAGTGTTCTCCAGGGATGTACATAACCTTAGGTACATCTATCTTCTCAGGGCATCTCGTTAACTTGCAGCATGCGGACGATATTGTTCTGCTGGGTGAAGATGCTGACAAAATTCTGTCTTCTGAAAGTGTTGCGCAGAAATCTCGGTATATTTGACATGCATCTCGCTGTCACCGGTCGAATAAAAGTTGATACTTCAGAACTGATCTGACGCAAGTACTCTGAGTTTAATGATATGTAGTGAATTGGTGAAATGTGTTAGTTATTTCACTTACTCAGGGAGCTGCATCAGCTCGAACCGGTTGGTTACCGACGAAATTTCAGCTCGTATACAGAGTGCTCATTTGACATTCGCTAACTTGCGTCACCTGTGGCGTCGGTGAGATATCCGAAGATCTGTCGAACGACGAGTATGCTGCACTGCAGTCCGTTGTGTCCTGTAAGATATGGCTGTGGGTCATTGGTTTACTGGGCCTCGAGTTCGAGCCCCGATCGGTCGACCAAGGTTCTGGCAACCGGCTATTATCACTAGGTCTCATACAGTAAGTGTAGCTCATTGACTTCTGCACAAATGTTTATGAGAGATAGCCATTTAATGTAGAAAACATGAAGTAGTTACAGAGTTTTGATCACAGATTTTTTCTTAGCATTATTGGGGTTTGGCGGAGCAATGTTGAGGTTGGTGAAAGGTACTAGGCATTGAAGGCAAGTCAGTCCATGAGGTTGTAAGCCTTCAAAAACTGAGATGGCCTGGACATGTGCTGCGCATGTCTAGCCACTGACTACCTTGACGTGCCATGCTGGCAGAATTTGGACTAGATGGAAAGAATTCTGAGGAGGTCTGGAACGAGACGTAGCGCCAGTCCATGAAGTCTCTGAATGTTGGTTTGAGCCGTGTAGGGAGATGTAGACTACCTGACTGGAGTCCTCAAGATGATAGGAATCAATGGTTGCAGATTTTTTGCGAAATCCTTAAAAACTGATCACAATAACGCAGATGTATTCACTTTCTCACTCCTTTTTAAGCTTGATTATTTGCACCCACCTTTATCTTCAAATTGCTTATTCTCTTACACACCTTCCTCCGCGTTGATATTAGTCTTCTTCTCTACATTTGTGTTCTCCGTGCTTTGTGAATTGTAGCAGCTTAAACGAATGCATTTCTGTGCGAGGTTCTTAGTTGATTTTGTGTCTATCTGTTCGCTTCATAATCGATCCAAAAAAATACGCCATGCCGGAAGGATACGATACGCTATAAGTTACTAGTGGTTGTCGTTTGTTGTGGAAAGCTTTTTACTAGGAAATTTAGCTGTGGTATGTTTTAATCACTCGTCTCGTTTTGTTCTTCTTCTTCGTCAGATTACTAGGTTATTTCATCGGTTCGAAGGTAGTGCCGTTTTGGTTTTTCCGATATACTGGAGATGTGCTCAGCTTGCTCTCCGTTGTTGATGATCTCTTTCTATTGTAAGCTTTGCTTGTTTTTTTTATCATGCAAAATAACCTAGTATACCCTTTTGTATGCAATTTCTGTATGTGCATCTGTGTATATTATGTGTGAATTTTACTTAGTTTATTTCTATGGAACTATCCATTAGGCTGGTTGGTGGTGGTGTTACAACACACTAAACATACGCCTTTAACACTATTAACTACTCATCAATAGTCAACTAACCTGAATGAGATCTACAATCCTGACTGCGAATTCCACTGATTGTATAAATATCTAAACTCAAGGAATAAACAACTACAACCGGCAATATACGAGTAAAACTTGTGCACTGTGGTAGACTGTAATAACATTTTAGTCTGTTTATTAGAGATGTTACACAATAACTAAACAGTATCATTTACTGGATAACATTTCACACACAACTTATTGTCCATATTCATATCAGGCAATTAACTCCACAACTTCGAGACAGAGTTTATATAGTCCTAATTTTCTCTCCTTTTTTATGACGACAAGGGTAGTAGAATTTTCCATATATCTGGGACAGTGCGAAATCATTCCTTCTACTGCATGTATTTAGTGTCTATTCGATAAACAAATATTCGGATATCTATCTTTCCCTCCACCCAAGTAAGTTAGTTTTTAACACTGTCGCTCTATCTCACCCTACTGTATGATTGTGTATAATTGGGCTCAGAGCTATAGTCGAGCTCTTCTCTAAATTTCATAGCTGATTAGGATCTACTGATCTTGATCTAGCTAATGGTTTTGTGCTCTGTTATTCTTATTGACCCTGGTCGACTACTTTGACCTCACAATCATTGCAAGGGATTCAGTAAACAAAATTATTTCTCCTAGTTGGATCAATGGGATCTTTTAACCTACAAGCTTGTTTCTATGCGAGTTTGTTGGTTTAAGTGCCACTTTAATCCTAGCCAGCCTTATTGAAAATTCTTCCTAATCCTTCTGAGGTGCCTTCATTGTATGATAACACAACAGAACCTTTGAATTCTCTTTCAACCCTCTTACCATCATTACTGCCAGTAATAGAATTATTATTAATAACACCTGTATTACTACTATTACTGCCAATATTCTTCTTTGGATTTCTTATGAACTTCTTTACCAATTTAGGTGGGTAGTTATTGAGACGCAAGGTATTCCTAATGTGTCTAATTTCTTGTCCTAGATTTTCTGGTCTACTGTAAGCTTTTCCGCCCTATCAATTAGGCATTTAAATAAGCCTACTTTAACTGAAATGGGGTGAGATAAACTGAAGTTTAAGTAGCGATTCGAATGGGAAGGTTTCCCATCTTGTTTTCGTCTAATCTTGCAATCTAACATTGGTAGTTCACCTTAATCACTTCCTAAGTCACAGGTAAGTTAGATTACATTCACTACTTAATTTATATGTGTCAAGAATCTGTTAATGTGTCATCTACATGTCGGAACCATATCTTTGGAGCAAGACCTATGTCATATATATGTGGAAAATTCTACTACCCTTGTCATCATAAAGAAGAAGAGGAAATTAGGACTATATAAACTCTATCTCGAAGTTGTGGAGTTAGTTGCCTGATATGAATATGGACAATAGATTATGTCCTAGACGTTATTCAGTGAACGATCCTGTAACGCTGTGTGACATTTCTAATGAACAGACTAAAATGGAATTACAATCCACCATGTTGCCCGTTTTACTTCTATCTTCAGTAGTTCGTTTGAAAAATACTTTGTCATTTATGATATCCACCTAGATTATTGGCTAATGAGGTTGGATTAGCTAATATTGTTCGATTTGATGAATGGTCTCTTTATTTTCCAATTATTTGAAAATAGTAAACTATGTTCCGTCGAAAAGTAGATCTTCATTGTCTACTTACACCTATCGCACAGAAGTCTCCTTGCAAACTTGTTATAGCTAATTTTACAGAGGTTTCATTCAAAAACTTGCACTATACATATTCAGTCAAGTTTTGATACTTGCAACAAAGTTGGAGAGTTTGAGTGACTGAAATCTTGTGCTTTCGATGTACGTACATGCTTGCATACATATGGATTAACCTGAAAAATTTGAGCTTAGTTTGGTCTGTGGGGTAAGTTTGAGAGTGCTGCCTATCAGCTAGACTGAAAGGAGGACAAAATAACTTCCTATTGGTATTTGGTTTTCGGTGGTCATCCAGCTAGTGTTTTGATGGAAGAAGCAATTATGCTATCAGTTATTTCGTAGACATCGTTTTTGTGTACGCAACCTTAGTGTTTTACATCATAAGTAGGTTATTTAAAAGATACACATACATTCGTACTGATTAAAAGGTGTTCCAAGGAAATTGATGAGGGTGAAAGGAAATGCGATGTCAATTCTCACCTTGACTTCAACTATTCATATGATCCAGAAAATGACTTCAAGGTTGTTTATCGAGTTCGCTGGAATATTTTACCTTTTCTTTGTTTTCAACTATTATAGAAAAAGTGGGGGCCTTGGTTATTCATGAAATGAAACCTGACCTTTATGTAACTTAATATACCTATTTATTCATAAATAAAAAGAACAAGATTTTTATCAGGGAAGAAATATTTCTTTTCACCCTGGATAAAGTTTGCTTTTCTTTGGTCACCTTTGGTAAACTAAACCGGGTAGTGTTCAACAACGCGTTTTCGAAAGTGTCCAATATAGTCAGCTCCATAGGAGCATATGAATTTGTTGATACACACAGACATGAACATAAGCGCCAGCCTTATCCTTCACGGATTATCGAGTCAAATGACGGTTTGATAATGTCAATCTCAGTCTAGCAGAATTAAAGGTACTGTTAATACACTTTGACAGATAGCTCTTCAACCATTTGACTGTGATGTCTCCTTCTACTTTGGAACTGTAGTTGAGAGAGGTTTAATTCATTCCTTTATGTTTTTATGAATAGGTCTACTGGGGTATCTACTATTCAGTAGTATTATCCTAAGTGTTTCATTTTCAATACCAACCGTGTATTTTGAGTAGATTTTATGATTTTCAGAACAGTGAGAATGAATGAGGTTTCGTTCACAACTAAGAGGTATCCAACAATTAAAGTTAGTGAACTGTCCAGTTTAAGTTGGTTTACGATAGACTGACTTTCGGATTAAGCTGTCGTTTTTGCTTCTCTTTAGCATCATGTCTAGGAAGTGAAACGTTAAACTCTTCTTCTATAGTGAATTTAATAGATGGGTGATAATCACTGAATATAAAAGGTGACGTCAATGTACCTTCTATACACACTAAGTTCCAAGATTATTTCTTTTAGTGGCCCATTTTCATGCTCTGTCACAGATACCAGCTAGGTAACCTGTTACATTTATTTCTTCGATACAGCGGATGAAACTAACTGTATCGAGAAGACTGTGTTTACACACATTTAGTCTCACACCATGAATTTTAGCAAACCAGTTCACCAATGGAGTGATGAGGTGAAGTGAGCGTATCCAATACCGGGTGATGAGGAAGTCCATCTTTGTATACCTTAGGCAGTCCATATAAGAATTTTGATATTTGATTTTCAGTATCTTCTGTTCTACCTTTATAGTCTCTGGACTTTATAAATTTATTTTTATAGCTAAGAATTATGCATATCCTATTAATATAATCCAGCCGATCCAAAACAACGACAGCAGATCCTTTACCTGGGCGTACAGGTATAATATCCTTGTTATTTAGTGGTTTTTTCAATTGCACTTTGTGCTCTTTCAATATCATTCCTCGTTATCAATACGGTGTTTCCAAATATTGATAGCAACAATGTAATAATGTGGATCTGAATCGTTCGAAACTTTCTGAGGATGTCCGGATTAAGTCTGAAGTGTGATTGATAAGATTTTTAAATTGCAGTTTTGTATCAAGCTTATTTGGTTTTAGATGAAGTACAACAAAGATCTAGGTCTCAGTAACAGAATCTGCATCTGAACATTTGTTAGACAGGGTTATACCGGAGTAGTTAAATACATGTCTCTCCTTTGCATCTGGGAAATTCTCTTATAACTCGATACTTTTGAAGTTTTTCAGTAATATAATTCTTACATCACATCTCTTCTTGATCACCTCTGACAAGGAATTCAAATGAACCCCGTTCTTTACTCAATTCGTAAATAAAAAACTCACGTTGTTATGATACTTGTAGTTTCCCGTTGCTATACAGGGCCGATTTGTTTGACTTCTGTTGGCAGATGGGCTTCTATGTGGATACCTCCATACTTCTAAATAGTCATGATGTCATATAGATATTGCTGACTAACAGACGAATCCAGGACGCGCATTTCGTCCTATTTGCGACTCGTCAGCTGGATGTGCCTGCACCCCAGTGATGAAATTACAAGTATCATAACAACAACTGATACCTGCTGCACAAGAGGTGGATATCATGCCCAGGTGGCTTGGTGGGTAATGCTCTGGCTCTGAAGTGAAGGGCAATGGGTTTGAGCCTCAGTGGGAAGAACATCACTCACTCGGATGCAGGTGCACCCAGCTGACGAGTCTCGAATAGGACGAAACGCGCGTAAATCCGAATCAAAGCGGAAAAGGAAATGAAGTACATTGTGCAAATGACTGTTTTAGTGAAAAGTGTACAATATTTCATCACTACTGTGTAAGATGTCATAATAAATGTTCATTCCTGTGTCTCAGTCTTATCGTTTATTGCAATAGTGGCTGTTTTTGTTCACTTCGTCTCCTTTCCTATTTACCTTGTGCTGTTTTACAATAATTGATGTTACTAATGTTATATTAACTTCTCTTTTCTCCTGATTGTTGATATATATATATATATATATATATATATATATATATATATATATATCTGATTAAATTTGTTTTCTCCGACTTGATTCTCCACAGAATTGAAATACCTACACGCATGGTTTCGTTAATGGAGAATGTTGAAATATCTACAGATTCAAAAATATCAAATGACACGGTTAAAATCAATATTGTAACGTGTCTTCAACTCGCAAACATGTACGTGTATTTTTCACTATCATCTACTTGTATTTTTTTTCCCCAGGAAATTGTGAATAGCAGGATAAGTTTTAGTGTTAGATTTTATGTATTTTTGAGATGAATGAGGATTTTTATACATTTAGAGGCAGTATTCATCATTAGCTGACATCAGTTGGGGAACCATCGAAAAATCTGGGAGCACTGGACAGCTGTTTTGTCCCAGTCTGGGATTCATCAGCAGTACGCACCCACGACCCGGCTAGGTGTGGGACTCAGGACATTCAGGTTTCACGGCGAACGCGTTAATCATTCAGCCACTGGGTCGGTTTCCACTGGTTCACAATTTCCAACTTCTGTCAATTCACGACAGCGTGACTGTCACCCAACGTCTTCCCCTTCACTTAGCATACACTTCAATTCCGACTGATTGACCCCACAGGTCACGCCTTCTCATGAGAGCTTCCTGATATCCATCTGGAAGCAAGTCATTAATGAGCACTATAGAGTAATGTATTTTTGAGATGAATGGGATTTTTAATTTACAAGTAGTATATTCATCATGGACCGACTGACATCAGTTGGGGAAGTATTGAAAATCTGGGAGCACTAGACAGCTATTTCGTCCTAGTATGGGACTCCTTGGCAGTCCCGTACTAGGACAAATGTTTCATCAGGTATATAAATTTTCTTTAGAATGTATACATCTTTTGATGTAATGCAGTGAACATATACAGTGCTGCTTTCTACTCTTGATGCTCTGGTTAGTGTACATTGTGTAATCTCTGTTGGTAATGTTGATGCCTGTAAAGTTGTGTTCTGGAAGCCACATTGGTGATGATAATCACCACTCTCTAGTACTTCCTCAATGTTGTCAGTATAAGTAATGAATATGTTATTCTTTTATTGACAGAGTTTAAGCAGTTTATATACTGTTGCTAGTGCTTTCAACTTGGTAACTTGTGAAAGGTTTTGGCATCACTTTTAAGCGGTTTTCTCTCTCAAAATAACGCGAAATTGTTAAATGACACTGGCGAAGTTGCTTCGCCCTAAAGGGTGAATAGTCAACTGTTCTTTTGGTTGTTTTTACAACTACGGAGCGATTATTATTATTATTATTACTATTATTATTATTAAAGTAACGGAGTGTAATAAGATACGAGCAGTTAGACATTTGAGGTGAACACCATAACGACTGTTAAGTGGACCATACAAATAGTAGAGGACAAAACTGAACTGTAACTGCAAAGATGACTTCATTCGGCATATGGTCCGATGTATGATTTCCACGAACATAAGAGAAATAACTCTAGAGGTCACTCTGGCGACTACTGAAATAACCAATTAGATTTTTTTATTTATGAAAAAACTGTCTTTTCAGACGACATTAAGGAAACCTATTGGCTATTTTAGTGGTATTTGGATTGACCATTAAAGTCTCTTATTGAGAGTGCGCTAGGTCGAATATGAAATAGCCTATCGTGATTGACTACCTTATTTGATAGGGATTGTCCTACTTCATGGGGATCATCTGGTTGACTTGAAGTATGAAGGCAATGTTGTCCTGCTGTATGAAGACGCTGACAAAATTCAGGGTCTTCTAGATGGATGGAGCAGAAATTTGATTATGTTTGGCATGCGTTTTGCTGTCACCTGTGAAATGTAAGCTAATGTTTTAGGACTGGTCCACTGCAACCACTCCCTGTTTAATAATCAGGAGTGGAATCATGGAATGTGTTTAACACTTTACTTACTCAGGGAGGAGTTACATCACCCCGAAGGAGAGTCGCTCGCTGACGACATCTTAGCTTGGATATAGAAGGTCCGTTTGGCCTCGGCTAACTTGTGTCATCTGTGCGGCCGGGGAGAGGTTCGACCACCCATCAAAATGTAAGCGTACTGCTCTGCAATCCGTTCTGTCCTGTTATACAACTGGAGGTTAAAAATAGATGTGGTGCTGTTATAAGTTTTTGATCATGAATTTATTCGTGGAATTGCTCCCGTGTGGTGAACTCACTGCGTGATCAATCCTACGGTCAGGTGAAGGGTACTAGGTAAGACAGGGAAGTCGATTAATGAGGTTGTGATGGCTTGTACATGCACATGTACTAAGCCTGACAAGCCACCGCCTACCTTGACATACCCTGCTGGGGGAAATTGAATTAGGTTGGAAGAATCTTGAGGTTGGCTGGAATGAGACCAGTGGATGAAGTCTCTTACCGTTGGTCTGAGTTATTAGGGAAAATGCGAACTGCGTGGCTAGGATCTTTGAGATGCTAGGAGTCAGTGGTTGGTGACATGACTGAAAATTAATCATAGTTACGCTGATGTATTCACTCCTCGACATCTAAAGCTTGAGTATTTACACTAACTTTTATCTTCAGATTGATTATTATCACATACTATTTTCTTTGACATCACTCTTTATCTATACACCTGTTCTTTGTGTAGTACTGTTGTAGTGAGCTTTGCTGATAACAACGGATATAAGTAGTATATATCGAGAGGGTGGTAGGAGTCCTAGGGAATTACCGGCAATGGGTAAGGTTTCTGCCAAGAGCAATGCAGGGGATAGCACAGGCGTATTACAGGGGATGCTGGTGGTAAGAGTGTATGAAGAGCCGGTCAAGAGCAAATCAAGACAGGAACGGAGAGGAAACGAAGATATTTGCAAATGGCTGCGTTAATGCAAGGATTACCATATGTAACCACTACCATTCCGATTGTTCATACTAAGCGTTCTCTCATCGAGTTGTCTTTTGTTTTTCAATCGGTGTCGCTGCCTCTGGACGTGACGAAGATCTTATGGCCTGCAGAGTTTGAGGATGGAGACATCAAGGTCTTCCTCAAGGACTTCAGGGCGGTCTCAGAGCTGATGGGGGTTCGGGATCCGGGGGTGAAGGTCGTGGTGCTAGGAACGTTCCTGCGGGGCAGAGCGAAAGCAGCATATGACGGAGTGGAACGTAGTGACGGGAAGGAGATTTGGCGAGGAATGGTTCAGCGCCTGAAGGCGGAGTTCGGCAGCTCGGCGGACAGGGAGCAGGCGATGCAGCAGTTCCGCAGCGCGAAGCTGGAAATAGATGAAGATCCACTGGTGTTGGCTGTGAAGTTGATTAAAGTACTTCGATGAGCGCTTCCCACGTTGGATGAAGATGCCTAACAACAGTTGCTGAGCGCACAGTTCACTGAGAGTGTCCCGAATGCCATTGCCCACCAGTTACGACTAGTCAATGCAGCCCAGCCCATGGACATTAGCGAAATGGCCAAGGTGACCAGACAGCTAATGGGTACAGAAGTAGCTGCAGTGGAGTCACTAGAGGTAAATAACTGGCAAGAACAAATCAACAACCTTCAGGAAGAGATAGCAGCACTGCGAATGAGCGTCAACAAACAGAGTAAATGCTTCGCATGTTTTTTTTCGGGACACTGGAGAAGGAATTGTCCGTAGAGGCGGAAAAGAAAACGTTTTGAACTATATAATATGAGTTCTGTTTTTCCGACTAGACTAGATATCGTAGGAGCCATAGATCGAGGCGCGGTGTATGCTAGATTGCGAATAAATGGTCGGGAGGTCGTGTATGTCATAGATACAAGGGCGGCAGTCTCTCTAATAGATAAGAGGCAGTCTCAGAACCAAAGACCATGTGTGCTAACGGTCCACATGGTTAAGGGACATGCACTGGATATTGCGGGCTTGTCAGATTGTGTCGTTGAGATCGGGAGTCGGAAAATCAGGTTCCCATTTATTATGACCACGCGCCTACAACGCCCAATCCTAGGTGCCGAGTTTCTGAGAGAAGTGGGTGCAGTGATTAACACGAGAACAGGAATAGTGGCAACGAAGTACGGGTCGTTCAACACTCAGGAAAACAGCGAGGTAGCAGAGATTGAAGTACCAAAAGCACCGTACCCAGAAACGCCAAACATCATGAAGGTGGTTAAGAAATACGACAGATTGTTCACAGGAGATGGAGACCCCTATGGTTATTGTGACAAGGTTCAGCATGAAATCCCAGTGACCAGTCAGGTAACGACAACATTCATCACACGGCGAATACCATGTCACTTGGAACAAGAAGTTGGGCGCCAGGTTCAGGAAATGCTAGATGAAGGTATTATTGAAGAGGCTGACAGTCCATACAGTTCTCCAGTACTTTTAGTAAGAAAGTCAAATGGGAAATATAGATTCTGCGTGGACTTTCGGGAGTTAAATAGCATAACGCAGCTGAAGCCATGTGCCATGCCGACGATAGCTGAGACACTGGATCGTTTGCAGAATATGAAAGTATTTACAGTTCTGGACCTCCGCTCGGGCTACTGGCAGCTACCAATAAAAGACAGTGATAAAGAGAAAACAGCATTTATTGTGGGCAAGAAGCAATACCAATTCAAGCGAATGCCATTTGGTCTGGCAGGGGCGCCCTTTACATTTAGACGATTGATGATGTTGTTGCTGAAGAATTTAGAGAACGTAGAGGTGTACGGCGATGACCTGGTGGTGTACAGCCAGACGGAGGCAGAACACATAGAATACCTTGAAGCTGTTTTGAGACGTATCGATGAGTTTGGACTCCGCATCAATAAGACAAAATCTCAAGTAGCCAAGAGGAGTGTTACGTTGCTGGGACACAAAGTTGGAAACGGCGAAATAAAACCACTACCCGAGAAAATTCTGACAGTCAGAACTATTCCAGTGCCGAATTCCAAGAGGAAACTGCGACAATTCTTGGGTAGAGCAGCATTCTACAGTCGGTTCCTCAAAAATTTCAATGAGATAGCAGCACCGTTATATAAGCTACTGGGCAACCCCAAATTTGTGTGGACGGAGGAGGCACAAAAAACATTTGATCACATCAAAGAACTCCTAAATGACCAGGAGATGACGTTAAAACTACCAATACCTGGTAGGCCATTTATCGTGTCCACCGATGCAAGTGATTATGGAATAGGGGCAGTCCTGAGACAGACTGAAGGAGTAGTGGAGTATGCCAGCCGTGTTCTAACACCGGCAGAACAGAAATATTCTACAATGGAAAAGGAATGTCTAGCGATAGTTTGGGCTCTGGAGAAGTGGAGATCGTACCTCCTCGGTCAACGATTCCATATTGAAACGGATCATAAACCTCTACAGTGGCTTAAGACAGCGAGAGACCCCAGAGGAAAATTATCACGTTGGGTGTTACGACTGCAAGAATATGACTTCACCATCGGCCATGTGGCAGGGAAAGAAAACTGGTTGGCAGACTTCTTATCAAGATCTGACGAAGAAAATGAGCTACCTGAGATCGCATACGGCGTACATGCAGTGGAATGGAACCCGTTAAGACTTATTCGCCTTCAGAAGTCGGACCCGACACTGAAAGAAGTGATCAAAGCCATAACTGAAGGGACAGAGACACAAACGTCTGTGGGAGATAAAGAGTTGAGAACGTTGTTGACGCAGAAAGAACGCCTACGGATGAATACTTATGGAATGCTAACGTGGCGAGAAAATGACGGAAGCTGGTTGGCAGTGATTCCGAAATGTCTACGCGACAAAATGATACAAGAATGCCACCAGTTAGCTCATACAGGTGTCTCACGGACAGCTGACCTTCTCAGACAAAGTGCATACTGGCCAGGTATGAGCGAGGATGTTGCCAAATACGTGCTGGGGTGTCCTCATTGTCAACTGATGAAAGGTGATCGGTATGTACGGCCGCCACTGCAGTCGATTCCAGTAGCAGCGGTTGGTGACCTGTGGTCGGTGGACGTAATGGGACCATTTCCGCAGATATCTAGTGGCAACCAATACCTGTTGGTGATGACGGAGCATGCTACACGATGGGTAGACGCTGTCGCGATTCCTGATCAACGCGCGAAGACAGTGACCGCAGCGGTGATGCGGCATATTATCGCGGATCACGGTGTGCCGAAGATGATACTGACCGACCAAGGTCCTTGTTTTGAGAGTGAAGAATTTAAATCCTGTTTGGAGCAGCTTGATATCAAGAGGATAAGAACGATGCCGTACCACCCGCAGACTAACGGTTTGTTAGAACGGAATAACCGTACACTGAAGGAGTGGCTAGCTTCGAAAGGAGGAAATTGGGAGACGGAACTGCCGTTAGTATTATTAGCTCATCGTGCCTCGGTACAAGGAACAACCAAGAAGTCGGCGTTCCAGTTAATGTATGGCAGGAAACCACGGCTCCCGATACATAGTAAGACCTGGCCCCAACAACAGCCTTGGAACATGACAAGATTGAGAGAGGAGCGGAAACAGGCTATCAGGAATGTGGAACGAAAGCAGAAGGCTGATGCTGAAAAATCTGAGCAGAGAGAAGGAAGTAAATGGAAACCATTTGAGGTTGGAGATCAGGTGAAATGTAAAGAACGAGGATATACGTCAGGAGGTGAGTATGGCAGAAGGAAACTACTTCCGAAGTGGGAAGGACCATACATCATTACCGAGAGACGCGGTTCAATTTATACCATCAAACAAGGGAACAAAGAGAAAAGAGTAAACACCAGCCTACTTGTCTTCTGTTCTTCACTGTGAAGTGTGGCAACTTGAGTAGGCCGACACACTTGTGCAAGAGGTTCTACGTTGAGTGTGTCAGTCAGTCCTCTAAGCGTGAAAAATGTCAAATTTGAACAAAATTTGAGTGCTTTCATGAAGAGGCTATTCAAACAACTTGGACAGAATATCCGAAATAACATGCCACACAATAATCTTAACAAAAGTCTACACACATAAACAAGGCGAATTTGTCATCCATAGTATTTTTCTCACACCTTGACACCCATGCACATCTTTATGGAGATTTCTCAGATGAATTACTCAGAACAATGGCATTCATTTCCACATTATTATTATTACAATCGATGAACAACGTGATCTGAGTTTTTACTATTTCCTATTTAAACATGCGTTAACTTGTACAGATTTTATTCTCTGAGGAAGTGATTTTTCTACGAAGTAGCGAAATGCCAGGAATTTTTCTACCGCACTGGGATTTTACAGATGTATTTCATTGATAACCCATTTACCCAATGCTCCACTTATTCTATTTGCTATTTGGAAGTAGTTATAGATTTTGATGGCTGCTGTTTTTCTTATTGGTTTTTTGATCGTGCATGGATTTCGTTTAACCCTTTCACTACGATAGTGATAGAAAATAGTTATATTCTTGTTTAAAGAGGATTGCGAATTCGTTCCCAGTTTTTGTTGTACCTGGTTAAAAGCCTATTGAGTAGACGAAAGGTGTCTCAGTTGTATTGTGTTCTCTGAGCTGTGGTTTCATCGTGGAGTTTTCATCGTCCTTCTAGACACCGACATCATCAGCACTAACTTCACTGTGAAGTGAGCTGTCAATACCTCTCCCTGAGTGATTCGTGACTTTGTCCTGACGAACTAGTTTGTGATTGGTTGTTCGCTTTGGTTTTTTTGTCATTGACTGTATAGATTTTCTTGTTGGCTGTTCCTCTGCTTGACCTGTGACCTTTCTGTCGTTGATAATTCTTCTCATTGGTTGATAGATCTGGTCTATGTTTGTACGTCTATTGATTAGTGACTGACCTGAATGTCAAGCTCCTAGGAATTCTTTGATATTCTTTGTGCTTCCTTCGTCCATTATTTCTGCATAGTCAAAATTGAATTCATGACAGCTCACTTCATACTGAGGTTAGTGCTGATGGTGTCGCTGTCTAGAAAGACGATGAAAGCTCCACGATTAAATAACCCAGCTTAGGGAACACAATGCAACCAAGACCATCCACCTGAGCTACAAATATTCTCCATGAGAAGGAAGGTGCATTGTAGGTTTCCAACCATCCTCCTCAAAGTACATAATACTGAGATGCAATCCACATTAAAATCCACTCACTTTATGTTCAAGTCAACACTACCTGCATTCTTTGTTTGCCATATTTTTACTCGTTATCATTATTTCACTCTTGATCTCTTACATTGGTTTTGAGCACTTTAACTTCCCGGCAACGAATCACTCAGATCGTATCTTAAGCGGGACCTATGAAGTTAACCGAACGAAATGCGTTCCGTTACTTTTTGCACATCCCTACAGTAACCAATATGTCACACCTTGATAGATGAAGTAGAGTTCGATAGCCATCGCTGTAAACCATTGAGCCACAGTGCTGTACCTCTGAGGATAGCCTCGAGATACATTCCACAATGTATATTCCATGCTTGAATACATTTCTTGTGTATCCTTGAATTTGTGTGCGAAGTTCTACGTTAATTTCATCTATCCGTTTATTAGTTATTTTATTTATAATAGAATAAATGTCATTTCCTTTGCTTTTCTCCTAATTTGCAGTTACTTCGCTTGTGCTCTTCGTACACGCAGTAGTTCAGTCAGATATCCAGCAGCATCGTTAGATCCTAATGCTGGTGTGTCAACAAGTGAAACGGAGTCTGAACATCATCCATCAAGACTACTAGTTATCGGTTCATTATTAGTCAGTTTAGGCGTACATCAATTGAATCAAGGATATTATATCCAACGTAATATTGAAATGAAACAACAATTGTCTAATTCACCTCATGTTATAAAGTATAATGGATTCAGTTCAAGTGAATTATATCGTCTATCTGAATCAACTCTTAAACAAGCTATACAATTATTAGATAGTTTATCAAATATATATAAAGACTTTTTAAGTGAATTATTGAAAGATAAAAGTTTACTTGCTCCAGGAGTCACAACATTAGATGATGAAATCGATGAAACAGATACACGTGATCGTCTAATTTTGATTGGTAGACTTCAATCGCGTGCATGGTCTGCATTGGCTGGAATTTATTCAACTAGTGAAGGTATACACATTATCTTAACCTATGTTATTTTGATTTATTTTTGTATATTTCCTGTGCATCTATGTATACGATTCGTTATATGTTATGCATGTATGAGAAACTGTGTTTTTCAAGCTGCTATCCATAGAAAAATAGTCATGAATTCTATCTGGAGGTTTGTGGAGATTTATTAATTGATTTTAGGTTGAAATTCATTATGGACTGATATCAGTTAGAGAAACATTGGAAACCTCGTCCTAGTATAGGACTTCTTAGCATTGCGAACCCATGACTTCGCCAGGGCTTGAGCCGAGGACCTTGAGATTACAGGGCCATCACGTTACCATTGAGTCACTGGGTCGGAATCATGAATTTGATGGTAAATCAGATGAATTATGAGAAACTGTAGACTTAAGCTTTCTGTATGTTAATATTTATCAGGAATTCAGGCTTGTATTTGCAAAAAGGTCGTTCTTTACTTGACATCCATCGATATTGCCAATGCGGTATATTTGAACTGCAGTCTATGCGTGATCACTAATTGAAAGTAAATTACCTAATCAGTCAAGTCAATCCAAATACAATTGTTTTCGTTTGCTTTAAGTTGTTTTTCTCATTCTAACCTCATACGAATGTGTAGTGCTGTGGTTCATTGTTCTAGGTAATCGACTTTCAACTAGTAAGTTGCATATACGAATTTCTGTCTGATCATGAAACGATGTAATGACTTTGAATAAAGTAACGAGAACAGTAGTAGCAGAACAAGTATGTGTGTGTTTTATCTAATCTCCTCAGTTGCTGTACAACCTATGGAATATAGAGATTAGAGAGCATTTTGCTCAACTTACGTGGATGATATATTTGTTTTGTTCACTAATGATGAACATGCCTCACATTGACCTAATCTTTCCAATCAAACACATCTCCAATGAACCATTTACAATGGAACATTGGAATACAACGTCATACACATGGAAAGATTCATAGATACATTCATCGGAAAGCCAGATACAGTGAACTGTATTAAAACTTCAACAGCTTCTACTTAACCGTAGATGTAGTTTTTTCTGTTAAGAAGAAACTGGTAAACGATTGACGTTTGTTGAAGACTACAAGCATAAAAATGATTACCTACAAAAGTGCATCGATAAGTACTGTAGGGCAGAAATGAATAGAGTCAAGTGAAGTACACCTTGCCTTCGAAGGGGGAATAAACCGATACATAGACTGAGTGCTGCACTGTAAAAAACCTATCCAGTCTTCAAAGCATTTTGTATGTACCAGACTAAACTGCCCATTGAGATGATCCAAACTGGACGAATTCCGAACTCTTGTTACCTTATACTATAGTTACTAATTCAAGTGTACATACTGAAGCACATAGATACATTGAAATAGGAAAAAGAAGAGTTCTTGTTCCTATTTCTGAACACACCTTGAATATTTTGAACCTAAGAGACCTACAGAGCTTTAATAACGCTATCGTTCGTCATTTACTTGATAATCGACATAACATCAATGTGTCAAAATCGTCCGAAGTGACTCCTATCGGTATTCGGCATGCTGCGCCATTCCAGCGAAATATAGTGTTACTCACATTGGTGGTCATTATTCCCTTCAAATAAATACAAAAATATTACCATAAATGAAGAAATTAATGAAAGTTATGCTCAAAATTACTCATTCCACACGCTGTCTTGAACGAAATAATCACCACTAATGTTGGTGGTTAAAGCATAAAGCTTATATGACAATTGAAAACTAAACTTTAACGTTTTTACTGAAGTGATTGTATATTAACAAAGTATATATATATATATATATATATATATATATATATCAATTTTGAGTTTGTTAATATACAATATAATCAAACTAATCATGTAGATTTGTCGGCTAATGTGATAAATGTTTTAAAAAGATAAGGGTGGTAATAATACAAATAATAATAATAATCACAGTGATAAAGTGATAACGTTGACTAAAGCGCATACACTATAGATGATGATAGAGATGATAAGAACCAGTAAAGCAGTATGAAAATGTAGACACTCCGATAATAATCAAAGTGGGTCAAATAGCTTGGTTGGAAAAATAAAAGTTGTGTGATTCTGAAGGATGAGGTGAGTGGATAAACAAAGTCTCAACAATCACAGTGAGGGTGCACCTTACTCATTTTCACTTATGAAGAAAAAAAAGCGAATAAACTACACTTCCTGGATGTCTTGCTAAACAGAACAGAATGTGGTTCACTCAGCAGATTTGTTTACAGGAACGCTACATCTGTAAGTCAGTACAAACATTCTCTTAACCACGTACCCATTTACTTCAAACCAAATGCCTTACTAACAAAGCGAGGAGAATATGTTCCCATCATTATTTTTCCTTTGGGTTCCTATTGGAACATAGGGCTTCACTAGCACACCTCCATTTCACTCTGCAGTCTCTTGAACCTCACTCCAGGACTGCCAACAAGCTTTCATTTCTTCCGCACATGGTCTCCTCCATGTCACACTCGGATGCTCAACTCGTCGTTTCCCCTTTAGATTCCACTCGAAGGCCTGGCGCGTGATGTCCCCGAATGGTCTTCTCAGTGTATGCCCAATCAATCTCCACTTCCTTCAAGTGCATATTTGTTGAGCGATAGGTTCTTGGTTCGTTCGTTACCCGGTCAGAGTTCCTTGTTGCTTATTCTTATTCTTATACTCTAGCCATCTGATCTTCAGTATCGAGCCAGCGTAGAAGGCAGCTGTTGATGATGTATGCCTGTAGTTTATTGGAAATGCTTTTCGTGACGCGCCAAGTCACTCAACTATCACATAGAAGCACTGACTTGACATTGGTGTTGAAAATCCGTGTCTGGTTCACGATTTATCTTGGGTTTCAGTAGATCTGCACACTGATTTCACTCTAAGAAAGCCTGTCTTGCTTTCCCGAACCTGATTTTGACATCTTCATATGTGCCGCCTGTAGTTGAAACGATGTTGCCTTGCCTGAGTGAGTTAAAGAGACAACTTCTTTTAGATTTCTCCCGTTGATGGTGACTGTTGCCTCTTGTTGTTGATGCTGTTGTTGGTTGGGTATCTTCATCACGGTCTACTCTACATTCGCTTGAAGTCCCGTCTTCGCTTCGCTGCCTCTTCTGTCAACCTCTTAGTTTTCGCCTGTAGATTTTCGAGTTTGTGCAACATTAAACATAAATCACTGGCGAAACCCAAATCTAGGCTTTTTCCATCGGTCCAGCGTATGCCTATCTTCTCGCTGCTCACGGTTTCCTGCATGATCCAGTCCACCGCAATCAGGAAGATGATTGGTGATAGTAGGCAACCTTTTGTTGTCTTACTCTTGTCTTCCCTTCAAAGGCGTCGCTGAGCTTTCCATTGTGAAATACTTGGCATGTGGTGTCTTCATATTGCATATAGCTGTTGAATGAGGTTGATATCGATTTGTGGTACTCTGTAGTGTTGAAGCGCCTGCCTGCCAAATTACTTCTCGGTTGATACTGTCGAAAGTTTTTTCAAAGTCGATGAAGTTTAGGTAGAGAGTTGACTGCCATTCTATGCTCTGTTCCGTGATGGTGCTCAGCGTAGCGTTGCAATTTGGTCCACACATGATTTGTACTTCCTGAAGCTGGCCAGTCAGCCTGTTCCGGTGGTAGTTTTGAATCCAGTGCATCATTCAGTCTCTCCACGATGATGCGGCATAATATTTTGCTTACTCTGAGTGAACAGCAGCATGATTCCTCTCCAGTTGTTGTTCTTGCAAAGACTTTGGTCTCCCTCCTTCGGGAGTTTGATAAGGTAGGTTGTATTCTTCCAATCAATAGGCAGGTACCTTTCCTTCATTCTTTCATTGCAAGCCTTCTGCGGCTGTGGTGTGAGCATGTCCACTGTTGTCTCTTCATCTGTTTTCAGTGCTTCTGGTGGGATTCTATCTGGTCCTGCTGCTTCTCCGGATTCCAGCAACTTTTTGGCATTCAGGACTTCTGCTTTTGTCGGTAATTTTGCCGTTGCTGGTGGTATTTCTGTGCGAGTTGCAGAAGGTTGTCGATTTAGGTGTTTTTGAAGTGGTTAGCCCATCGTTTCCTATGTTTCTCTTTTGTAACTAAGTTTCCTTCACTATCTGTCATTGGTTTCGTATGTGTTGACCTTTTCCCAGATAGTAACCTGTTTATTTCATATACTGTTTTCAGGTCTGTGTCTCTCCTACCTTCGGCCTGTTCTGCTTCAGTTGGAAGTGCGTCGTAGAAGTGTGGTTTGTTTTTCGTCCACTCTTCTTCGCTTCTTTGTCCAGTGTTTTATACATCGTACTCAGTTCTTTTCGTTGTGCATCCTTGCACAGGTTCATCTTCTGCTTCACCATCACCTTCTTCCTCTACCTCCTCTATCAGCTTCCATGTGTCCGTCAAGATCCATTCGTTATCTTCTTTCTTCTTCTTTCCTAATACGGTTGTGCAGGTTTCTTTCCATATAGCTTTCAAAGAGTTCCGGTGTTCTTCCATGCACGTTCCTTCAGGGATGTTGCTCACTGTCTCCCATTTCGTTCTGATGGCTGACTGACTGACTGATGTGAAGATTTCCTTTGTAGTTTTGTCCTTCAGTTCAGTTTCTGTTCTGGGTGTTCAACTGGAATTTCAACTGTGGTCGTCTATCGTCACCAACTTCTTTGCAGGTCTTCAACTTGATTGTGTGAAGGCAGGTTCATTGCACTAGATAGTGAGTGGTGTGAACCTACATCCACTCCCCTTCTTCATGTGGTCTTGTGTTCAGTAGGCTGGCTGTGTCTCCACTTTCTTCACATCGAGATGAAGTCGATCTGATTTGTAGTGTAGTGTGTCCTAGTGTCTGGTGAAATCACATCCATGTCTCTGCCCTGTGAATATCATTGTGTTTGTACACACTGTCTCGCCTCCAATCACCAAATGGTTGAATGCGCAGAAATCTGCAAACAGTTCTCCATTCTCATTCATTTCACCGAGTGCTTCTCGACCCATGATTGGTTCTCTTCCCGTGTTGTCCGCTGCACGCAGTTTGGAAATCATGTCACCCCACCCATTATAGTGAATTTTGATGTCGCCAACTGAGGCGGGGTCTTGTGTAGTAGTAATTGAAGTAGTATCTATAATTCCTCCTTACCTTCATCTGCATTATTTGTGGGAGCATAGCGTAGCACTGAATGGTCATGACTTTACTTTCTTTTGATTTGAATCGTGCTGTCATGATGCTGCATGAGGAGACTCGTTTCCACTGTATGAGAGCCTTGGATGTTCTTGCAGATATCATGATGGCAACTCCTTCCGTGTGCTTTTGGTTGTTGTTTGTGTGACAATATCGGAGTAGATTATAGACTCTCCAGTTGACAGTTTGGAGAGTCCACTTCCATTCCATCTGCTTTCGCAAATTCTTAACACTTCAATACGATACCTCTTCCTTTCTTTTGCAATCTGGGAAGCCTTGCTAGGTTGAAACATTGTTCGGACATTCCATGTCCCCATGTTTACTTTCGCTTTCATCGAGGCGGGGAGGTGAAGACACATCGGCCGACTGGCTTCCGGAAAGCTTTCACCAAACGGCGTCGTTTCTTCCCTCCTATCCCGGCGAGGAATAAGCTGAATTTTATGTTTTATATTTCCTTTGTGGTTTAAAGTTTGTTTAGTGGTTGGATTGGTTTTCGGGGTTAGGGTTGCTAGCCCTATGCCCAGCCTTCCCTCTTTATCCGGGTGTAGGTCCGGGTAGTAACCAGTTAACTAGTTAACCATGTGAGGCTAGATGTTCGCATAATTTAATATTAAAGTTAGAATATATTCGCACCTCATTGATCGATGTGGGCTACTCTAACAGTTTCATAAAAAGCCACATAAACAAAGCATTGTGAAAAAGCCTTGAATTATTGCCGTAGAAAAGAAAGCATTGTTCATGGAATTACAATTCAATGGAGATGTAGCGAAGTTTTATATCAGAGACTGTCTAGTGCCCCTATAAGAGTACTTCTACGCTGCACAACTCTGTCCACCAGTTTCCAACCAACCACTCTATGTTGCTCAGACAAAAGATAACGTATCTAGTTTTGTCATTTCTATTTGTATTTACAAGTTTATTTGCTCCTTTAGCGAAAGCTGTATAGGGGTTACTGCTAGAAAACTTAACAGACGTGTTTCTGAGCATCTACCTTCATGGCTGGGAAAGGGATAGATAGAATCTATCAGAAGTTCGATTTTCTCTTACCTCGTTGATGGTGGTCACCTGGTAGATAAGAACAATGCTTTCATGATTATTCACCGCATACCATCTCATCTTTCGAATGATATTCGAAGTCGTCTTTTACACATCACAGAAGCTGTGGGAATTCGAGCCAATAATCCTAGCTTCTATATCCAGAAGAAGTTTGTACGTCCTTTATCTCTCCCTTGGCCAGGGAATACGTATTTAATAACTTTATCATTCAGTTTTTTCCTACTCGTTTTCTTATTCTTCACCCCTTCCATATATTTTATTTGTTCAGACTTTGTTTATCCACTCACCTCATCCTTCAGAATCACACAACTTTTATTTTTCCAACCAAGCTATTTGACCCACTTTGATTATTATCGGAGTGTCTACATTTTCATACTGCTTTACTGGTTCTTATCATCTCTATCATCATCTATAGTGTATGCGCTTTAGTCAACGTTATCACTTTATCACTGTGATTATTATTATTATTATTATTATTAGTAGTAGTAGTAGTAGTAGTAGTAGTAGTAGTATTATCACCCTTGTTATTTTTTTAAAACATTTATCACATTAGCCGACAAGTCTACATGATTGGTTTAATTGTTATATGTAATAATGCTATTCATCTTACCGTAAAGCCGGAAGAGGAATTTGCGAAATTCACTTTTCTAGTGTTCAAAGCATCATACTGTCTAGCTCTCATGAACTTGCTAATGTAGATATAGTATTGGGTTTTCGAGAAGAAAGCGCACTTGTCAATTTGACAGTAGTCCAGACCTGTCTCTGTTTGCTATTCGACTGAATGAATGTATAAGAAGTAGAAAGGGTTGTGAGGCTTGCTTGTCATAAGGTTACGTACTCCCTCGCCAACTCCAGTTTGGACGACACAAGAGCTGAATTCTCTCAAAAGTTGACATTTACACCGATCCCTTTTATATGGATCAATGTATTTCATCTGGAAAAAATCCCTTCACACTACTTTATAGGCAATTCTGTTTGCACTATCACTTTTTAATCAGTGAATCAAATCCTCTACATACAATATAAGTAAATTCTAAATCCTTGCCGTCATAGTTTTAATCGTAGCTTTTGTATGGACAAGAAAATTGCTATAATATGATATTTAAGTCTAGGCCACTTGAGTACAAAAGTCGTTGACGGAATCGCCAATTTAATCCAGAATGTTAACACGATTGGTTCTGAATGGAATGAATCGTAATCGGTTCTTAGTTATCTGTACCATGTAGTCGAAAACAATGTATTTCTGTTGTTTTTTAAATCCTAAAGCTAAAACGTCGCCTACTTTTTTCCCCTTTAACGACTCAGACTAAAGGTTCAGCAACTTAGTCGATCGATTGTACCTTTTAATTTGATCGGTTTTAGCTGTTTTCCAACCTATTCCCATTCTAGCTTGTAAAGAGTAGTTTTAAGTTAGAGTTGGTGACTCAGTATATGTAACAAATGTCTCCGCTACCTTCGTTCATGAGGATTGTTTGCACTATAAATTGACTTGCTTTACTTACCTATGTACGTTCTACTCTCACATTGCTTAAAAATGTATCAATCTCACTAAGTTTGAAGTGCTAGTAAAGTTTATCGAAAAATGTTTTCTCCTGTTCATTTTCAGAAAACTTTGATTCAGAAATTACTTATTGCCTTTGTCAAGCATTACTTTTAAATCCTGATGTAAGTTTTATATGTTTTGCCTATTTGATATAGTTTTTTCGATAATCATTTTTTGACTTCAGGTTGGTTTTCATCATGAACTGGTGTCCGTTGGAGAAAGACTGGAAATCTGGGAGCACTCAACAGGTATTTCGTCTTAGTATGAGGCTCTTGAGCAGTGAGCACCCGTGGCCTCACCAGGGATTTAACCCAGAACTTTCAGGTTCCTTGACTAGCACGTTACCACTGAGCCATTACTTCGGAATCCAATTATCCATAATTGCTACTTATGTTATTTCACGATATAGTACAACCAGTTATACCGTTTTTGAGTGATTGTTGTTACGTGTCACTTGTTGTACTGAACGGTCACGACTTCTCTTTGACACTTTAGGAGGTAGTTGTTGATGGGCACTGCTGAGGAGTTTCATTCTAGGACGAAACAGTTATCTAGTGCTCCCAGGTTTTTAATATTTCTCTAACTGATGCTAGTCCATGCTGAATATTAACCTGAAATCTATAAATATGTCCCCAAAAACCTGCAAAATGAATCATTTTTGGGTTCAATTCTTGCTAATTTCATTAACGTATTCATTCTTCTGTTGGATAAATTTTCGAAAGAAAAAACTCGTCTGTTACTTGTTCCAGTGTTTCAGGTTTTGAATATCACTGTTATCTTCGTTGTCATAGTTAGCCGAATGATCAATGGAATCAAGGATTATGATGCAGGCTTTGATTGTGTAACTTGTTGATACTGCAAACAAACTGATCTATCACTCTGCAAGCTCGCACATTTACTTGAAGTGTACTGTCATTGTCGATAACACTACTTAACTGAAGTCCATTACTCCTATCAGTTAGATATAGCCCCCTTGACATGCCTTTGATTTTTGTTTCTTTTTGTTAATCGAAGAAATAGTTGGTAATATACCTCATCAACTATGCATCCATAATCAAACTCACTACTAGGTATACGTACCATATATATATATATATATATATATATATATATATATATATATATATATATAATATTGAAAGACTATATATATTATATATATATAATATTGAAAGACTAATCTGTGAGCAAGATTGAAATGGCAATAATGATGGTTATAATAGTAATAATGTTGCTAGTTGGTAACGTAAAGGTTGAATGATAGCAATAGGGGTTACGTAAGATGGTGGAGAATATTTGTAGCTGAGGTGGATGGTCTTGGTTGTAATGTGTTCTCTTAGCTGGATTGTTTAGTCGTGGAGCTTTCATCTTCTTTCTAGACGACATCATTAAGTGAGCTGTCAATACCACTCCATGAGTGATTTAGTAGCTTACCTTAACGAAGTAGTCTGTGATTGGTTGTTTCCTTGATTGTTGTGTCATTGACTGTTTAGATTTTCCTGTTGGCTATTCCTCTGTCGTTTATCACTTTTCTTATTGGTTGATGGATCGGGTCTATATCTATACATCTATTGGTTGCTGTCTGATCTGAATGCTAAGCGCCTAGGAATTCTCTCATATTCTTTGTGTTTCCTCTCCAAGATTTCTACATAGTCAATATTGAATTTATGGCCATAGTTACCCATATGCCAGTGTAATGAGTGGTGAAATGTTATGATGTTCAATGGCCAACTGGTGCTTGTGTAAGGTTTTTAAATCGCTTATGAGGTCCTTATCGATTTAAAAACGGTTATAAATGTGGTAGAGTTAATAAACAATAAAAGAATTAGGTACTATGAATGAGATAACAAGTTAATTAGAATAAATCGAAAATGCTTTTAGATTGGGATTCGTCATGAACCGACATCAGTCGCGGGGTGGGGGTCGTTGGAAACCTAAGAGCACTAGACAGCTGTTTCGTTCTAGTATGAAACTCCTCAGCAGTGCGTGACCATGACTTCACGAGGGATCAAACCCGGGACTTCCATGTTCCGTGGCCAGCACGTTACCATTGAGCAGCTGGGTCGGAATCTAATCCTACTCCTGTTGGTTCACGATACAGCGTGACCTATATCCAATGTCGTCGTTGAGCATCTGTCCTCATGTTCGACTTGCTTAGCTCCACTGGTCATGATTTCTCATTGGAACTTTGGAAATCACCTCTCAAAGCTATTCACCAATGAACGCTAGGTTAATTCTATCGCGGCGTTCCAATAAGAAGTCGTGACCGTTCGGCACAACCAAGTCACACATGACGACAGTTATTCAACGACGGCATTGGAGGTTGCACTATATCGTGAAATGTAACAAGTAGGAAACATGGATCATTGGATTCCGTCGCTATAACTCAACGTCAATGTGCTGGCCGCGGGACTTGAGGGTTCTAAATTCGATTCCTGGGGGTCGGAGTCATGTATGCGCGCTGCTAACTACTAGGACGAAACTGCTGTCCAATGCCCCAAGGCTTCCAATCTCACCCCAACTGATGTCAGTCCATGATGAATTCCAACCCAAAATCAACCAATAAACCTCCATAAACCCTAAGTTAAAAATATTTCCTTAAAACTTCAAATTCTTATGAAGATCAAATGAAATGACACCTGAAACAAGTAAATATAAAAGTAAAATGATAATGAAGATACAAGAATACAAAGAATAATCTGACAAAAAGAGAGGAAGGATGCAAAACCAAAAAGGAATGAAGTACACTAAGACCGAAACAAGTTAAGGCCAAAGTAGAGACAAGGACTGTGCATACTTCTTTTGCACACAAATGTCAGGCAGACTTCTTTCATGGATAACCAGGGCCTCTGCTGTTTTCAGAAGCTGAATACGGAGGAAACGTGAGATGTTTGAGCGGATTCAATAGACAACCTTAAAATCCTTGTTTGGGTCTGTTGGATGGTTGGAATCGATTAAACGTTCAAGGATAGAATATCTGATGCATTTCCGTTATAAAATCAGGCAGGAATATGTCCTCGTATACACGTGTTGCTTGTAGTCTCTGACTACGGCCGATGTACATTGCTCGATAGGAACAGGTGAACTGGTAGATACACATGGATGTGGCTTGTCGAGGGAGAGAACAATTTACGACTGGTAAAAATCAAGTTAAGTTTGGTTGAGAAAAAAGTCCTGCTAGTTGATATGGAAAGATGATTTTTCAGGATATCTGGTGCTGCATCACCTTTGAAGTCGAGATTCATGAACAAAGTCTTATTAGAAACTGAGCTGGTGACTGATTTCGCATATGTTTCTTGCATATTCCTATCTATAAATCGGCTAGGATAGCCGTTTTCTGCAAGTGACCCTCTTAGGAAGTCAAGTTCAACTTGGACACAGTCCGTGCTACAAATATTAGATGTTCGATAGCAGAGTGAGTGAATGAGGTTTTTTTTTTAACCTCCTGATCTGCACCCAGCTAACGGAAATTAGTAGGCTATCTATTCCATGTGAGTTTTGTGAAGATGGATCTTTTCAGCATTCTTAAGCTGCGTCTTGTGATCAGCGCGTCAGGGGAAGGAATAGCTGTTTCCATTTCCTTCTCAGTAGTTAATTCCAATGCTGAGTGACAGTTGTTAAACTCGCGTAGTATGTCATCCAGATGAATAGTTGAGTCAAAAATAACGAATGTATCATCCGTATACCATTTATAAATGTCAAAATGATTAGTAGTTTGGCTAAGATTAAAATTTTCTAATTTTGATATAAAGTAATCTGCCATTAGGGGTCACAGTAGGGATCTCATTGGAATCCCATCATTTTTCGGTTTATCTCATCATCGAAACTAAATTTCACATTAAGAATACATCTCATCAATTAGCAACATTATTACTGTGACCATCATGATTGTTATTTCAAACCCTATTATTAATAATATTCAGGTAATATTGAGGCATCCGCATATAGATTGAACAATTTGATTCTGTAAAACAACAGAAAATTACAAGCGTATCAACAAACAATGATTTATACCTTAAAATTTCGTGTATCTCATAAATCATTTGTTCGCTGTGGTCGTCTACGCTTAACATGAAAGGTCTTGTATGTGTGGAACGTATGTATCATTTTGACCTAACTCTGGTGTTAATTACTCTCAAGTTCACTAAGCTACTCAATTGGAACAAATACCTTTTTGTAGTGCTTGTTAATCATCCACATTCTATTTGCTTTTTACTGACTAAACGTCTTAATTTTTGTCGGCTTCCATGTTATCATACCGTGTAATTTCCCATCACTGACTAAACTGAATCGATCGACCACAACTGGATCATGAACTCCTGCGCGGATTCACCAATGTTGCTGTTAATTTCATTTCGATAGTAATGATGGTTAATGGTTGACTGGCTGTGGAATTCGAAACACATATTTCGTCCTAATAAAGAGTTATCAGTTGAATTTACTCACATGCCTCCCAAAGAGTGATTTTGTTTCCATTGCAACTTGAAACCAAAATCCCTCGCTGTAAATAGGTTGGGATGGAATTCATGGATTCCACTGATAGCCAGAGTATCCATCACTTTTCGACTTTTTATTGACTTCATGAAGATGCATTTCTACTGAATACATTATACGAGGGATGTCTGACGCTGAAGGTTTAAACTGTAAACGCTATATATTTATAGAATACTCATACTTCAGTTTTCGCGTCTTCACGGTAGAGATATACTTTCTGTACAATGTGAGTCAAACACTTAAAATATACTTCTCAAGGTTATATAAACCTCTACCTGTCTTCACTGTCACTTTGTATTGCTTATTGAGGTGGTTAATGGGAGGCAAACATTCAGTTTGTATTCCATCATTAAGAGTCAATGTGAGCTTCAAGCGGTTATCGAATTATGTATTGTTACGACTCCTGATCAAATCAATAATGGTGAATAGCTATCTCAGTATTACATTTTTGAGGGGGTTGTGAAGATTTGGAAATATTTCAAGTTGTTATTCATCGAAGATGTCAGTCTTCGATGAATAACAACTTGAAATATCTCAGTATTCTTTGGTTGACAGTCGTTTTTCTCCATATATTACAAGTAAACTGGTTAAACATAATCTTTGTGTCATTGAATAGGATTTTTGATGTCTTACTTTTCTAGAATACTACCGTCATGGTTAATTTGGCGATGCAACAGATGAAGCAAGGTCAAACTGAGGTAATTGATTTATTTATAGCATAAAATACAATTTACTTACTTGTTCAAAAAATTGATATATAATGGTGATGAAATCGTTTTTATCATATTTCATACTTGTACTTACCGGTTATTGTTATACTAGTGTTCGAATTAGTCGACCTCTATGTTGGCATATGGGCTCCTTTGACGATGTCTCGATATTGTCTAATTATTCATTATACTGTAATTTGCATGGTGGTGGCTAGCAGGACTCGTATTTCGTGTTATTTAGGACTCAGCTGTACCCCACTGAGTGGTGTTCCCACTGAAACTCGAGCCCAGTACCCATCTTTTCAAACGTTATCCACTAGACCAGTAAACCTCAAGGGCCATTTCAGTGATACAACTTCTCAACTTCCTGGACAATTCCAAAAAGTCGCCAGATTAGAAAGGATCTTAGTACAAGCTACTACTGGATATCTTAAAAGAGCGACTAACGCAAGTTATCATCGAACTCGAAATAAAATTACAAGACTTTTGTGAAGACTGAATGCACACGCATTGGATATGGTCAACTCCTAGACTGTGAGTTGTTTTTTCTTACTGCCTTTCAAGCCTTCAACTAAGAAAAAACACTCGAGTAAAAATAATGCAAGTTTTAGGAAACACATGCTGACATACACACACATTAAAAGTCCATGTTATTGGACAAATATAGTGCAGCAATGATCAGTTTTTATCGGAATATAACCTCTGCTATCCAGTGTATATTGAGATGTAGTTGGGTAATCATCTAATCCTGCCTCTTTCCATATTCAGTGGGCCATTGCTTTTATCAGTTCATTTATGAAGTTTTAATTTTCAAATGTCAATAGGATTTCTGCCTAATTCAAAAAAAGAAATCTGGAAATATATGAATGTATGTGTATGTGTGTTTGTGACTTGATTTAACTATGTTGTCAACTAGGCAGAACAAGTCATGTGCACACGTGTGTGTGTGTGTGTGCATGCGGATTAAATGATTTTTAATTGACTCTGAAAAATTCTGTAATTATGTATACAAAACAGCTGGCATATGTAATCAAAATTAAATGTCAACTTTTCATGCTCGATTAAGTTGCTTGTCTGTTCTGACTGACAAAATGCGTCTATATGATTATGATTACTGTGTTTATTGATTTGGTTAGTGAATTAATGGTCTATTAATGACACAATGGCGTTATGAAGTAGTGAGTAGCTACGTTTTGTACAAAAAATATTTTGCTACTTACAAAAGGCGAAGTAGTTAAAATTTGAATTCAAAATTCGGGATGACTCACCAACCAAAACTATTCGTCAAGCTAGAAAATCAGTTCAGTGCTCATTAAAGCATAAGAAATCATCTGAAAGGCAATATTTTTTAGCTATTACTGTTCACGTAATAGTAGTTTTAGTTTCCATTTGTTATGCCAGACGGAGGTGATCGACCCCTGTTGGCGCACGAGCTCCTATGTGAATATCTCGATGTGATCGGGAGATTTATTAAGTTGCAGTTTACTTCTTAGCGGTCACAACTGGAATCTAGAACTGGTGGTTCGTGCTTTCACTATTTACTGTTGTTGTAGCGACTAATACACTCATTAGTAATCACTTCCTTGTATTCTATCCAATTGTGATAGGATAACTCAGATGTCAAACAAGCATTGTTTTTAGCAGTTACAACAGTATAATACAGACAATACAGATTATCTTAATCATAATTACCATCGGTGTCAACATGGGACCAGGCATCACTACATGGTGGTCCAAGTTGCCACACGTCATATCATATCAGCACACCAAGTTAGAAAGTGGTCAGATGAAAGATGAAGAGATGAAGAAGGATCGGAAAAAGAAATAGAAAGCAGTTATAGAGGGAAGAAGGGTGAATAGGAAAATGGTAATGAGCAAGTTCACAGAGTGGGAATAATGCAACTTTCAGTCATCTCTATTGAAGCAAATCGACTATCTTATTGGATGATCTCCTTGTTTTCACACTGAGAATCTTTCATTTTTGTATCTATAAATCAATACTTCCATTATAGACAAATGAATGTCTAATTTCTTCGTCGAATACCGTGGGCAATTGTGCAGTCTTATTCACCTCATTATACCTACGAGAGTAAATCATGTTTAAAATGTTATTCACTGTATAGTAACTTGGAGATTTTGGTGATTCGTTTAAGCCGACAACCTGGTCTGGATTTGAATTCTGTTCGCTACCTATTTCAGTCCGTTAAATTAGACAATGTCATGAGCTGTCATATATTATGTGTGGTTTAGGGAAATGACTACCAACCTTGAGTTCATGGATTCGCGCGACGCTACACCTACCACGGTTTAAGGCAGCCACGCAGATGTGGCTGCTGCTCACCTACAGCACGACGGTGCACAAGGGGGGGCTGAATGGGTTCCACTTTTTCTCGCACACACATTTAAGAATGGCAATGTGCTTATCGCGTGACCTGATCGTCCTACATCCGACCACTACTGTCGTGGTCATGAGTATCCAACACTGACGATTCCCTAACCGATGAATACTACCTCGAAATCCGACATAAAGTAACACTTAGCGCTTAATGTCCCACTTTTCATTGACAATAATTTCTTCTGTCTTTACAACGACTGTTTCATAACTGCGTACATCAGATAAGTACGTTTTGTTACATATGCTGTATAAATTAAATATGGTTAACTGAAGTCACAAGTTGATCCACTTCAAATGGCTGTTAGACTAGTAGAAGTTGTTTATGTGGACAATATATGAAATGTATAGTTTCTCTTATCCCAAAAAGTTGTCATTCCATACCATCTTTACCATGGTAATTTGTTAATTCTTCGATGTCCGAAGGATGGATGATTGACATTTGTGTTACATGAGATGTTAGACTAGTGACTTTCCGAAGGTGTCTTAGCTGTTAGACAGGTTACCATACAGTAGAGTTGATTTTTATCAACTTCTAACGACTGTTATCCTTAGAAATTGTATTAACAGATGTTTGTCTGATAATGCTAGTGATCTACTGTTCATCATATCTTCAGACCTGATGATATGGATGTCAGTGGTGTACGATTGTAAATCAGTGTGAAACTAAGTCGAAACACTAATGCGGATGTTCATCAGATGACTGTTGAAAAACCAACGAGTTTTATTTATTTAAATATTCGGATTTTGCTTATTTATTCAATAGTATTTTCACTTCAGTTTGTTATCTACAATGTCATCACAAAAGGGATTCTAATTCAGTAGTCGGAAGTAATTATTCTTTTCTACATGGAAGTTTGGTGATACGCCACTAAGTTATTTGTTTTCCATGGGTAGGAAGTTTCCTTTTTGCATTTGTGATTAGTGTGGAGGAGTGGTTCGGTAGTCTCAGCACTCAACTATTAATCACTGAAAATAATGAATTCATACCAACTCCACATATGACGTGGTAGTCTCCCCACTTCTAGATGAAGCTGAAGTCGTCTAGTCTGGTGTTTAAACTTCCAAAGAAGAATGTCAAACCTCAGGGAGCACTAAAGAATCATCGGCATTCCCGCTTTTCACTCATCAGACATGGTCCATACTTCAATTTGTGTAATCAGTTGGTTAATTCAGTAACAGATTTGGGTGTTAGTAACCCATATATATTAATCAGTGTTATCGATCAGGACTGTCTGTGGAATTCATTTGGTGCGTGTTACACTTTTTTGCTCGTTTCTAATGAATTTATAAGCATAGTGGAAAGTGGAAATATGAAGTTAACCAAAGGTGGTTCTATTTGAATCATTCTGAGTATAAAACAGATAGAGAGGAAATGAATCAATGCGGAAGTCGATGTAAAAGTATGTCGGTCCAAGTTGACATGCAGTACAGCAGAGTTCAGAGCAAAAATGAGTGGAAGATGAATGGTGTAGAAGTTAGTAGAAGTCATCTCGAGCAGGTGAAAAAAGCAGTCTACACCACTGTACCTAACTGAGACCGACAGTCGATGGTTTCATGCACTAATGTCATCTCTTCATCTGATGACCGTTGGCTTTCTTCCAACCCAATCTTATTCCACCTATTATCACGCTTTGAGGCAAGGGATTACGCGGCATTCACAATACACACCGAAATTGCCTCACAACCTCGTTGTCAACTGATCTGCATTCCTTGTCGAGTAGTCTGCATTTAACCTCAACTTTACCCCAGCATGCTTGTTCCACCACATCCAAAAAATGATCCTAAGACATCTGTGATCCCACACCAGTAACCGACCACTTAACATCTACTTCCAACTGCCATGTCTGACACCTGTGCAATGGAGATTTGATATGTAGTTGAATATCTCACCGATGCGATAACTGCTGTAAGTTGTCAAATGCAAAATTGGATTTTAAATCAGAGCTGAGGCTTCGTCACCCACCAAGCCATTCCCGCTGATACCAACTCCTCAAGGAAGTGGAGTGGTCAAAATATTCCACCACTTCCCTCAATTTGCATAGACTGAGATATCGTGTAGATCAGTCCTGCAACATCTAGAATCTGACACACCAAGTAAAATCAGACAGTACAAAGTAATGCTAAGACCCCATCACCTCAGCCTAACAGGAATTTCCGTTTGAGTAGTATGAGTCCAGCAAGAAGAATCTGATTAGAAGTGTTGACAATACAGAAAAACTTAGAATGTGAAAAGAAAAGTTTGTCGAAAACATCCTTGTGGCAGAAAAAGAAGTGAACAGGTGTTTGGAAAGCACTTCAATAACGAGAATGATATACGGAAACAAACGACAATGCCATATGGAAGTTATTGGATTGTAAATTCATTTGCTGCCTGCCAGTTGTCGCCTAGTTCACAGATACTCTCGATGCATAGCATCTATTCACATTGTAAAAATTCACATTTGTTCCCACACTGACTGAGGTCTGATTTGTAGATAAATGTGCTACACAGTCTTTTGAGCTGTGAGTTGGTGTAGTGTAAGTCAAACAAACTCATTGCGATGTGGCTTGGGAAAATCACCGTGAGTTGAAGGTATGCACTGACACTCTGCAGTTCAATACTATGAGGTTATAGTAGAGATATTTCCTCGGTTGATCTCAGTGAACAAACTGCACATTCAGTCACTGTCAAATGAGCACTTTCATCGTCACCCCACGCGGTATAAATACGCTAAATTTTCCATTTCCTACTGCACATACGAACGGCAGACAAACATATAGAAGCCACAAAGCATGCACAGTGTGTACAAATATATTTTCAAAAACAGATAAACAAGCTGTTGATCACTGAATAAGCACCGCATATTATAGATTGAAACAGAAATGTTCGTTTTTCTCAGAACACAATAGAATCACTCAGCGGGTGCTTTACGCAGATTCTGTAGAACAAATTCGTCAATTTTAGATGACATCATTTCCAGAACTCTGTCTTTAGCATTTTTGAACTCTTCCGTTGCTTTGATTTTCTCCAATGCCTCATTCTCCTCTCCATCCACTTCTAAAATATTCACAAGCATAGAGAGTGAAAAAACAGTGGAAAGAGGAGTTCATGAGAGATGCGATCGTGGGAGTTGCATTTTGTCGACACACGACGAACAAGCTGAGTGTTTATTGACTGACACCGACTGAATCCTAACTATTTACACCTGTAACCTGTAATCAGTTTTGTGTGTTGACAGGAGACATCAGTGTAGCAATTGATGGCTCGTTCGTGTGTCGGACGATAAGATGATGAATGTGATAGCGATTAGCCTGCATGGAAACTGGTCGTTATTTTAGAATGGCTAAACCTGGAGAAACGCATCAGCTAGCTGGTTCGAGTGTTTAACTCTGCAACGGAATGCCTACCATAGAGACTGCAAAGATAATTTGATTGTGTGTTACTCAGTTGAATGGTCCCAAAAGAGTGTTTTATCACTCACACTTTCGTAGATGAGTAGAGGCAGAGTAGAGAATCGAGATGTGAGAGATACGACTGAATGAGCAAGTGTTCCTGATTGGATGGAAGGAAGGGTGCATCTCATGATATGAATTGCCTAAGAAATGTCAAACGAAAGTATTGCAAGGTTGCTTTGCAGCAGAAATTTGTCAACTCCAAATAACTTTGAGAATATTGTGTGGTCGATCTCAAGTCTAGATCCTTCAGAAAACCAGCAATATTTTGATAGAGTGTACAATGATGACTAAAGCAGCTGGTGAATCACTTCGTGTTGAGAGGTGCACTCGCTTACATACACTGATTTCTCTTAATCCCCTCGCAGTTTTCACTATACAAACCACTTTCTAGTGAATCACTGAAGTGTGAACAACCAAACTGTACAGTGGTGAATGCTAGAAATAGTCGTACTATCATCTGTTTCTCAGATGAAATATGCTCACTTACGCAAGAAAAGAGCAACGCGAATCGCTGTCTTGAACATAAACAAATACAATTGAAGCGATATATGGTGAGCGAGCGAGCGAGCGAGCAATGAATGCATAACAAGACATCAACTCGCATGCACGCACACATGCATCACACTGAACACTATTCAATATTCACAGTGACTTACTTACCCGATTTGGGATCGGAGTACACTAGATTGACGAAGACGAACAGACACACGATCAAATATCTTGACTAAAATGATGCACAAGAAACAATTTTCAGAAAGCATCTAACAAATCAGAATTAGGAAATTAACTATGTATGCAGTGTTGATGAATGTGAGCAGTTGTGTAAGGCATGAGGAATTCGAGGTTACAAAACGAACATGAAGCTGAGTGGAATGGTAGTGGGATCTGTGTGAAATGAGGTGATGTCGGAAAATAGGGTGTTCTCCGGATGTCCGACTGAAGGAGATCGAACTGTGTGTGTAATGTGTGAGGGCAGTGGTCTTCTGATCTCACCCATTACTTTACAGTGAGGCGTATACTGTTATTTGTGAACTTACATCCATTGTCACGTTGAGAACCAAGTTGAACTACTAAATTTAATAATTTCTCCACCTTATATACTCTGGGAAGTTAGACTGTCAATGTTGTATTCCCAGAAATTTGTCCAGTTAATAACAGTGAAGCTCAGAACAATCGAATTACTTCCCCTTCAAATCTACAAATGGTTGACCCATACATGTCACATTATTTCAAGTAAGGTGACAAGCAAATGTGTCAAATGTCTTTGTGTCAGGTAGACAGACACCTGTCAAAATGAATATTGATTTTGACGAAGGTGCATAAATTCGAACGTTGTGTATTGTCATGAAAATGTGAAAAAAAATGTGTTAGACAGGGATTTTTCACTGTCATGACTAATGCCTTAGAAGGATGACGCCCACACCAGCTGGCCATTGATTATTACAAGAGGTGCAATACGCATAGGATTGTTGGAGTGTTTTCAGGATGAGCGTAATGAGGTGATATTTGGTTTCTGTAACTGACATGTACAGATAAAAGTGGACTAGCAAATGACTGACGCAGTGATACAATTGGAATTTGATATTTCTTTATGATCCAAAAATTTATAACTGAGTCGATGAAGCAGATAAGTAAAGAAATCAAGTGAATGAAATGGATCTTCTTCATATCCCATTTCTTTATCGCCCACTCTGTTCAACTTTATGGTACTGCTGAAATAATGTCCGCTTAGTAGTGCCGCCGAACTTGTCAGCCACCACAAATTCAGATGGAATTACTGAACATGAAATGTTTGGAAAACTCCTTGTGATTGGCTACATGTAGTATGCAGTTTCCCAGTAGCATTTATCCTGGCTCCGCATGGCCATTGAAGAAAATCCGAAACTCGAAAATATCTTTCCCATTGGTCAGTGATTTTAAATGTTGATACTGATTTTAACCACCTCACTTCCTATCACATATAGGTAATTAGCATAGATTTTGCACCCCCACACTGGTGGATTGCAGATAACAACCAGGTAGACAGACTTGTACCAAGAGCGAAATCTTGTCATGGTATTGAATATGAGTATTATTGGAAGTGAGTTTCCAGTAGGACGTTTTAGCAATGACGTCTTGAGTATAAGACGAGTGCTCATTCAGGTGGGGGGTATTTCACGAATACTACCGAATCGAAGCCGCAGTATCTTTGTCGACCTAATTTACTGGTATAAAGCTAGTATTAGCATCAAAAATCCTGGTCAGCTGTGTGTCACTGATGTAGCTAACTGCTTATTCATTCTCCTGCTGATTGAAGTCTGTCGACCGAGTTTGCAATTTTGCCACGTTACTAAGTGACGGAATTGTGAGATTGGTTGGATTTTGGCGTAAAATGTTGCTAACCAGTTTACAGGAAGCCCTGTTCTACCTACGTGTTGTATTTGCCGACACTCATGAGCAAGGCGTATTTTCAACCGTAAGGGAATGTATGTTTCCTATGAGATTCAAATGTATCACACAGTCGTGAAGTCAGAGACATTGCCACCACGTTATTCAGGGATCAGTCTGCTCTGTCCTTTTGTATTTCAGTAGATTTGACCATTGAAATTGCAAGATGTGAAGAGGTTGCACTATTTTGACAATATATATGTCGTTGTAGCGCTGCTCATATGTGGTGGAATCACTGTGTAGATAATGTCAAGAGGAGAGAGACGTTGAGTATTTAGCAAGGAAGATGAGTTAGTCGATGAGATCGTGAATTTGTAGCGACTGAGTTTTCTTCGATATATATTGTACTTGTGGATCCATAATGTGCATGAACACTTCATGTTTTATGGAGTAGGATTAGGTTGAAATAAATCTAATGGTGGTCGAACCATTGTTGGAACACCAGTCCCTAATGGCTTTGGAAACTCCTTACGGATGAGTGAAAACAAGTAGTAAACGTAACTGGAGCAGGACATAGTAAGGATTGATTTCCAAAATCGATTACCTGGACTGATCAAAGTATGAACTAGCCATGTATCGACTCTGTTTAACATTTTGGTGAAGCAGTCATTATTTCTGAAGAGTATAGTTTCTAGTCTGCCTGGTTTCCTGGAGTCTGCTGTTTTCGGTCTGGATTTAGCCGTCGGATTGCCATGGACCCTCGTATCTGACACACGATATTCGTGAAACTGATTCCCCTGTTCTCACAGGAAGTCTTCTCTTCTTTCTTATAATTTGCAGTGATCAACGATGCAGAACAGTTTGAATGGGACTCTATCTGATGATCACAAACTGGAAACCTATTGTGTAAATCTTGTCTCCAAGTTCGCACCTCAAGTGTCGCGAACTTTCGGTGATAAACTATTTGGTTCTGTTGCTTTGAATTGTTTCAGGTTTCTGTATTACAGAAGTTGCTGTAGTTTTTTCTGTCATTTCAGTTATATACCTATTTTGTTATCAGTTTTACGATCTGAGATAGCTCTAGTTCGACAGATCTGTATCGAGCCGAAAACCCGGAGGTCGATGTTTCGAATCCAATCGCTGTCCAGATTTTCACTTCACCTTCAATCATCACTCAGTATCAAAACTAGTCCGCCTAATCAATACTATCTTCGATAGTCGAACTGGTTTTCTTTTACTCTGAAACCAATTTGAAAATACGTGTAGTCCTTCATACCTCTCAGAAAGCTTGTTACGATCAGTGACATGCATTTGTCATGTAAATAGAGCTATCCGGATCCTCGAAACTGGAAAGATCGACTTATTCTGCTTGTTTGTGTTACATTTCTCTTTCTTCCTATCCTATCTTCCCTTATAAGCTGGCAGTAAATTTGGTAGCACAAGCAAAGGCTGTTGATCCGGATAACTTTAAAGTTTGGCTTGTTTCTGCTCAGTTGGCTGCTGTCATGTCTGGTGGTCCATCGATTGGTCCAGGTTTACTGGTCAATACTGAAGTGTTAAGTCATCTGATACATGCTGGATTTACTGGTTCCAATGTAAGTTGTTGTTTTTCTTTACGGGATGATATTTTTACTTTTGTTAAGGTGAAGGTGGATTCACTTAGGTGATGAATTCCGTCCGGTTCACCTGTCTGACATTGGTGCTGGAAACCTGCAGCTCAATGGACTACAATCTGTTTGAAGTGAATGTAGTGAGGTTTCTGTGTGTAGTGTGTGTGTGTGTGTGTGTGTGTGTGTGTGTGTGTGTGTGTGTGTGTGTGTGGTGGAAATCCATCACTGCAACGTGTTTCCGTTTGATAACTACAACCGTCACCTGTTATGTCATACAACTGAGAGTCTGATATATATATATATATATATATATATATATATATATATATATATATATATATATATATATATAGACAAGAACGAAAGCAGGTGGCTGAAATACGTTTGATTGGTCATATGATTTCACTTATTTCAAAAGATGCCTCACCTAAGACTGATTTTTTCGTGTTAGCTCAATTCGAAATCGTTTTATTGATCCGTCTCTGATCTCCATACGATTGATGGTTCCGAAATAACTGAATGTTAACTATGAATCAATCAACCAAACAATCAGTCGATTATTGTGCATACTTCCGTTTGTCATGCATAAAATCTAGTGACTCTAGAGACGGCCACTCTGTCCACTGATGCAATGGTAAATTAGATTCTGAGAAACGGAATTGGTTAGTTATTTCAGTAGTTGTTAGAGTGTGAGTGACCTTTATAGTCAGTCACTCAGTAAAACCAGCGATTTCGTGGGACGTTGTGAGTATGTCGTTCAGTTGTATATATGTGTGACTATGAGGATAGGAAGCAAGACAAGTGAGCAACAGTGTTGTCTTCTGTGGAACCATGGTTGAGCAGATTGACTTCGCGGCCCACCCTAACAATTGTTGGGATAACCAATCACGGTTTCTTGTCCTGTCAAAAGCTAACTTCCCAGTCTAATTAACTAAACCTGATTTGTTTTTTCACAGGTTGTTGAAGTGGTTTGTAAAGCCACTGGATTGGGAAGGTTAGTCGGAGTGTGACTAAGTCGTGTGCTTAATCTAAATCTGAGATGTTGTAGTTGAATGTGGGCTTCATCACGTGCTTATTAATCTTCATAGTCAAGTTAGGAAATCACTTGATAAGAACATAACGTGATATGGCATAGCAAAGTAATGTGACCAACTGGTGGAGTGGTTGATACCAGACCTATCAAGGTGACTATGGCCATCGATAGAGGAGTGACCGTAAAGCTCACTCTAGCAACTGTTGAAATAACCAACTCGATTTATTTGTTTTATGAAAACCTGTCATTCCAGCCGAACTAGAGAAATCCAATTGGTTAGTTGGGCAGTTGCTAGAGTGCCCCTGATGAAGTCACTCTCCAGTTACCCAACGTTGAATAACTGGTAGAGTAATCCAATAAATAATCTTGTGTTGGATACTTAAAAATGCATTCGATATTTACTGATGATATTTCTAGCATAAAATATGACTTTGTTGTTTTGCATTCTCTGAGCTGAGTTGTTTAATCGTGGAGCTTTCATCGTCTTTAAAAGACACCGACATCATCAGCACTAATTTCACTTCACTGTGAAGTGACCAGTCAACATCCCTCAGTGAGTGGTTTAGTAGCGTGCCTTGATGAAATGGTCTGTGGTCTGTGTTGTGTCATTGACTGTGTAGATTTTCCTGTTGGCTGTTCCCTGCTTCACCTCTGATCTTTCTGTCATTTATCACTTTTCTCATTGGTTGGTAGATTGCGTCTATATCTGTACATCTATTGATTGCTGACTGACTGACTGACTGACCTGAATGTCAAGCTTCTAGAAATTCTCTGATATTCTGACATTCCAATTCAGAGGTAAGATATACAAACAGATGAAAGGAACTCCAATGGGATCACTGATATCCAGACTAATTGCAGAAGCAGTGATGCAGGGACTGGAAGACATCATCTTACCTGTGATCAAACTAAAAATTTAAATTCGCTATGTGGACGACACTTTTGTCATCATTAAAAAAGATGATATAGAAAACACTCACAGTTTGATCAACAACGTCTTCAATGACATCAAATTGACAATGGAGAAGGAGTTGAACAACCAACTGCCATTGCTGGATGTTTAAGTCAGTAGAACAAATGACAGAAAGCTGGAAACCCAAGTGTACATAGAGGAAGCTAACATACACTGACCAAATCCTCAACTACAGTGGCAACAACCCAACGATATACAAAATCAGTTGCATGCAGACTCTATTCAAAAGATCGAGAACACACTGCAATACAACAACTTCACGGAGAAACGAAGAAAGTTACTTGATGTCCATCCTAAAGAAGAATGGCTACCCACGAAACTTTATCACAAGATGCCTTTTCCATTCATGATCAACTAGAAAGTCATCGGTGAAAATCAATAAACGTATCATCCTACCATACATAAAGGATATGTCAGAAATGACGACAAGATTACTGAGACCACTTGGGAACGCTACGGCCACTCACAAACCGGAAAATTCCCTCCAAACACTATTATCCAGACCAAAGGATGCAACAACCAAAAAATACAAACCGAATATCATTTACAAAATCAACTGGAATAACTGTAGTCAACACTACATTGGATAAAGTGGTCACCCTCTTCGCCTTCGTCTACATGAACACCAATTAGCTATTAAACGTCACTCATTTCAATGTATGTGGGTAACAACTATAGACATGAATTGAATTTCGACAATGTAGAGAGAGAGAGAGATCTTGGACATAGGAAACACAAAGAATATCAGAGAATTCCTAGAAGCTTGACATTCAGGTCAGTCAGTCAGTCAGTCAGTTAGTCAGTCAGCAATCAATAGATGTACAGATATAGACGCAATCTACCAACCAATGAGAAAAGTGATAAATGACAGAAAGATCAGAGGTGAAGCAGAGGAACAGCCAACAAGAAAATCTACACAGTCAATGACACAACAATATTTATTTGGAAAAAAAGTCTTCTATTTAACTGTTTTTATTATTTGAAGGAGATTGTATTTGCCAGCACTTTATCTAATGGAGCTAACTAGTTCGTCTCTTTTCAGTAGGTCGCACATACATAATAGCTTGTAGCAGTAGTAGTAGCCGGTAGGCTTCAAGGTCTTTAATGATATATCCATCATCCCTTGTCAGGTCATTTGTAGGAAGTCTCAGTACTTCAATTTTGATGACTAGTTTTCAAATTGATATTAGTTGGATATTCAAATGTTTGAATTAAGTCGATCTCTTTCTACTCTTTTGTGGGTCTGAATTGCTATTTTGTATCAATCTTCTTGACGTTTGCTATCATCATCTAGTTAGATATAACACTTAGGTCTACTTACAGTGGTTAGTTCTTGTGTGTTTTAAGACGTGGAATACAGTCGACGGTAAAGTGATGTTGATACAATTTTAATGCAACTACGATTTTCAGACAGTTGGTTCTTATTCTTGTCAGTAATGGTACAGAGAATGTGGCAGTTACATGCACTAAGTTGTTAATCACCGTCTCTCCTCTGCAGAGTTTATGATACCACCATCTGACTGGTCAAACTTCATTACGTGAAGTGGGATTTAAACGTGTAACCTTACTGATCGAAAGTTAATTATGTGAATGAATCGCACCACACCTTCATTGATTGGTATGATTTTCACCAGGAGATTGATCTCCGTGTACTTTCTCTGTATTCAACTTTTGATCTAATCCAACTGTATTTTCCTTCTGTAATTTATTACTTTTCAATCATTAAAAAGTGTTGGTTTAGCTGGCGAAGATAGTATCCTCTGTAGAAATGTTATAAAGAGATATGCTTTTCATTTTACATAATGTGAACAACTGTTGAATCCTAGTGAAACCATTGATGGTGCTCATATTCTCGTTCGATAATCTCATCATTTCTTTAAGAAACTCTTTCAATGTTATACTGATCACTTGGCACCCGTTGGTTGATCTTGACACTGCATAGTCTTGATTAATTCATTCATCCACCAGGTTGGACACGTGTAATCTTGTTCTGTTGATGTGATATCCCTCTCGACTAGAACTAGTCTGAACCTATTCTAACACTGACCTTTCATGTGATTAGTCTTGCATATACTTGCCATCTCTCATGTATAATTAATTATGTTGTCCCCATTGTGAGTGCAGTAATTTGACCCTCCCAACCGCGTACAACAACAGAACACAAATTCTTGTCACCTCTATTCTCCGTCTATTCGACTCATTTGTATGTACAAGCGTCCATCTCGTGTGCACAATGTACGTTAATTTATAAAAATGAAACTACCAATTTCACACAGAAAACAAAATATAATACGCAATAAATGATATCAGTCAACATACAACTTTTCCGAATTATGAGTGGGAGAAGTCGGTCGGAAACTCTTGAACTGAGCTGTACGATTATGTTATCAAATAAGTTATAAAGGAGATGATAGTGTTTAGGGTGAATAGAATAATTTGATTGACAGTACTCATCCGAGATTCACGTTTCACTTTTTTGACCGATGAAACAGCTATCTGATCTGATATCTGTTCCCATCTGTGAAGTGATCAATTTCATAGGCGACATTTCATGAAGTTACTTGCATTATCAGCCAATTACTGTTGACGGCTTGAGTAGTTCTGTTGTCATCTAAAATATTTCAGTGGTTGAAAATCTGCAGTTTGTGAAGTTGACTCATGAAACTATCGAGTGTGTCAATCGTGGAGTAATCTAAAAATGCAATGAAATTGTGATATAATATTGTATGGTTTGTTTTTTGACACGCATAGGCTGACCAATGTACAATCTCGCATATAGAAGTGCATCAGTTCAAGTTTACTCACTTCACAGAGGGAGGTGCATAAAAAAGTTAATGGTACTAACTGAAACAAAGGTCTATGATTGTAGAGCTTTGGCTAGGTGATTTAACGAAATGACTACCAACTATTGGGTCATGGGTTCCAGTTCTGCTCCTCCTACCTAGATTTGAGAAGGCCGGTAGAATTGTAGGAAACGACAAGACTAAGGCGCAGAAAAGAACGATTATCATTGACATCTACGGTAGCAATGGAATATTGTACGCTTTCCACTAAAACAGTCCTTTGCACAATCTGCTTCAGTTCCTCTTCTATTTCTATCTCGATTTCCTCTTAAAATACCCACATTGTCTCTTGAGTTTCTCTGGGCAGAATCGTTACCCATCGCTGGTAAAATTCCCTATGATTTCTGCGCCCTCTCGACATATACTACTGATATCCATTATGTTCAGCGACGCTCACTACAACCCTGAAATGACCAATCAAGCTTCGATGTTTCTGCTGGAAAAGTACTTTTCCATCTTACTTCAAAGACTGCTGACCGACCTTCAACGGCTTGATTTCAGTATTGTCTGTCATTTTGTACCTTGTACGAATGTCTTGATGCAGTTGTCGATTGACATTCAAATATAGACATCCACAGGATATTTTCCAGTTACGCTTATTGTTAACATTTTGTCCACGTCTTCATCTTGTAACATAACTTCAGTGTCTCAATTTATTTCCATGTTTTGTTTCATATCATTTTTCTCTGCATATAATATTATATTGTCATTAGTATCGAGTGGCTTCACAGCTGACACTTCATCTTATACCTATAATCATTGAGTATGCTCAATATAATTTCCTATGTGATCCATCAACAACAACATCATCATCGATATCAATGTCACAACAGGATAGTTCAGCGTTAATTCAGATGTTTGACAAAAGAGCCCATTTACGCCTTTCAATTAATGTTGCCATAGAATGCTTAAATCGTGCTATTGGTAAGTGAGTGAAATGAATTGATAGATGAGATAACTTTCCTTTGTTGTTCTTATTCTCTCCAAAACGAGTAATAGTTGCAATCCATCCATATTGATATGTTTAGATTGTGTAATTGATTTGTAAACAATTTGCAAATTGACTATTTACTTCAGTAGCATAACTACTAACCAACTATCTATGTATCCCGTATCTATGCGGTACAGTATACTGATGGTTAGATTCAGTTGAACTGAACAAATCTTCTCTTTCATCTGAATTTATGCAGACACACTGATGACGGTGACGACACGAAATTATTATCACTCTGATGTAAATGCTGTCACTACATTGGTATGCGATCAGGAGGTTGGGAGTGAGGGGTCTTAGTTGAGACATTTTGACGCGAACTAAGCAGTGGGTAGATATTCTGCAAAGTGATCATCCCATCAGAGTACAATATTCCTTTGACTGAATTTGTTACATTTCTTTTCATGGTTTGATGACTTGGAATAAACAATAAAATTTCACTAATGATAACGAAATGAAACGCTCTCAGTCACTCTGTGCACACACCTATGCAATAGGCAATGAGTCACACCTTTTGTGTAAGGGGTAATGATACTGCTAGCTGGCTGTGGAAACCTCGGTAGGTGGAGTGGTGGTCAGACCAATGACCCAATGGTTGATAGTCATCTCGGTAAACCACTGAGCAACACCTCCCACTAATGATGGAATCGAAAACAAGAATACCACAAGGTTACGGTGCAAATGGACTTGACATTATTATCAAATATTCTACTTGTAGGTTTGTGAGGAGTTGAATGATTCCCATGAAGTTCTCATCATGGGTCTACATCAACCCGAAAACGTTTGACCACTCCAGAACACTGGACATTTATTTCGTACTAGTGTGGGACTTCACAGCTATGACGTCAACTGTAGCAACTATGAGGACAGATACTCGTGAGTGTAAAATAGATGATGATCGTGCTGTATGAGGATTTGATAGCAGTTGGTGGAAAGCGTAGGTCATTGGATTTTACCCTTATAGCTGAATTGTAATATGTTCGTTACAACTTCGAAGAATAAGTCACCTGAGTAAGATTAAACATCAGTGAAAAACATGTACTAATACTTCATCATTTCGTATTGTAATTTTCTTGATGTACAATTCTTTGTGTACCTGCTGATGTTATTTTCTGCAATAACAGTTGGATTATTCTCAGAGTAACTATCTGAGATAGTTGCGGTTTCACAGACCCTTAATCACACCATGAGATGATCGAAGATGGAGTACCAGTTGAAGAAAGATTGGAAACCTGTGGGTACTGGACAGCTGCTTTTCTCTAGTATGAGATTCCTTAGCAATGAGCACCCATGACCCCACTAGTCATTGAACACAGCTCCTTCATGTTCCACAACCAGCATGTCACTCTTCAGCCAATGGGTCGGAATCCATTTATCCTACTTCCATGATGAATACCAACCTGAAATCAATAAGTCCCCACAAATCTCCAAATTAAATTATAGTGGCAACTCGGACCGTTACGCAGTAATGCCTGGTCCTATGTTGATAATGATGATGATGATGATGTACGTTTTAAATTTCTTTTCATCTATGCTGAATTTTCAGCTTTTGAACCTGGAAATATACGTTTATGGCATAATCGAGGCATACTACTTCAGTTGATGGGGTTCTCTGTCCCAGCTAAACAATGCCTTAAAAAGTGAGTGTACTTCTCTTTCATGACATTTCATGTAGTATTCAATTATACTGAAAGGAGGTAACTTATATCCAGTTTCCAGGAGAGGAATTCGCGTTTTTGCCTCTTATGCTTTGAGTACTTGGACATAACTCTAGATAACATGAAGCTGGTTATCCTTCAGATACTAACCAATGTACTTAATCTGGTCCTACAGGATGTAAGTCGCGACTCGAATAGCTCAGTGGTGATGTCTCTGACTGCAGCATTGAGTGACGTGATTTCGAATTTCAGGCAGGACATCGGTTCCGTAAATGTTGCAGGTACACCTTGATGATGAGCACTAATAAACACGAAACCAAGGTTAAGCAGGGGTTACTACCGATTTCCTCCACCCATCTAAATTGTAATTCTGTTGTTGAAGCTGAATAATAACGGTACTAATAACTTTAACACAGTTTGAGTAAGAAATTATGGTACTAAGCTTATAGTAGTGTACAATATTTCAAAACGGATTTCATACCCGTACAATGTTTTGCGATGATGTGAAAGTCAACAACCTGGAATGTATATTACGGTCCATTTGGTAGCTGGCGGTATAATCCAGTAAGCGCATTTCTTCCTATTAGCTACTCGTTAACTGGATGTACCTGCGTTCCATTGATTGCTAAATATTCCTACTGGAACTCAAAACCAGCACGCATCCCTTCAAACACTAAGGCGTTATCCACTAGACGACTGAGAAACGATAACCACCTTTGTGCAACGTTGTGTGTCAACTGTTCTTGATTGATACTTGTATTAATCCGTTGCTTTGCTCGGTTGAACTACTCAACCTCTTTTAGTAGATGGGCTCCTATACGGATGCTTCAAAACTGCCCATATAGGAGCCTATACGCCAACAGAAATTGAACAATTCGACCCAATATAGTAATGGGAAATTACAAGTATCAATAAACAATACGAAATCTAGTTGAGTATTGAACAAAGAACAACTTCTACCCAACTCAAATCAGGTAACGGCAATTAGAACAGCCATGAGTTAGATTGATAGAATTCATTTCAATTTTGCGGATGCGAATTATCCTTACAGCATAGTTATCAATGTACAGCTACAATGCTGTTGAGAGGCAGGGAAGAGTTTGGTATTTTTGAGGCCCCCACCTTACCGTTGAGAGGGCAGCATCAGCGTGGCACTGCTGGTGTCATCCAAGTGAAACAGCTTACTATTGTCACACTCCATTCAGCTAGCAGCAGTACTATCATAGTGTAGTAATTCACACTAAAACGGTAACGGACCTTTCTGGCGTGGTTAGGACCTCAAAGGAACAAGCGTTTTAGTCAGTGCAGCTCATTGAGTCACTGTGATATGCTACTTCAGACAACACGTCGACGTAGCAGCTGTTCGCTGAAGAAAAACAAATTGGTGTCTAAAAGACGGGAGGAATGAAGGAAAGTAAGAAAATTCAAAGTCTGTAAGGCAAATTGTTCGAATTTGAGAATACAAATCATTTCAATGGAATTAAAAAAATATTTTAGTGAACTTAGGCCATTCATCGTACTTTCAAATCTATAAAATGTTTTGATTGCGTTATTCAGTGACCCTTTTTATGATTTTATTCCGTTTGTTAAATAGTTGACAAGGCTTTATATTTTCCGAAGTGTAGGAAATCAAGACCCGACCGATAGCTGCTACCTTGACGTGGTGGTCGGCTTAGATATCACAATGACCCAGCGAGCTATGTTGGTGGAGCACTTGTTCCCTCGAAGTTCTACCATATCAGAAAGGTCTGTTGGATAGTTAGTGGTTAGACGAAAGGTAGTTACCCTTGTAGTGTAGATTACTATACTATGATGGGGGTCTGAGGGCGAAGTCGTACTGCTGCTAGCTGGATGGGGTGTGACAGCAGTAAGGTGTTTCTCTTGGGTGACCAGCAGTGCCGTGTTGATGCTGCCTTCTCAGTGGAAGGGGGAGGTAGAAAAGGTCGGCCCCAAAAATAACACACTCCACCATACTCCCACGGTCTGCCGGGTCGACGATGTTGGTTCATTTGTCGTTTCTTTTCGACCATCTAGCCTCAAAACAACAAAATTTCCAAACAAGCATACACAAAAGGCTGCATGTGACAGACCTCAAGCAGGTGTCCGATGGGCTGTGTGGTCACACAAACCGCTTTCAGGTACTTTAAGAAGAAATAGCCTCCCACGGTGTGGGCAGCCAGGAAGTGTGAACCGCCCTCACAACTCTGTCAGCACTCAAGTTTCCTCGGACTACTATCCACTTCCCCCATCATTACCTTCTAACTTTTCTTCACGTTAACAACAGTTAGTGAGGCTGTAGCGGAGAAGGACGGATCTGTGATTCACTCGCAGGGGAGATGACTGGAAAGATGGGCAGAAGACTTGGAGGAACAGTTTAACTGGCCTCCAGACACCATTGCGTTGCCCGTTGTGTAGTCGGATCCTTAATGGGACATAGAGACAGCCGCCCCCCCACACTAGAAGAAGTTGAGAAAGCGGTAGGTAGCCTGAAACGGGGAAGGGCAGCAGGACCAGACGAGTTAACTCCTGAGGTGGTGGCGCCGCCCTGATATCCGATTGTCTATTAAGGGTCGAGTGTACTGCACCTGCATTGCAGTCCACTCTGTTCTACTCTATGGCTGTGAAACATGGCCAATGAAGGTGGAAGACATAGGAAGGCTTCAAGTGTGTGACCACCGTTACCTTCGAAGTAATGGCCGTATTCCGTGGTGTCACCATTTGAGTAACGCACAAGTCAGGTGTACAGTTTGTGAACCCTTATCGACTAAGATGGTTGGGACACACACGTGTTATGTATGCCTACTCGCTGATTGCCTCGTCACACAATGTTGGCCGAAGTAGGTTCAGGCTGGAATAAGGTCCGAGGTGGCCAGACCAAAAAATGGCATCAATGTATGAGGTCTTTGACTGTTGGTTTGAGCCATGTAGGGGGTTGCAGACTAGGTGGTTGGGGTCGGTGGTACCAGAGGAACCAGCGGTTAGAGACTCTAGGTGATATGGCTGAGAACCGATGTCAGTGGCGCGGCTGTATGCACACATTATCCTCATCTTAACGACTCTATACCGAATCTCACCACTTTCTCATTCTTCCTCTCTCTCTTTTAGTACTTTATATTTTTCTTCAGTGAATTTTCTTTTCATCATCTTCCATTTCACTGCCTTTTTACTTGATGTACTGATATGAGGTGTGGCAATTTGGACCGTTACGCTGTAAGTAATGCCTGGTCCTATTTTGATTTGGATGGATGATGGATGAAGAAATCAAGACTGAGGAACTCACTGTAGGTTATTCAGTCAGTCAATATGAACATGATACCTCTGGTAATTGAGTAACGCTGCAAGTTGCCATACCATATATCTACACACTAAGATACAAGCTGTATTCTCTGGAGTCTTTAATCACTGATTTTACGAGTCTTTTTTATTCTAACCGTCGAGTCCGATTTTTTCTCTATGCTTCAGACTGACATTCAGATAAGGTACTGAATTTGCAAGTGATTTATCAATTGCAAGGTCCACGATGACATGTATCTGGTAGATCGCTGATGAGGTTGACTCTGAACGTGCGAAACGGCTGTTCAGTGTTTAGATCACTCTAATCTAAGTGACGAAATCTACACATCAGCCTGAATGGTTTTTAACTACTCAACTTGTTCAGTAGTACATAACATTTAAATAATTCGTGAATGTATACTATGTTTGGGGGTTTGTGGAGATTTATTAATTGATTTCAGGTCGGAATTCATCATGCAGTGATATCAGCTGGAGGAACATTGGGAACCTGGGACCACTGGACAACTGTTTTGTCCTAGTATGGGACTTCTCATCAGTTTGCACTCATGACCTTGCCAGGGATCTAGCACTCATTTATGAGTAGCTTCTAGAGGTGGTTCCTGAAGCTCCAGTGAGAAGTTGTGTCCAGTACAGCCAACCAAGTCGAACATTCGGACAGTTACTCAACGGCGATATTCGATGTAACTGAACTGACGGAAGTAGGAAATATGGACCAATGGATCCCAACCCGGGGGATCAAGGGTGAGGTGCTGGCCGCGGAACCTAAATTTCCTGTGTTTGTTTCCTGATGGGTAAGGTCATGTGTGCGCACTGCTGAGGAGTCCTATACTGGTACGAGATAGGTGTCCAGTGCTCCCAGATTTCCAATTTTCTTCCAACTGATATCAATTCATGATGAATTCCAACTTAATACTATGTTTATGTTCCCTGAAGTTGAGAAAATCAGCAATGAGGAACCTACACTAAGTTGTTTGTTATCCACTCTGACGTTTTTACAGTGACTATGAATTTTACTCCCTAATTCCTAACATTTGATTTCATATTATATTTTGAAGTTATACGTAAGGACCTGTTTGTTCATCTTCCTAAATCTTTCATGACAGACAGACAAGATCAATTTAGAACCTCTCACACAAATGGAACGGTTCAAGTTTCTGCACCTCACACTAGCATACAAAGAACAGGTGTGGATAGAATAAGAGTGATATCAAAGTAGACATTTTTGTGTTTAGGAATAAAGTTAGTGCAAGTAGTCAAGCTACAGAAGATATCAAGTAGTGAATATAGTCGGGGACTTCGTGGGTTTATTTCCACGTCTTGGTCTAGCCACCCTGAGCCCTGTTCCAACTTAATGCAACTTACAGCAGCATGGCACGTCGAGGCAGACGATGGATCAGCATATGCAACACATGTCTAAGCCACCTCTATCGATTAAGGCCCACAGCGTCATCACTTGACTTGCGTATCTTACTTAGTACCTTTCTCTTGACCTCAATATCGCTCACATGATTATTTCAACAAGTGCAAGCAATGCTCCGAAGATAATTGTGATCGGAAATTTGTAACTGCTTCATGTCACATACTTTTAAAGGCCATATTTCCTTCAATCCAACATGTGAATCTTATTGGTTGAATTGGGTATCCATGATTGTACCTCTCAAGTGGTTGACAGAACCGTCATTTCTTCCTATAGATGATTATGGTCGGAAGAAAACTTGAAGTGTGATACGTTTTCGCTTGGCAACCTGTGGGTTACCAACCTACGTATCGACTCACTTTATCTGTGAGATTTGGTCGCTTACCTAGGCCTCAATTTTAATTAATTATTGAATATTTCTGTCGTGTTGTTATTGTCGTTTTTAGAGCTGTATCACTACTAAATAAGCAAAAGGGGCTCTGCTACCAGGATAATCCAGATGAATTGGCATTCCGCAGTTTGGTTTTATCGCATTATTTCCTTATTACATATATATGGTAAGCACAATTTTTTCCGGTTTCTTTCGATTGAAATTAGGTGATACTGATTTACGAACAATAATAATAATAATAATGGTAATAATAATCTCTTTATTCCAAACAACATGTATGACAGTGTGGAATTCTTCCAGACGAAACGGTTATTGCATCGAAATGATGTTAATAATAACAGCATTCAAAACAATAATGAGAAATAACCAGCTGATTCTGGATGAACATCCGGTCCTAAATGAAGAATTAGCAGAAATGCAAGCATAATTTTGGTGGTGGTTCATTCAGACAGCACAAAAATATGTAACTCAAGCTTATCATCTGATGCATAGAAATATGATGTACTTTTTTGCACAGAAAAGTCTATTTCCATATAACGTAACATTTTTTCTCTGCTTTGTTATTGATTCGATAAACGGAGAGTTGAAAACAGTTTAAAAATGTGCAAGAGTACATGATACGTTCAGCAGACATATTTAAATGATTAAAACAAATTGAAAGGAAAGAATTTAATGAAGAATGTTCGGTGGTTAAATTGGGTAACTCAAGGTTCAAGCAGTTTATGTGATATTATCATACAGTGATATTGTATTATTGTATTATTTTGAACACAATCTATAATCATAATCATAGCAAGGACGACTTTACAGACCGACCTAACAACTGCCGAGATAGCCAATTGTATTTCTCCATTTTATAAAACATTACCTTTCCAGCCAAAATACTGAGATCTGATTGGTTGCTGGGTGACTTTTAAAGTCGCTCTCATAGCAAGGTGATTACTCTACTTTCTACTTTGATTTCTGGACGTATGTATTTCTCTTACTTTTAACTCTGCACTTAGTGGTGCACTATTTATATTTTATGTAGCTTTCGGTGTTTATTTTATAAACAGAGATTCAATGATCAATCTATTCATCATCATCCACCTTAGTATGTTAATCTTCAAAGTTATTGCTGCGCTGCTTCACCATATATTGTATCACTGCATGCTTTCAGCTTTCTCTCTAGTTTACCTATCTGGGTCGGTGGTTTGTCATTATAGATTTAACCGAATCCCTATGCTCTGACCAACTGGGATCAGCTGATTCAATATATATTACATACCTGACCTCAATATCACTGCATACACTTTAATGAACTTTATCTCCTAAGTTTGTAGACCTGTAAACAACCAACCTATTTGAGACTCCTCAGCTGGATGTAGCTGTATCCCAATGAGTTATGTTATCCCCGCTGAGACTGGAATCCAGTGGTCATTGCTTCAAACGGCAAAGTGATGTCCACTGGGGCATGAGGGGCACCACTTGTGCAATAGGTATTAGTTGTTGTTTATTATTGATAATTTTCATTTGGTGTTACTATACAGGTTTAAATCGCTCAACCTCTGTCATCTGTCGTCTCTGAAATACCATCGTATAATGACTGTCATTCTCCTAGATTGCTTTTAAGCTAAAAGGAGTTTCGTTTATCATATATGTACGTATAAAATTATTCTACATAACTTGGAAAGTTTACACAAGCTTTCGGTCTTTTTTCCCAGTCATTTAAAGAGATTATACTCTCTAATAACAGATGATGTGAACAAAATATTTAAAATGAATCATTATCCAGTGAAATTAATTCACAGAGTAGCAAATAACATTAAGGTAGAGGGTGAAATTACCCCTAAATGATCGGTCTTAATAATAGTTATCCCTCACAGATGACACACATCGGATGAAATTCGGTGAGTGCTCAGCAATTACTTCATAAGAGTGTTTTACAGAATATCAAACACATTGCAGAGTACCTTAGTTCATTTGAAGGACAAGATCCCCCTGGATAAACAAATTAATTGTGTTTATCAAATAAAATGCTCAAAATTGTGATGCAATGTACAATCTCTCCGTGAAATGAAACCTGGAATTGGTATGGCTCAAAAACCAGACAATTCTCTCCAAACACTATTATCCAGACCAGAGGATGCAACAACCAAAGAATACAAACCGAATATCATTTACAAAGTCAACTGGAATAACTGTAGTCAACACTACATTGGATAAAGTGGTCACCCTCTTCGCCTTCGTCTACATGAACACCAATTAGCTATTAAACGTCACTCATTTCAATGTATGTGGGTAACAACTATAGACATGAATTGAATTTCGACAATGTAGAGAGAGAGAGAGATCTTGGACATAGGAAACACAAAGAATATCAGAGAATTCCTAGAAGCTTGACATTCAGGTCAGTCAGTCAGTCAGTCAGTCAGTCAGTTAGTCAGTCAGCAATCAATAGATGTACAGATTTAGACGCAATCTACCAACCAATGAGAAAAGTGATAAATGACAGAAAGATCAGAGGTGAAGCAAGGAACAGCCAACAGAAAATCTACACAGTCAATGACGCAACACTCAAAGGAGACAACCAACCACAGACCATTTCATCAAGGCACGCTACTAAACCACTCACTGAGGGATGTTGACTGGTCACTTCACAGTGAAGTGAAATTAGTGCTGATGATGTCAGTGCCTTTTAAAGACGATGAAAGCTTCACGATTAAACAACTCAGCTCATAGAACACAATGCAACCGAGACCACCAACCTGAGCTACAAATATTCTCCACTATTTCATAGGACAAACGTTTCATTAAATCAGAATTAGGAAAAATGAACGACGAAGAGCTTCCATCCGACCTCGTAGAAATCCAATGGAACTTAAAAAACTTGAAAACACTTCAACCGTAGCTCTACACGTTATAAGTTCAGCCCACAAGTTCGATTTTGAAAATATCGAAATTATGCTGCAAGGGTGGCGTTAGAAATTATAAGAGAACGTCTCATAGTTGCGTAAAGTGGAATCAAAATTGTCTAAATACGAATGAGGAAGTCAAACATAGCTTGACTTAGTCAAGCTAGATACATGAGATGAGAACTATCAACATATGTGCACATACAAATCTTTATCTGCAATTCAGACGCAACCCCACTACATATAGATATTGTCTTTTTTCAACAGTTTGATCGGGTAGAATCAAGTTATGATATATAAGCTTGGGGGTTATTATAAATTTCGGTTTACTATAACTCTGATAAAGCTGTTGGCAGCACTAAGTAACGAATCGTCAATTGATGGGAAAAAAATTTATTTTGTTCTACTTTCACTATTAAATGCAAATACCAAAATAATGGGTAATTTTCCATAGGTCTCTTTACCAAAGCTGAGGACTATGGATGACTTCTGTTTATTGAAGCCCTGAATTGAATGCTTCCCTCAAATTTCACTACTAAACATTGCTTCTTAACCGCAGGTAATTGAAACTTCTTTAATTAGGTCACGAAGGACAAAGTAAATTGCAAAAGCGAAGTTTTTTGCATGAATATTGTCGCAAGATTTCCCTACAGCACTGATAACTTTATCATATGAAATGTCTACTGTTCTACATTATTACTATTACACTAAATTACTTTTATTGAATTTTTTCATTAACATACTTCTGAAGGCAAACAGCTTTGATCTTTCTGTGACATCTTGATTAATCGTCTTCTATCATGAGATCTTATGACTGAACTATGTATGACTAATGTTTAAACTGGTAAATTGAGCAGTCGGATTTCCTTGTTACCTGAGCGCTCATCACCTAGGACTGGTCAGTACTGTTTGTTTGTGTGTCACCCAAATGAGCTCTACACTTAGTATAATAACTCCGCTAAGTGGTAATGGTGATGATATCCGATTCCCTATGAACACAATAAGCTGGTCATAAGTTCGAACTAGACTCCACTTACCGAGGTTATAGACAGCCAGGTAGGTAGTATGATTAGCCTTCACACAATAGATGTGACTCATAGCCACCTACTGCTTGGAGGTGCATGCGGTTGGTGAGTAGTGGACTCCAATTTAACTGGTGAACACCTTCCTGTTACGATGCGGGGTTATGAGAAGGAACGATGATAATTAAATATAAGTGAAAAACTTGGGCACTGTGGTAGAATGTAGTTCCTGCACATATGTCACATTTCATATAACCAGTGCTAGGGTTCTGATTGCCTCCTACCTTTCTCAATGTACTAATTATTTCTTGTCTTTCAAGGTTATCGTAAACTCTATAAATAGGGTCCGGTTTTTTTTTTACTAATGAACATTTTCAGTTCGACGCAGTATTAACTCAGTCTTCTGATTTGTCTCTACGAATCACTCAGGTCGGATCATCTCAACCCTCGACTTTCAATCTTTAATTATCATCCATATTAGATTTGTTTATTTGATATAAAGCGCACAGTGATACAGTATTATTTACTTGATTACGTTTCGAGCATAAATTATTGCTCATAATCATATCAATGTAATCACACTTCTTTCGACATCTGATTTTATAGTCCTGTCACCTGATCTCTCTTTGTTTTACCTCACTTAGAGGTAAGCTGTGTCGGCTAAAAGATCCGATAGAACCAATTAAGCAAAATAATATAATCTACCAAATTCCATGTAATGACTGTGAAGTCAAATACATAGGTCAAACTAGCCGGTCGGGGTCAGTTAGATTAACAGAACATAGGAATTTAGCTAAACATAGAACGACACACCCCAATAAGATCAATAACCTAGAAAAACACTCAGCCATTGCATTACATTCATTAACACACAACCACACAATAGGATGGGACAAAACCACTGTACTTAAGTCTAATATAGCTAGGTGGAGAGAGAGATTAATTACTGAATCTTTGTTCATCGAATTCACACCCAACACATGTAATAGGAATGACGCAACACCTATACCAGAGATATGGAAAACTTTACTACCAATCAAAAAACAAAAAAACAAAGAGAGATCAGGTGACAGGACTATAAAATCAGATGTCGAAAGAAGTGTGATTACATTGATATGATTATGAGCAATAATTTATGCTCGAAACGTAATCAAGTAAATAATACTGTATCACTGTGCGCTTTATATCAAATAAACAAATCTAATATGGATGATAATTAAAGATTGAAAGTCGAGGGTTGAGATGATCCGACCTGAGTGATTCGTAGAGACAAATCAGAAGACTGAGTTAATACTGCGTCGAACTGAAAATGTTCATTAGTAAAAAAAAAACCGGACCCTATTTATAGAGTTTACGATAACCTTGAAAGACAAGAAATAATTAGTACATTGAGAAAGGTAGGAGGCAATCAGAACCCTAGCACTGGTTATATGAAATGTGACATATGTGCAGGAAAAAGAGCGTAAAGAAAAATGCTGTTTAAAATGTATAAGAGGTAAGAGTGGAATATATTAGAGATGTTAGACATCTGTAACACTTCCCTATGCTGATTAATCTACTTAGACAAAATTGTAGATATCCAACCAATATTTTTGATCACTGAGCATACCAGGTGTGGCTTACGCCTTATCTGTACTTGACTAATCAGTTATGTGTATTGTAGTTTCTTTCTAGTTCAGAATCAATAAGTCGCATCTATTAAAAACTGATTTTTTATTTGTTTGCACATACATATGCTTGTGTGGATTTAGTGGTTCACCTGATTGGCAAGTTGGTAATCAACTGGTTACTTTAACGAAAAATCCAAACTCTACTTTCTGTCATAGTTTAGCTGAAGCGTGTGCTAAAGGCATTATCTATACAATGTGTCCTGATAGACCAAGTCTACCGAACTTATCAATGATATGTAAGTTGTATTGTATCGAGGTAATTGTTTTATTGTCTTTATGTTGTTGTTTTTATCTTTCCTTTTCCCAATGTGTACAATTTGTCCCACTTAATTTAGGATCTTTTTTTCCATAGAGTCATGATTCTTCAAAATCTCTACCTACCGATGAAAAGACCCTAGAAGATTTGGATTTCGCCCATGATGATTTATGTCTAATATCATGTCGCACAAACTCGAAGATCTACAGACGAGTACTAACAAGTTGGCGGAAGAGGCAGGGCAGCGAAGACGGACTTACTTCTGGTGAACGCAGAGAAGACAGAAGTGATGAAGATACCCAACCAACCAACAACAACAAACACCAATTAACATCAACCGGAGAAATTTAAACAAAGTTGTCTCTTTCATTTACCCACCTACCTAGGCAGCATCGTTCCAACTACAGGCGGCAGCACAGGCACACATCAAGAGTCAGGTTGACAACACTTCAGAGAAGAGAGTAAAATGGTAACATTCTGCGGAAGCTCTATGTTCCACTAGGAACCCAAAGGACAAATAATAATATTGAGGTGTTTTCAGTGCCGAGCTTCATTATCCAACAGTTTGTAACGTTGGTCGAAAGTGGAGCGTGTGCAGCACTAAGTTACTATTCTCATTACAGTGTTATCATGTATCACATAGGTGACAAGCTACTGCACATTGCTGAATGAGAATAAGCCTTTCAAAGATAGAACCTTCGACATATGCTTGGCGATTCTACTAGATAATCGCTTTTCTATTATTCCTACTCACTTCAGTATGTATTTGTGAATCTGTTTAATTTGGAATGTGTGATTTCGTATGCGGTCTGATTCAGTGAGACCAGTCGAATAGATTCTAGACAGTGCACTGTTGATTCCTGCTGCCAAACTCATATCCTTTGAAATCTAAAGTAAGAAGCACCGGTTTCTTCCCAACAGTATTACTGTACTCTCTCTCTCTCTCTCTCCTTTCGTTCGCCATATTTCTGGACTAACTGAGTCGTGTCAAGTAATCGTCTGTGTTGAGTATTCTGATGTGATACATCAGATAGTGATCCAGTGGAAACCTGGGAGGACTGGACAATGGTTTCGTCCTATCATGGGGCTACTCAGCAGTCCACACCCACGATCTTCCTAAGCACTCGAACCCAAGGCTATCAGGTATCGTGATAAGCACCTAACCACTCATCCACTTTTTCGGAATTCAGTGGTTCATATTTTCCTACCTTTATCAGTTTGCTATGTGTCAGAATCATCGTTCGATACCATCGGTGAGTATTCGTCCTCACACACCCTACTTGGTTGACCCCACAGGTTACGGCTTCTCATTGGCACTTTGGCAAATCCATCTCGAAGCATATCACTAATGAGTAGTAGATAGTAAATAGTTCAGCCTGGAGGTTTTGTGGGAATGGATTAATTGGTTTCCGTGGTTTATTCGTCGTAGACTGATATCAGCTGGATAACCGCTGAAATCGTGGGGGAACGGGATGGCTGATTCGTCCTAGTATTGGGCATACTTATGATAAATGCTGTTGTATTTATACCACTGACTACAACTAGTGGCGTCCAAAAAAGATGTCCACTGTCACCGTTCCCATTTAACTTCATCATAGACGTCCTAATAGACAGAGATTGATCTACTCCCTGGATGTCGTCTCGTTGACTTGGATTATGCAGAGGATGTTGTTCCGCAAGGTAAAGACGCTGACAAAATTCAGGGTCTTCTGAATGTGTTGCGCAGAAATCTAAATATGTTTGACATGCGTTTCGCTCTCACCGGTCGAATGTAAATTGATGCTTCAGAACTGATCTGCTTCAAGTACTCCAAGTTTAATGATATGGAGTGAACTGGTGAAATGTGTTAATCACTTCACTTAGTCAGGGAGCTGCATCAATCCGAACGAGTTGGTTGCTGATGAGATTTCAACTTGGATTTAGAAGTCCTGTTTAGCACTTGCCAACTTGCGTCATCTGTGTCGCTGACTGGCGAGTTATCCAACTCTCTATCGAAGGATGAGTAGTCCATTCTGTCCTGTTATACGGCTGTGAAACATGGCCGTTAAAATTAGAAGACACGAAGCGATTACAAGGTTTTGATCACAGATATCTTCGTAGCATTGCTCGGGTTTAGTGGAGACACCGTGTGAGCAATGTTGAGGTCAGGTGAACGGTACTAAGCAAGTCGATTGATGAGGTTGTAAACCTTGATCGGCTGAGGTGGCTTGGACATGTACTGCTCATGCTGAGCCGCCTCCTACCTCGACTTGCAGTGTTGCTGGGGGAAGTTAGATTAGATTGTAAGAGTATTAAGGGTGATCAGACCAAGACATGGCACCAGTCGTTGAAATCTTACTGTTGTTCTGAGTCTTTCGGGGGTGTGAAGGCTACCTTGTTGGGGTCCCCGAGAAATGAGGAATCAGTGGTTGGGAATTCCAGGTGGTTACATGGTTGAGAATCGGTGGAAATGGCCCAGATATATTCACTCTTTGACGTCTTTTAAGCTTGGATCTTTTTGTTGTCTCTCATTTTTAAATTTCGTCTGCTTCAAAATCTCTCTTTGTTTTTTGACTGCTTCTGTGAAATATGGTAGCTTAAAATCGATGCACTTGTATGCCGGGTTCTGCTTTGCTTCTGTCTCCTGCTGTCACTGAAAAATTGAGAATATATAGCGTATATATATTTCACTTTCTGAAATGGTTGAATTCATTAATACCTCCATTTTCTTAAAGATTTATTTGGACCTCTGGTATAAGCAAAAAGGATATGTGTAGCGCTTCCTAATTCCTTATGTTTCTCTAGGTTATGATCAATTCCCAATGAAATACCACCTACAAATGAATGGACCTTTTATATAACACCCAGTTGTGAATGAATTATAAAAGAGTCATGAATGTATCTACTCTTTTGTCTTAAAGCAGTGATTCATCTTACGTGTGACCTTCAGGTAGAAGAACAGTGAGGTTTATAAAACGCCGTGTTGTGTGATAGTTGAATGAATACTAGTTTCAAGTGGTAGCGTGCATTTACCATATGAGATAGTTGGCGGCAAGTGCTAGGAAGCCCAACAACCTGAAGGGAACTGATGTCACCTAGTTCTTTAGTCAGATACGTCATAACTGAGCTATTTACACTGTAATTGGTCTATGGGATTGAAGTATATATATTGATTGGTAACTATCATCATTTTGTCTAGTCGCATGTGCTGACTAAATTCTGTCAATCATTTTTGTAAGGTAGTCCATCAGACTGGCGACTGAGTGCAGTTTGATAGAAATGTTAGTAGATACTTAGTGGTAATTGGCAGGAAACTCATTTTTATATTATATTGTCTACTTTTCATGTGATTATATTTGTTATTTTGATAGTAACGAAGAAAATAGTAACCAGTTTATTTCTTTTGTAATTGTACATTGAATCCCGCCCCTGAAAAAATAGGTTTAACTAAAGAAATCGAACGTCTACAAAATCAAGGCTCATATGTTACTAAATCAGCTATGGAATTTCAACCGAATGCTGGAATCTGGTTAATGATGACTATACAATTACTTGATTGTTCATATTTTGGTCCAGTACAAGAAATGAACAAATTACAATCATATTTAACTGAATTAAAACTTAATGCATTGTCTTTATCATCATCTTCTTCATTGTTGTATCGTTCTATTTCATTCCCACTTGCTTATAATTTAAGTCAAATTGGTGTACGTTTAGGCAAAGATGTGAATTGGTTGACTAACTCACCTTTATGCAAAATGATCTATGAAATATCATCCAGTAAACAAATGGAATATGAATCATTATCTAATTTGCCTGATTTGTATAGTAATCGTTTAGGTGATAATTATTTACCTTTGGGTGGACAGCTGACTGACACGGAATTAAACAATTGGATTATGAACAATGCCTATTTATCATTGTGCTCGGTAAGTGTAATTCATCTATGCATCTATCGATTGTAGAGTTATGGCTCATTGATTTAATGATATTGCTTCTAACCACTGGGTCATGAGTTCGAGTCCCCCGCCTATCAAGGTTTGTCCAGCCAGATGGTAGTTTCATTGGCTCTCATACAATAGATGTGGCTGCTCACTGCACACTGTCTACTGCACAAATGTGCACAAGACTGCTGAGTAGATCTCGGTGATCGATTGAATGATGCCAAATCAAACTGTTAATAGTTCTATTGTATTAACACCAGACTAATATAAGCTATATATATATATATATATATATATATATATATATATATATATATATATATATATATATATATATATATGTGATATTTAAAAAAGACACATTGAGTAGTATGGGCGTTGTACCTTAATCTGCGGAAACCTGTAAGCCGACTCAACAACCTTGTGCACATATTCGTGTAGCAGTAGGCAATCACCAGTTACTGTGGGTACTAATAATACTACTAGCTGGCTGCCCAAACCTCGATAGGTGGAGTTGAAAGTCATCTCCCTAAACCACTGAACCAGGACTCCGTGGAAACGTGCTGTCTGGTAAACACACATTCAGGCATTTAGGAGAAACAGCCTATCGTTGATGCATAAACGAAGCATAAGGTGGATGGAGGTCATTCAGCTAGTCAATAAGAACATGGGACCTGGCATTGCTGCTTAACAGTTCTAGTTGTCACACCTTTGTAATAATAATGATAGTAATAGTAGTAGTAGTGGTAAAAATAATAGTAATAATTGTTGTCATTGTTATTATTATTATTATTAGAACACAAACGTGGTACGGAAAGAGCACCAAAAAATGCACCACACAAAATAATATAATAACAGTATGAAGAAATAAGGCGAATGGAGGTGGATAAAAATAAAACATAAGAATAGAATGTTTAGAAGAGCAGTCCAATAAGATACATTCAAACCCAAAACATTCATTACTTTTCAACAGCAGAAGATAGAAGGAAGCTACAGCATGATTGCCACTGATTAAGATCCTGAGCCAAATGTGATAAAGTCTCAAGCCGCTGAGTTGCATGATTTCTTGGATCCCACCCAGGGAGTCGTGATGCACCAATAAATGTTAACGCGATATAAGTATCCTTCATCCCATGGCATCACGTCATGCATTGACCATCCCTCCACTTCTTTCTTCCAGTTCCAGAGCTATCAAACAATGAACTTTGTGGGAGCTGTTGAGACATGTCGAAGCTGGTGTTCCCGGATGACTTCATTTATTGAATGAAGATCTTTGACTTGCCCAAACACACGCTGTCGTACCTCAGAATTACCTACATGGTGTTGCTAACGGGTACGAGCAGTCCTACAGAGATAACGATGATGGAACACACATGGTCGTCGCATATCCTCAACACGGAGAGGCCAGGCTTCACAGGCATAGAGCAGATATGCTCATACCGAAGCTTTTTAAACTCGGTCTTTTGCGGTCAAACTAACGTCACGACGGCGCCAAAGGTGACCTAGATTGACGTATGTCACTCTGGGTTTTGATATGCGGTTGAAAATTTCATCACTCACACCTAAACTAGCACTCACACAGCTGCTAAGATATACGAACTTTTCTACCAATTACAACGGTTCACCCCCAATGGTGAGCGCAGTCACAGTCTCTTTTCAATCTTGCAAGAGTATTTTGCTCTTTAATAGCTCAGAGCACATACCTTACTTACGAACACACCTCACTAATGGACTGACCTCAGTTGGAGGGATGTTGGAAACCTGGGAGCACTGGACAGCTGTTCCGTCCTAGTATAGGACTCCTCAGCAGTGCACACCCATGAACCCTCTCTCCAGGGCTCGAACTCGGGATCTTCAGGTTCCGTGGCCAGCACGTTACCACTGAGTCACTGGGTCGGAATTCAATGGTCCATATTTCCCACTTCTGTCAGTTTACGACGTAGCGTGACCACCACCAGGTTTGCCCCATTGGTTATGACTTTTCATTGTAACCTCATGAATCACCTCTCGAACCTCCCCACAAATCTCCCAATAAGATAAGGAAGGAATCCAAGCTAACCCAAAGGCAACAGAAGAAGTGGTTAAAGAGTAGTGACATGGGATATGAGGAATAGGGTAAAGATGATGTGTAGATACATCTACTTGACTGAGATCATTTCTAAATCAAATCCCTTAAATTGTACACCCATCGATTCCGGATGTTATGTGGACGTCAACCCATAAGTCTGTCTTTCTTGTCACGGTTCACTCAGACTGGCAATCACTGACTTCATGAACTGATGTCTGACAGTTTGGTCTATCTAATTTTCCTATATCCGATTCAGTTGACATGCATTGCCCAACGGAGCAGATGGTAACCAGTCTTAAGAAACATGTGTAATTCTGTAGTTCTTATTATGATGATAGTGAATTCTCACTGTTCAAGTTAGTTGATCAACAACGTTGCAGTTGACACGGACAATAAACTAACTAACTTCCTTATTTGAAAACCGAAGGAAATGATGAATACATTTCATGCATACTATGATCTTGTTATTTCTTCTTTTTTTTTTTAACTGTTTATAAGTGTTTTTTATTTACCTAATTATCTGTCTACTTGTTTGTTTGTTTTTGAAATATACATATGTCTTAATCTCGGTTACTACTTCACTTACCGCTTTGTTGCCTCTGCTGTGTGTGTGAAAACAATCCTACAGTCTCGACTAACGTCTACTTTAGCTTGTATTTCACGTTATTTAGTTCAACGTCCTAGTGAACCAATGCGTTGGATTTATTTATTCGCTTGTCTGTTGGATAGAAATCAACTAAGTCAAACAACAAATTTATCTTCAATTCAATTGAAGTCAAATATTACTTCAATGAATGACAAATTGATTATATATACAAATATAATTATGAAGTGTTTATCAGTGATTACTGAACTGAACACAGAATGTCCCATGAATTTGGTAAGTTTTAAAGTTAAATAAACTGGAATGCTTCTGGGTATTATTTTTTTCCTCTCGTTTATGTCAATATTATTCTATGCATTGGTAAACAGGTTATTTGCTTTTTATAAGTTTTCGAGTAAATAATTATCAGTTTGTGACTGACTATCTGAGATAGCTATTGTTTCCTAGACGTTTATTTCGCTTTCAATCACTAAGTGAAGTGAAATAAAAATATGATCAGCAGCCGTGTTTCGTGACTTATTTGATAGAGCACTGGACTGAAAACCCCGATGGTCGCTGGTTCGAATTCTGCCACGGAGCAAATTTGTATTTCTCCTTCAATTATCACCAAGTACGAATAAGTGATTGTTATTGTCTGTTGGGTTGTGTCTCCAAACGTGAGTGGATGATTGTGTGTGTCTATCAGTTTGACTACATCTGTGGAGCAAGTTATATCGACCGTTGTTCTAGGAATTTAATTCTCCATGCTCTAGAGCATTCCCCTAGTTGATGGTTAAGTTGATATGTGATAAAGACTATGACAGACTGCATATTAGCACATTATGGTAAAACGGGAACCATAAGATGGGTTCCCATCGACTTGTCAAACGGCACCCGGCTGCTAATCCTTCAAACTGCAGAAGCTGTGGGTATCAGGCTTAAACAACCTGAGTTAGGTAACCAGATTGGACAGATATTGACGCTACATCTACCTTGATCGCATTTGCCATTCACAAATTCCTTAGCATCCTAATCTAATTCAGAAATTCCATACTCTGTAGATATCCCCTCACTCTTGTAATCTGAAATAATTTAACACATTCTCTTGACCTATTTCGTTCCCTACCATAAGTAAACAGTTCTACTAGTCTGTTATTCCTCAAATTATCTAACTTTGTTGTATGGTTTCTCCATGAGTGCCTACTTCAGCATGTCGTGCCGAAGAGTGTCAGTTATAGACCGCCGATTGACTGTCCAATAGGATGGAAATTATCTGAACAAAATGGAAGACAAATGGTACAGTTGATGATAATAGATGCACATCATCTGATCCGGAAATACCAATTCATGATTAACAATCAAAGGAGAAAACTAGGAAGCATACTCTCGACACAACACATGAAAACATTGACAACTGCAATTGAACAATCAAGCAGACGATATAGGGAACACTAAAGAAAAGTCCTCAGGAAAAAGCTGCTCAAAATCTCGGAAGCACCCACAACCGCGGAAACAAACGACTGTGTTGCCAACTTATCAAAACAACCGCTAATAAAAATGGAAGAACTCCTTCAGAAAGGATTGAGTCACAACACAAGAGATGCCTTCAAACCATTAAAATCGTCACTTAAAACATCAGGATTAAATGAGACCACTCAACCAGAAATACAGCAAACAATCGTACCACTGACCAGACAGAAGAGAGATCACACTGAAACGAACACTGAAGAACGGAAAACATTATGAAGACTGAAAAATAGGAAAGTTATCGTTATACTACAGCAGACAAAGGACGCACTCCTTAGTCATGGACAAAGACTACATCAAGAAGGTAGAGGATTTATTTAAAGACAAAAACATAAATCAACCACTTGAAACCAACTCTATCCAAAGGTTTTACAACTAGATCAATAAAACCTTAAAACAAACTCTTCAGAGCAGAAGAAATAACAAAGCAAGAGAAAATGGCGAATGAAATCGAATGGGCTTGTCCTTCCTCGGTTCTACGGCAGACCAAAACTACACTTCCGGGAACTCCAACATATCAAGAGAACTCTCGAGAAAACTGAAACACCGGGTTCAGTCTTGTGGACATTCGATCAAATCGCCAACAGAATTCTTAGAAAAGATCAAAAGCATTAATCACGAATAAACAACCCAGCTCAGAGAACATTATACAATCAAGACCATTCACCTGGGCTGTAAATATTCTCCACCATTTCAAATTATCTTTGTTTATTGCATTCAACTCTCTCTCTCGTTTTCTGTGATGTTGCCATATAAAGGAGGGATGTTGATAAGTCTATGTAAGATTCGTAACGCTGGTATCAGGGTGATATTTAAATTTATCCAAGGAAAGGGTTTGTAGGTTTAGAGGATCCAACAGGCCCAATTAAACAGAAGAACGGAATCTATAACATACCATGAACTAGGTGTGAAGTCGTGTAGCCGTGTAACCGAAATCAGCTTTTCGCTATCAGCCAAGAAACCAGCGAAGCACAAAGGTTAGCGAAAAATCGATATAAGGATAGGCTTTATTAAGATAAACGATTCAGAGAAAATCTTGGCTATCGTTATGCATGTGCTGACTTCTACTCTTTCCTATTAGAGTATAATAGGGTAGTATTTCTAAAATCCAACATCCCTAGGTACATGAAAACTTTGTTCATCAAACCAGTGCCTTGCACATGCAACAAAATTGAAAGAATAATGAATTATTGGAATTTCTCAAAATTGAAGTTTCAAGATTTACGTGATCATTTTAGGGTATAATTGTGAAAAATGAATTGCGCGCGTAGCGTTATTTATTCAGTAACATTGTAACACTCTATGCTTTAGGAAACAAATTAATCACATATGGAATTATGCTGTTCCCCCCCCCTCTCCACTGCCCCACATACACAGAGTATACAAGTTCTACTCTTACAAGTCTGTAGTTTCGAATATAATTCCGAGTTTTCCATTTTACTATTAGACAAGATTTTCAGCATCATGATAGCACTTGTTGGGTTGGTTTGCATTGGTGGAATCTAAGAGATGAGTTTCATCTCATTAGGAACTAGGAATTATTTCAACTCTGATAACAAACTATTCATCCTCCCTACTAAGTATTTAAACTGAATCTCCATTCAGTTGTAGAGCGTAATATACCTATGATTGTTTATGATTTCGCTCGGGTTAATTGGATGGAATCGATCGGTTTCTATCGGCAGATGGGTTCTTGTATGAGAATACCTTGATATTACCAGTCATTTAAGCTTCATCGTAATGATATTTGGATAAAATAATTAGAAGACGTAGGTTCTTTGGATAATTTGATGTGTTTGCGCTATACATTTCGAACAATCTGATCATACATTTGTTTGTTTCAAGCCATTTTATGTATGAAAACTGGAAGTGGGGGAAGGACAAATATGATATAGAGCAATCCAATAATAAGAAAGATAATAAATGGAGAAAAGATAAGGTTTGAAGTTAACCTTGGTATTACGAGAAAATAAGCATTACCATGGTAGGCTTAGAGTAAGGACAAATTGTTTTCGAACATGCACACAACGGGTGATTAAATTGGTTTATTATCATCGGACTATCTGAGATAGCCATAGTTTGGCAGACTAGTATTTGTACTGAGTAATGATTGAAGGTAAGATGAAAATCTGGACCGCGATCACTGGGTAGTCGCTGTTTTAAAATTCGGCCGTGGTCCAGATTTTCATCTCACCTTAAATCATCACTCAGTATAAATTTTTTTATGGCTAGCGCTTCAACAAATCTATACAAAGTTGGCAAGGCTGTTTTAATATCAATCCTGTGACTTGCATCAGTGATATGTTTTGCAAAGGATGATGATGGTTGTCTGCCACCTGTGCTTATCGATGTTTGTGAATCCAACTGCTTTTGTAGCCATTTTGGTGCATGTTCCCCCTACCCTCAAGTGCATATCACGATTATTCCTCCCTATGTATATGCATCCACACGGACACGCATGTAAACTGGTACATGCTGTGAAATGTGACGCAATCGCCTGTACAGTGATGAGGTCTGTGTTGCAACAGGGGTTTGGTCTTCTCAACTACGATAAGCTTATCTGCATTGTATGTTTTGCTAACGGCAGAACCTAACCTTCGTTTTAATATTATGCTATTAGATTCTCCTCTGATGTCGTCATCCATTGAGTCTTCCGTACAAATAAGCTGGATCCTTTTGAATAGGCAAGTTACCAAACCTCGCTTGTTTTGGGTTGAATAGGAGCTATGGAAACTTAACTGCTGACCTGTCCAAGTGGGTTTTCTGTAAACCGAACGTTTTATTAGACCGTGATTCCTACGACTTAAGAGAATATCGAAGAACAGCAGACGGTTGTCTTTCTCTTCTTCACATGTTAAGTGTATATTGTATTTTACGGTGTTAAGTCTTTCTAACAGATATGTCTCATCTTCATGCTTTTCGCATATCGCAATTATATCGCCAACATATCTCTTGTAGAGAGTAACTTTACTGATGAGATCATCAGTCAAGCCTTCAATATATTTGACATGTAAATATCAAATAGTAATGGTCCTAAAGGACTTCCTATAGCGACGTCATCTGTATGTATGGGGAACATTTTCTTCATATTTGTCCCACTTCCAGTTTTCGTATAAAATGCACTGAGAAGTAAATGTGTATAAGAGTAAAACTTGTGCAGTATGGTAGAATTTAATTCCATTTTTATTGATTTATTAAATTTACCACACAGTGTAACAGTATTGTTTACTGGATTGCGTTACTTACATAATTTATTGTCTACAGTCATATCACCTTTGAGACTCCTAATTTCCTTGCCCCTTATGTGATATGGGTAGTAGGATTTTCCATATACATCATACAAAGAAGGCACCTCAGGAACATTACGTAGGATTCTCAATAAGCCTAGGATTAGAGTGGCACTTAAACCTGCAAACTCGCTTCGAAATAAGCTTCGTAGGTCAAAAGATCCTATTATTCCCGCTAAGCAGAAGAACTTCATTGCAGTGGTTGTGAGGTGAAATGCATAGATCAAAGTAGTTGACCAGGGTCAATTTAGGCTATTCGAACAGAAAAACCTAGCTAGGTCAAAATTGGTAGGTCCTAGTAAGGTGAGGAATTTAGAAAAATGCTCAACTAAAGCTGTGCATGCGATTACACACAACTTCACAATAGGATGGATGGGACAGCGTGAAAATCATTGAAACTAACATAACAGAGTGGAGGGAGAGATTGATACCTGAATCTTTGCTTATCGAATCAACGTGTAATACATGCAGCAACAGGAATGACTCAATACCTGTTCCGGATATATGGAAAAATTTTACTACCCATATCACAAAAGGGGCGAGGAAATTGGGACTATATAAAGGATATCTCGAAGTTGTGTAGATACCTTGATATGTTTATGGACGATAAATTATGTCCGAAACGTAATCTATTAAACAAATACTGTTATACTGTGTAATAAACCTAATAAATCAACAAAAATGGGAATAAATGTGTAGCGCAATTATATTGCACGTTGTTCAGATAATCTATATCTTTAATGACATTATCCAAATTCATAAAAGGGAACTAATTGTTTTAAATGATATCATTGCTTCACCTTTTGCATAGATTAAATACTTATGATGTTTGTTTACTATTGTTTGCCTAGGTGTTTGCCTCAGCATTGGTCAATTTTACATCATGGTGGTTAGATGTTGACAAATATCACAGTATATCTAAACAAGTGGAAAACGTTTATGAGAATTTGTTGTTGAATCTTCGACGTGCTGCCGTCCTCTTCCCGAATACACCGAATATATTGTCAACACTTAGAAATATCTCTGAGACAATTCATACTTAAACTTCATCAATCATTGTTGTTTTATGTATGCATCATTCTAAATCTTCATTATATCTCTTTCTCTCTCTCCTATCATTGACAGTTGACTAGATCCGGTGCTGCTATTTTGCAAATCCTCTTTTTCAATGGATAATTATGAAGGTTTTTTTCTTATTATTTGGAGATTTTTCAAACTCATTTTTAAGATATTACTTAAATTCAAACTGAAAAGGTTTTTAATTTTTTAATATTTAACTTTTTGATCAATTCAAAGTGTTGACTTGAAGCTGTGATGGGATATTTTTCATTTTGTAGATAATAATGCGATTTCAGTGAATTGAAAACCTTCATTTAGATGTAGACATTTTAGAAAGCGATTAATTTACTATGCGTATATGTTGAATCAATTTGACTGTGTGAGATAGTCTTGATTTGGTGATTTGTTTTGATACTTGGTGATTGAAGGTGAAATGAAAATCTGCGTCACAGCAGGAATCGAACCAGAGACTAACGACCTCTCAGCTCGGTCCCCTACTAACTTAGCTACGAGACCCGAATTCCGATCAGAGTTTTATTTCGCCTTCAATCACCAATCCTGACTACTATATGAATGCATGATGTCTTACCATGGCTTGATCGCACTCATACTGGCTGTTGGGTCTTGTAGCTCATTTGGTAGATCACTGGACTGGAAACGTGATGGTCTTTGGTTTGAATCCTGCCATGATCCAAGTTTTTACTTCAACTTTAATCATTCCATTTCATTTGTTTCTTTGTGTTTAGCTCCACTAAGCATTGAAGTGCGTTGAAGGTCTTCAACAACACGTATCTGAAGCACAGTGCAAGGTTCAACGAAGCGAAGATCACTTTGAGTTTTTATCGAATAATGTGATATTGTTCTTTTCATAAAGTTAGTTGGTCGGTCCTTAACATGCTCACACACACATCGGACTAATTCGCTATGATTTCTATCGATTTGTTTAGTGTGTTAGGACACACTTTCTTCGGCTAGAAACGAGTGTGTTTGTTATGCTGAATAATTCAGCTATTAGACTTGAGTAAAATAGATAGTCAAGAGAATTCTACTATTATGTAGCTTTATAAACTCGATAGTGTTACAACTATTTATTGAAACTATGTAAACAACCTCAGTTATATTTTAATAATGATAGGAGTCAATTGAAGCCTTGTTTTCATGATTGTTGGCACTTATCAATAAGGCATAGTTACAAGCCAACCTTGAAGAAACTCATGTTCTACTGAAGATTTTCAGCCTACAACACTTAGTCGCAAAATTATCCAGGTAATGCATGATCGACTTTCTCAATGGCTACATCAGATCTATGAACTGGTCATCTGATACAACTAGTGTATTTGTTAGCCGGAGGTTATCGATAAATTATTTTGAAAGGCTGATCAACCATCAAGGTGATAAATGCTACTATAAGCGCACTAAGTTCCTGTTAATTACATTTATTATCAATAAAACGACTGAAGGCAGTTCTATCAAAAGTATGTGAATTGAATGCATAGATGTAATGACGGTAGAACTATAGAATCTTGTCACCCCTGAATGACTTTGAGTGCACCAATAAGAAAGTGGTTACTTCTGTCTAGTTTCTAGTAAAGAAATGAAATAGTTAGTATATATGGATTCTAACGGTTTCTCGTGACTTAAGTGTTTTACGACTGCTTGTTTATGAAATATACTCATGGGGGCATGGAAGAAGAGTTATTTCAGCGTAGAATCTGTTTTCGGTGATTTCATTTTCAAAGCTGTACAATCGCAGATTTATACCATTTTTCCAATGTAAGGATTTGATAGTTAAAAATGGTTTGTCAAGCATATCAACAAAAGTAGTGCCAATATATTATGAGCTGCCATTAAAATTAGAAAATGACTGGAGTTGTATTAAGAATAATAAGTTTGTGCAAGAAGTTTTATGAAATGACAATATACTTGGAAACTGAATTGTGATCCACTACTAGCAGATTGCTTTATGCTCACTTTGGAGAACAGACCATTGAAACCAACGACTGAAGATTTTCAACTCTACAATGGCTACATGGACAATCTGTAGTGGTTAGTATGATTTGAACCACGTTCTACAAATATTCAGTAACTGCCATTTAGCAATTAGATTTACCATTGAGGTCAAAAATGGATCGAAAAATCACTTTCTTGATGTAGAGCTGACAAGAACATGTGTTAGAAAGTTAAGTAGGTCAATTTGGAATAGTCAACTGATAAACTATAATAGCTGGGTCCCTGTGAGTCGTGAGCGAAACCTGAACATATCTCTTGCCACTCGCATTAAACGAATCCGCAGTCCCAATGTGATAGGAACTTTTTGTTTTAAGGGACAACTTGAATGAAAATGGATTCCCATCTCACTTATAGATAAAAATATCAAGACTAAACCTCGCAAAGAGAACCTTACTACCGTGCCAAAAAAGATACTTTATATGAATCTGAATTTCAAATATGATTGTGCAGCTGACACTTAAAAGAGAAGAACATCAAACGCTCTATGGAGAACATTCTGTGCATTAACACTGAGGCTATCATGGACTTGTCACCCAATAATTTCTAACAAGTCAAAGAAGAAACGTTCAAATCTGACCATTTTTATATGTGTATACCAATTTACCTCGTATTGTGGAACCAGGTATATAAGTCGTTCGGTGCTGCTCTTATCCAAAATGGTTCAAGAGCACTGTGCCGCATGTTTACAAAGAGGTAACAATGGGACCTTAAGCATTGCTAAAATTGAACACATCGTGAACTCGAATCACGCTGTCTCAAGGACCTCCTCGTTCAAAGTCATCTATAAAGTGAAAAGAAACCTCCCAAAGACTGTATGTCTTCTTAGTTTTTGCATTGCCGAAGCTTTTGCCATTTATATGGCGAAACCTGGACTGTGTATGCAAAAGAAGATTGTTCAACCCCTTCTTCTTTCATGGTTTTAATTTTCAGTCTTTGAAACTTCCTCTAACTTCTCACCTTTTCTCATTTTCCTGTCTTGACACTATTCACATCTTAAGTAATTCGCTACTCATTCTTGTTGCTATGTTCTGTCTGGTCACAATTCAGTTTCCAATTATGTCATCATGTTACAAAACGTCTTCTTGTCCAAACTTATTTTGATTAATATTCACTCATTACAGTTTTTCAATTTTAATAACAGCTCATATATTGACATGATTTGTGTTGCCATGCTTGACAAGTTTTTAACTATCAAATCTTTAATATAAGTGAAAAACTTGGGCACTGTGGTAGAATGTAGTTCCATATTAGATTTGTTTATTTGATATAAAGCGCACAGTGATACAGTATTATTTACTTGATTACCTTTCGAGCATAAATTATTGCTCATAATCATATCAATGTAATCACACTTCTTTCGACATCTGATTTTATAGTCCTGTCACCTGATCTCTCTTTGTTTTTTTGTTTTTTGATTGGTAGTAAAGTTTTCCATATCTCTGGTATAGATGTTGCGTCATTCCTATTACATGTGTTGGGTGTGAATTCGATGAACAAAGATTCAGTAATTAATCTCTCTCTCCACCTAGCTATATTAGACTTAAGTACAGTGGTTTTGTCCCATCCTATTGTGTGGTTGTGTGTTAATGAATGTAATGCAATGGCTGAGTGTTTTTCTAGGTTATTGATCTTATTGGGGTCTGTCGTTCTATGTTTAGCTAAATTCCTATGTTCTGTTAATCTAACTGACCCCGACCGGCTAGTTTGACCTATGTATTTGACTTCACAGTCATTACATGGAATTTGGTAGATTATATTATTTTGCTTAATTGGTTCTATCGGATCTTTTAGCCGACACAGCTTACCTCTAAGTGAGGTAAAACAAAGAGAGATCAGGTGACAGGACTATAAAATCAGATGTCGAAAGAAGTGTGATTACATTGATATGATTATGAGCAATAATTTATGCTCGAAAGGTAATCAAGTAAATAATACTGTATCACTGTGCGCTTTATATCAAATAAACAAATCTAATATGGATGATAATTAAAGATTGAAAGTCGAGGGTTGAGATGATCCGACCTGAGTGATTCGTAGAGACAAATCAGAAGACTGAGTTAATACTGCGTCGAACTGAAAATGTTCATTAGTAAAAAAAAAACCGGACCCTATTTATAGAGTTTACGATAACCTTGAAAGACAAGAAATAATTAGTACATTGAGAAAGGTAGGAGGCAATCAGAACCCTAGCACTGGTTATATGAAATGTGACATATGTGCAGGAACTACATTCTACCACAGTGCCCAAGTTTTTCACTTATATTTAATTATCATCGTTCCTTCTCATAACCCCGCATCGTAACAGGAAGGTGTTCACCAGTTAAATTGGAGTCCACTACTCACCAACCGCATGCACCTCCAAGCAGTAGGTGGCTATGAGTCACATCTATTGTGTGAAGGCTAATCATACTACCTACCTGGCTGTCTATAACCTCGGTAAGTGGAGTCTAGTTCGAACTTATGACCAGCTTATTGTGTTCATAGGGAATCGGATATCATCACCATTACCACTTAGCGGAGTTATTATACTAAGTGTAGAGCTCATTTGGGTGACACACAAACAAACAGTACTGACCAGTCCTAGGTGATGAGCGCTCAGGTAACAAGGAAATCCGACTGCTCAATTTACCAGTTTAAACATTAGTCATACATAGTTCAGTCATAAGATCTCATGATAGAAGATGATTAATCAAGATGTCACAGAAAGATCAAAGCTGTTTGCCTTCAGAAGTATGTTAATGAAAAAATTCAATAAAAGTAATTTAGTGTAATAGTAATAATGTAGAACAGTAGACATTTCATATGATAAAGTTATCAGTGCTGTAGGGAAATCTTGCGACAATATTCATGCAAAAAACTTCGCTTTTGCAATTTACTTTGTCCTTCGTGACCTAATTAAAGAAGTTTCAATTACCTGCGGTTAAGAAGCAATGTTTAGTAGTGAAATTTGAGGGAAGCATTCAATTCAGGGCTTCAATAAACAGAAGTCATCCATAGTCCTCAGCTTTGGTAAAGAGACCTATGGAAAATTACCCATTATTTTGGTATTTGCATTTAATAGTGAAAGTAGAACAAAATAAATTTTTTTCCCATCAATTGACGATTCGTTACTTAGTGCTGCCAACAGCTTTATCAGAGTTATAGTAAACCGAAATTTATAATAACCCCCAAGCTTATATATCATAACTTGATTCTACCCGATCAAACTGTTGAAAAAAGACAATATCTATATGTAGTGGGGTTGCGTCTGAATTGCAGATAAAGATTTGTATGTGCACATATGTTGATAGTTCTCATCTCATGTATCTAGCTTGACTAAGTCAAGCTATGTTTGACTTCCTCATTCGTATTTAGACAATTTTGATTCCACTTTACGCAACTAT